CGAATAAAACTTTGTGTATTCGTCTTAATTTCTTCATTCCACATTTAAAACATCGTTCTGAAGATATAGACATATATAAGCTTTTCAATTATATAGTTCTTTGTATCGCGACGCCATACTAATTCGTAAGACACAAACTTGCTTACATATATATGATACGCTACTGTGTACATAGTTACAACATATTGATGTATTTCTCAAACAATCCGTGCTTTATCACACGCTATTATGAATCACAGTTAAAAATAACTTGCAGTAAACATCAAAATGATAAATTTATAATGATAAAAAGTTAACTGCTATGTTTTTTATTCGCTGCACTTTTTATGACATTGTGCTTTAAAGCGTATCAGAATGTAAGTTTGAACAGTTTAACGGTTTAAAACGCGATATGTATTAGTAAAACTTATTTGAAAATTATTTTAACTACGACCCTATGTTCTGGATGCAGCAGCTGTGGTCACGGGAAGACGGTTAAACAAGTTTAACTGATATATATCGCGTTTTAAACCGTTAAACTGTTTTATTTAAATGTATACTACTCGCGTAAACTACAGAGGGTGTAAAATATAAGTTGTATTTATTATCCTATGTCCCGAACCGTAGAAAAAGGTAAAAAAGAGTGTATGTTGCCCTCCATTATTTATTCCTTTTTGCCTTGATTAAACCGTTATATCTCGCTTTAGTTGATAGTAAAGTAAAGTCAACTAGAATATTTAGGATTCCTTTCCTCAATTTCATCGTAAACGCATGTGTTCTTAAATATACTAGCTGTCTTATAAAAAGTCATCATTTTTTAGCATTTAGAATTACTAACAGTAATCTTATCTTTTTCTATTTGCGTTGTAAACATTTTCAAGGACAATTGACAAAGCATACACAAGTTTGGGTGTCAAAGTGGTTAAAAATAAAATTGGGGGTCATTCATCTATTATGTAAGCACTATAAAAATGGGAGGGGTATTTTGTGAACTAATATTTTCTGCGTTAAAAACGGTTAAAAGTGCTTTATTTGCGTTTAAATGTATCGAAGTGCTTTCTCCTTGATATAATTTTTCTAGAACTATTTGCTCCTTATAAAATGGGAGGAAGATGGTTCCTACCCAGGGTTAGGAAAGGGGGGCCATTTTCTAAATAAAATATCTTCATCTTGTCTACATATATGACGTTAACGGAGTCCAATTAGCCATACAGCCAACTTTGTCCACAATTTTCAAACCAGTTCAAACCGCTAATAGCCAACAATTGGGGCACGCCCCACCCCGCCATAGAGGTCAGTCGTCTATGAATGAAGCGTCTCATTGTTATTTTGGCTGCGAATTATAATCTTCGCTCATGTTATATTCGCCTTGTACTTGTGAACTCGTAAAGGCTGAACACAAGGCTCCTGTGATGTGTCAAATCGTGGCCATAACGGGGGCATGGGGTAATTTCATTTCTACTCTTGACGAAAATATTATTTTTCTCGTTTTTTATATTTTGTTAAACTGTCGATTGGATTTATACATAAAAAGCCTTAGTCTCGTTCGGTTTTAATCATGAATTAATCTGTTATTATGTAAAGTTTTATCAAAGAGAGTTCAGTCGTTTACACGTGAACTATCGATTATTAAACATCTAGGTCCTGTCAAAATTTCTCCGCCTTCGTAGCCAAATGGTTAAACGCCTAGCATTGCGTTAAGCGCGAGAGCTCCTGGGTTCGAATCCCAGGGAAACATAAAATTGTTTCGGTCGGGCAGGGCACAGAAGTCTGATCTACTGCTTGCCTGTTAAATAACGGATCAGTGAAACGGACTCAGAAATGTGTTCGCCCCATGCCCCACGAGGGGGAAACAGGATTTCACTTCACTCCTGTCAATTCACCTATACGGTAATAACTCTAAACTCGCTTTGTATTAACTTCTGGTTGTCAATCCTGAGACAGCATTACATAGCTTCACTTAGATATTTAAGCTGTTCGGAATTTAAAACAGCTTTTTTAACGTTTCTCCATCATCAGGAGATGACGTCATCAAGATTTATTCAGCTCGAAAACGCCAGCTTTGCTAAAACGCTTATACTATATACAGATTTGACGGGCCTGATGGTCGTGGGTTTGACTCCCATTGGGACCACCATGTTCCTAATCAATTTATAATTTTTCTGAAACAAGTTAGACTTCGTCTAGAAATGGTTTAATACTGTCTATAGTTTACGCAATTAAAAATAAAATTAACGGTTTAAATGCGATATATTAGTTCAAAATTATTTGAAAATGATATAACCAGTGACCACGGCTGCTGCAAAGCATCCGAAACGTCGGGCCGAAGTTAAAACCATTTTCAAATAAGTATAACTAATATATCGCGTTTTAAACCGTTAAACCGTTATTTAAATTATAATGGTTATAAAATCGGTGCTATGATTATCAAAATTCCGTCCTGGTCACGAATCCACAGATGATAAAGCAGTCCAGTTGAATCGCGTTTCAGTCTGTGGAGATCCAAAGACAAAATAGGTCGATAGCGCATTTTAGATGTTATAGGGCTGCGGTATGTCACCTACCATCAAGTAAATAATATAAAAGACAACTACATATAAATTGCATTGTTAGGTCAAGGCATAGATACGAAGTGCACACATCGATAACGATAAGACGAACTAGATTTTAGAACTTCAAAGATAACGCGAAAAGGAAATATCATTTGAAATTTTCTTATGGGTTTTACCAAAAAATCAACTGTTTTATTATTTAATTCTTAATTTTGTGAGCAACGCCAGGTTCTATCAGCAAATACATATATAATACAACTAGCTATGCCAGCGACTTCGTCCGCTGTTACCCACGACGTCTTTCTTGCGAGTTAATCTTTAAAGACATACTGTCCAGACATTTTATTAGATCATGTAAAGAGGAATCATTCTTTGATACACATATTTTGGGTATCTTGAATCTCACAAACATGAATAATTTTCCCTTTTTTCCACATTTTCCATCTCTCCTATTGGTCGTAGCGTTATGTTTAATAGCCTAAAGCCTTCATCGATAAATGCTCTCTCGAAAACAATTCTTCAATAAGAAACAGTAGTTCCTGAGGTTAGCGCGTTCAAACAAACAAACACTTCAGCTGCATATATTAGTATAGATATAGATTAAATCGTCCGTCTGTGTCCCACATTTAACGCTACAATTGTCGCAAAGAACAATGCGACGCTACTTATCTCCTTTCCCATCGCTTTCACCACGCACTAGTGGCATACCGTGTCTTTGTCTGCTTTTTATCCAATCAACGAAGAATCTTCGTTAATTAAATCTGTAAGCGCTGTCTGTAGTTTACGAGAATAGTACATATTCAAATATAACAATTAACGGTTTAAAACTGTATATGTATTTGTTATGTTATTTCCCTGTTTTTAACTACGGCCCGACGGTGTGAATCCTTTGCAACAGTCATAGTCATGTGGTCAATTTCAAAGACAAATGCTACTAAGCTTACCTCCTTTTAAAATAGTTTATAAAAATGCTCGACGGATTTTGATGAATCGTGCACAGACATAAAGCTATACTAAATTGTAAATATGTTTCGAGATAAATATATCGCGCATTCAGAGATAAAAGACACAACATATTAGAGTGAACATAACGGTGATTATAGCGCACTGCGCGTGCGCATCTAATTACAAGCGGACACGGTGCTAACCACCTGTACACTGACCATTTTATAGATTGTTAAAATAAAATACATTATTGCTAATAACCCCGTTTTAAGAGGCGTTTGCAATATTGTATGTATATCCAAAGCCAAAATAGGCCGACAGCTTATCTTGTAGATGTTACAGGGCTGTTCATGGTATACCCCATTTTTGTCTGTCCATTGTACAAAAAATGCCCTGGGGCATGGCGAACACATCTGTGTCTGTTTGTGCTTAGCTGAACCGAAATAAATTATTGCTTATTCTGTACTGGTCCTGTATTCGAATCTCGGTAATACAATAATTTTAGCGGGGCAGAATACAGAAGTGCTTATAGCACGCCCCTAAATTAAATCGATCAGAGAAACGGACACAAAAATATTTCCACCCCATATCCCAATTTCGTGGTTAGTACACATTTAAATAAATCACTTTCAACGGTTTAAAACGCGAATTATATAACTTAACCTATTTTAATGAATTCTAACAACTGAACGTTCCGTGAGTTTTGTAGCAGCCATTGTGGGACTGAAGATGTGTGACCCTAATGTCCTAGTAAATTTTGCGTTTTAAACCGTTAACAGTGTTTTATTTAAAACATCAGCGTTAACGTAAAATCTTGACCAAGACTAACGTTACGTTGTTTGTTTACAAGAGGTGGGCGATAGTTCACTGACCCGACGACCGCTATCCACTCGTTGATAACTCGAGATATTTTATCATTGCATAGATGACCGCCTACTCTTAATAAAAACGCGTAGATTGTAAGAACGTAGGTTCGAATCCGGAAACAACAAATAGTTTAAGTAAATAAAACATATTAAACAGTAAAAAAAATCGATCAGCAATGAAACTCAGAAATATATTAAAAGTTTAAACGGTTTTAAAAGTGTTCGATTGAATGGCACAGGCTCAATTTCGCCCAAATTTCATTACCATAAAGACGGCTCTTGCGAGTTACTCTTAAAAGATAGACATATACTGTCTTGGACATTTTTTTAGATCATGTAAAGAGGAATCATTCTTTCATTTATAATTTGTAGGTATCTTGAACCGTTTTCGCAGCACACGCAACGGAAGCCCCCAAAGATGTATTTTCCCCGTTTCCCACATTTTTCACTCTTCCTTCGCTCCTGGGTCGCAGCGTGATGTCATATAGCTAGAAACCTTCCTCGATAAATGCTCTTACGAACACGAAAATAATTGTTTAATTCAGCAGTTCCTGAGACACGCGCGTTCAAACTCATAAAACAAGTATACCTAGTGAATAGTTTTTCCAAGTGTTGAGTGAAGTGCTAAAGTTCAGTGGTTGGTGCCAATGACCTGATGATGCAGAGGCAGTTAAGCAACGTCAGCATACATTCCTATCAAGATTACCAGCCCAGCAGACGATATGGTAAATCTCATATTCAGTTGTACGACTCGGGCACGACTTGAACCGGCTTCCTCAGTGTTCCGTGCTGTTGCTGTAACCAATGCGCTACCGAGTCACTTAAATTCTCAATTTATATAATTTAAAAATCGAAAATAAATTGAAAAAATTTTCGACTCGGGCAGGACTTGAACCGGCATCGTCAGCGTTCCGTGCTGTTGCTCTACCAATTGAGCTACCGAGTTTTTTCAATTACCAATATGCAATAACATGTAAAAAATAATAAAGTTCTCTATATAAACAAAATTAATTTATATAATGCCTTCAAGTACAATAACATGTGAAAAAAAAACGCATCCAAATGTATAGCCAATCAAAGGGTCGCGAGTTCGATCCCCACCGAGTCCAACATGATTTTAATCAATTTATTCTGAAACATGTTGTACTTTTGGAAATCTGGATGTTTAATGGCTGGTAGAAATATCGAAATTCCGTCTAGCTCACGAACCACCGTCCACAGATGAAAAAGTCAAGTGTATTCGCGTTCCGGTCTAGATTTCTGAATATCCAAAGCAAAATAGGTCGACCGCGCATCTTGTTACATGTTATATGGCTAGCCTAGTTCACCTACCCTCTAGTAAACCTGATGCCATGGCTCTCTATCATCGGTTGCTTAGTGCGATGGTACATCACAAAATGTAAGGTGAAACTGTCGTTTCCCCTCTTAGGGCATGGGGTAAACACAATCTGTCTGTTTCCTTGATCGGTTTACAGGCAAGCAGTTGATGATACTTCTGTGCCCTGCCCGACCGTAACAATCTATTATTTCCCCAGTATTCAAACCCAAGATTTCGCGGTTAACCCTAGGCAACACATGCATTTGGCTACAGTGGCGGGTCATGTGGTACCGGGTTCGAATCCCTTCCGAAATTTGGATTGAAAATTTTTTATGATTGTAATTTTAAGAGCAAATATAACACAACTTGACTTTACTAATACATAATTATATTTTTGTCTGTACGCTTCCTAAGACGACATTGTAACGGCAGGTAAAGTTGATCAATTATTAACAATAAGCTGCTAGAGGCAGAGTGGCCTAATAACAAAAAACATGATTTTCAATAAGGAGGGAAAATATGCACAATTAATTAATTAGGCGAAATTGGATTTTTACTATTATTTGTGTAAGAATTATGTCAACAATTGTCGGTCACTGTGCTCTCTTGGATTTTTAAACTATGAAAACCTCAAAAGTCAAGACATAAAATTTAAGTTAGGCTACTCTGTCTCTAGCGGCCTCACATATATTTTTTAAAAAGTTATTTAAACATAGACTATCTATGACTATTTTTAATAAACCATTTTTACTGTTTAAAACGCGAAATATATAAGTTGACTTATTTTTAATTTATTTTTACTCCCTGATCGTGGTTGCTGCAAAGCAACTAAACCCTAGGGCCGTCGTGAAAATAAATTAAAAGTAGATTTACTTATATATTTCGCGTATTAATCCGTTAAAAGTGTTTTATTTGCATATTTTATTATTTGTGAGTTGATATATATGTTTTAAATTTGAAATTCTTATTTAATATCAGAAAATTATTCTTAATGTTTTTTTTTGCAAACAGACGAAGTGGATGATGGTAAGTTCTTTTAACAGTTCCCACAGCTGGGAAAGGCTACACGCTACCCTTGATGTTGACCAATGTCGAATTTTTCGGCCTTGAAATAGAACTGTTCCTCAATTAGAGAATAGAATCAAAGATAAATATTTTGTATATGACCAGGAATCGAACTCCCTAACTTTATACAAAATAGGCTCTTAAGATATTTAATAATCACCATTCCCTGTCTGGATTATTAAAATAAATATAGAATTTTAAATAAAAAAAAATCTCGATTGATTAATTAGGTTCTATCTCTTGTTGTGTCCAATTAAATAAAACCTTTTACGGTTTAAACGCGATATATATGAGATAACATCTTTTAAACTACGACCCGACGTTTCGGATGCTTTGTAGCATCGTTGTCATGGAGGTTAATTGATATATATCTCGTTTGGTTTGATGTCTGGAAGACATAGTTTACAACAATAAGGCTGCATCTTGCTCTACATAGTTTTACGTTTTTTGTCTGTTTATGTTAAAAGCCACTTACTTACTTTCGTAATAAAAGGCTTTTTATTTATTTTTATGTTACACTAGCTGTGCCAGCGACTTCGTCCGTGTAGAATAGTCACTGACATTTTAGTTCATTTGAAGAAGAATTCTTTCATACCTATCTTTTGGGTATCTTGAGCCGCTTTCGCAACGCACGCAACAGAAGCTTTCAAAGATTTTCCACTTTTTTTTCTTATTTCGCTGTGTTTATTTCCACTTATTTTATAGCCTAAAGCATTCCTCGAATAAATGCTCTAACCAGCAAAAAAAATCGAACACTAGTTCCTGAGATTAGCGCGTTCAAACAAACCCTTCAGCTTTATAAAATTAGTATAGACTTTTTCTGTCCTCTACCGAAACGAAAGTTCGGGTTCGGATCGAGCCATATCTAATGATGTTTCTTTCCCCAGGGCAACAATATGAGCCAGGCGGCTACGCCAGCGCAGTGCAGCAGCGTAGCAACATGACCCAGAGGGAGGACGCCCTCAAATTCGAGCAGGGCCGCATCAGAGCCCTCCAAGAGGAGCGCTTGCACATACAGAAGAAGACTTTCACGAAATGGATCAACTCATTCTTACAGAAGGTTAGTAGGTATTTATTATAGTAGACGGAAAGAAAAGAGAAGAAAGAGACACTGTGGACGCAAAGCAGTAGATAAAAAACACTTTTCAACGGTTTAAAACGCGAAATATATTAGTTAATTAATTACAAATTATTTTGACTACGTCCCGACTTTGGGTTGGTTTAGGGAAAAAAAAAAAAAAAAAGGGGATTTTTAAAAAAACAAGGTTTAAAAGAGTTTAGTTTTACTACGGCCCGACTTTGCAGCATCAGTGGTCAGGGGGGATTGAAAATGGAGGTTATCCCTAATGTCAAAGTTAAACCTGATTTGCATGCGCCATCTGTTTCCTTGTACCATGTACGGTATGTAGTTTGTACACATAACGGTTTAAAACGCGACTCACCTGTTAAACGCGGCTGCTGCAAACAATAAAATGCAAATTAGTTACTACTTTGCAACTTAAACTTAACTTTACTACTACTTATACATTTCGCTTTTTATCCCGTTAAAACTGTTTAATTTTAATCTATAAAACTGTGTATACCGACAACAGACAAGCATAGAATCCACTTAAAAAGTAAAATACCCAAATTGCACTGAATAATGGTGCGCTGATGCGCTGCCTACCTTTTTGATCTAGGGACCGTTCAAGTATTACGTAAGCAGATTTATTACAATTATTTACCCCCCCATCCCCCTTGTCAGCAAAAGTAAGCAAAGCTTTTACCCCCTCCCCCGTGCTTACGTAAACATTTTTCAATTAAGAAAGTGAGTTGATTCAGAAAGTAAATAAATATCGATGACGTAATCATCATCTGGACTCCCCTACCCCCCATGTCATCAAAAATAAGCAAAACAAAGACCCCCCCCACCCCCCTATAGTGCTTACGTAAAACTTGAACGGTCCCCTACACATTCACTCAGTCAAGTTCGTGAGTATAATATGTTTTCAATATCGTCTTGAAATGAAGTCATTTTGAACACGTACATATATTATAGCCGTGAAGGTCACGAAGATATGTGTAATTAAAGGAAAATGACAAATCGTCGGGTCATCAATTTTACACCTAAAGATTTAGTCTGCGTCAACAAATGCCTTCAAATAATAGTAAAATATCTTCTAAAAACGTCTAGTATTGTCTGTTACCTGAGCTAATAGAACACATTAAACGGTTTAAAACGCGATATATTCGTTAAACTTCGTTGGCATGTCTCCCCGTGAGCACGGCTGCTGCAAGGCGTCCGAAACGTCGGGCCGAAGTTAAAAAATTATTTTTTTTTTAAAAAAAAAAAAAAAAAAAAAAAAAAAAAAAAAAAAAAAAAAAAAAAAAAAAAAAAAAAAAAAAAAAACAAAAAAAAAAAAAAAAAAAAAAAAAAAAAAAAAAAAAAAAAAAAAAAAAAAAAAAAAAAAAAAAAAAAAAGGAGAGGGGGGAGAAGGGGGGGGGGGGGGGGGGGTTTATAAATATTTTTATAAAAAACCACAAAAGGGGGGGGGGGGGGGGGGGGGGGGGGAAAAAAAAAAAAAAAAAAAAAAAAAAAAAAAAACCCCACGAAGGGGGGGGGAAAAAAAAAAGGGGGAAACCCCCCCCCCCCCCCCCCCCCCCCCCCCCGGCCCGGCCGACAACCCCCCCACCCCCCCCGGGGGGGGGGGGAAAAAAAAAAAAACCCCCTAAAAAAAAATTTTTTTTAAAAAACCCAAAAAGATTTGTTTTTTTTAAAAAAAACTTTTTGTTTTGTGCGCGAGGTAAAAACAAAAAAAAAAAACCTTTTAACCTTTTAAAAAAAAAAAAAAAAATTAGTCCTTCGTGACCACGGTTGCTGCAAAGCATCCGAAACGTCGGGCCGAAGGAAAGTAAATTATAAAGGACTTAAGTTATATATATCGTTTAAAACCGTCAAAACTACTTGTAACCATGGCTGTGTACCACAATATTTTTACTCTTTACTTAAAAACGGAGACTTCCCAAAAATGGTTCTGCTTGTTTAGCACACCAATGTTTTTAAAATGACATTGTTATAGTAAAAAGGTTATCTTGATATAATAGACACGAAATTATATGCGCTTGCGCCACTTTTGATCTTAGTACAAATATTTTCCTTAATTAGTTGATAACAGATTAAATTCTTATAATTAATGAGTTTTATAACAGACAGACAAGCTAGTTCGCTTGTTGGAAGGTGATATAGCCCAGCCATAAAACATCTAAACAAGATGGCTTTGGAACAGTTTTTCCATCTGATATTAACTGGACGGTGGTTTGTGATTCCTACCGTCCATGTAATATCAAGTTATCCAGTCGAGTTTTAATATGTTAATATTGCTTAAAGACATCTTAGACGTTTATATCCTATGACAGTGAGTTCTTCTAAAAGATAATCGATTTATAGTTTAGTAAAATTTAAAATCTAATCCACCATGTAAGATATGATTTTTTTTTTTTAAGGTATGGGCGAAGATATTCCTTGTATTCATCCACCAGCCGATCCGGCAAACGTGTTTCAAATACTGCCTGTAGTTTCCGCGAGTAGTGCACATTTAAATCAAACGGTTTAAAACGCGATATATATAAGTTAAACTCAATTGAAAATTATTTTTAACTTCGGCCCGACGTTTCGGATGCAAAGCAGCCGTGGTCACGGGTCGACACGGGTCTCTATTGAGGAGGCACAGGTGTTTCAACGTTGTTTTGTTGTTTCCAAAATTAATATTACTGTGTTGATACAACTCAAACGAATAATTCGTAATAATGCATTAATTTCGAATAAATGTTGTAAAGATAGACATAAATACTTTCCGACATTTTTTAGATCACTTTAAATAGGTATCATTCTTTCATACTATATCGTTCTAGATAGAATCCAACAAATATCATTGTTTATCTAGAACCGTTTTCGCAGCGGACTCAAAGGAAGCTTTAAAAATTTTCCCGTTTTTGCCCATATTTTCCACTGTACCTTCGCCCCTATTTGGCGCAGCCTGATCTAAACTGACATATAAAGTTGAAGATTTTGTTTGTTTGAACGCTTTTATCTCAGGAACTACTAGTTCGAATTGATCACTTCTATTTGTGTTGGTTAGAGCATTTATCGAGATCTATACGCTGTAATACATCGCGCTGTGACTGCGCGGTGGTTTTCAAAAACAAATTTGGATGCAAAAAATTACTCTTATATGCGGACGAAGTCGCTGACACAGCTAGTGGTATTTATAGCCTAAAAGCCTGCATCGATAAATGGCCTAACCAAAATTAATTCTTTCAATTCGAACCAGTAGTTCCTGAAATTAGCGCGTTCAAACAAACAAACAAACCCTTCAGCGTTATACGGGGTGTCCTAAAACGTAGTTTAAGGTAGCCCCAAGATAGAACACCCCTTGGAGCATCCGAAACACCCCTCATGGAAGTTAAAATATGATGGTTCAAAGTGAAAAAGCTACAAGCAGTGAATTGTGTCTTAATATTTTAACTTTAAAATTATAATTTTAAACACTGTGCCAGGCTACTTTAGCTAATACCGGACTTCAAAGACTGACGGGTGAATTAAAAAAATTGCCATGTGGCAACGACATTGTTTTTTTTTGCATCTCTATCTCGAGCCTATCTTCTTTTTGGGACATCCTGTATATTAGTATAGATTAAAGACGCCGGAAAACATCAATTATTTTCATATTGATAATAGAAATATATTAGTTGTCAATAGCTGTGATATTATTGTAGAGATGACATCATTCTAAGTAAGGAAACAGTTTATATTAAATACTGTCCGCAGTTTAAGCGAGTAGTTCACATTTAAATAAAACACTTCAACGGTTTAAAACGCGATACATATTAGTTAAACTTATTTAATATTTGTGATCACAGCTGCTGCAAACATCTGGAACGTCCGGCCGAAGTTAAAATAATTTTGAAATAAGTTTAGCGAATATATATCGCGTTTTAAACCGTTGTATTGTTCGATTTAAATAGTCGATATTGATTTCATTTAGATTAAGATCGAGAAAATAAGGATTGCGAAACGATTATGTTCTTAAATAAAACACTTTTAACTGTTTGAAACGCGAACTATAGAAGGCCGTGCTAAAAGTATCTAAAAAGCTGATTAACTAGAAATAAGAATAATGTTTATATTTCCATCCGTTCAAAAATGTTTTAATTACTGTCGCTCGTGTAAAACTTAGAAATAGATATGGGTGGTAGGAATATCGAAATTGTAAGTCTATGGATTTACGAAAATCTAAGCTAATCCCGCTTGCCCCTCGTGGCTGGGGCGAACACATTTCTGTGTCCGTTCTTTTTGACAGGCAAGTAGTTCAGACTTCTGTGCCCTACCCGTCGAAACTTTTTTTTGTTTGAAAACTTAAATTTTTAAGAAGGCACTATAAATTTAAAATCGAAAAATTGAAAAAAAATTTCGACTCGGGGAAGGACTTGAACCGGCACCGTCAGCGTTCCGTGCTGTTGCTCCACCAATTGAACTACCGACTCGGTAGCTCAATTTATTTTTTATTTTTTAATTAATAACTTTTTTTTGTTTCCCTGGGATTCGAATCTAGGACCTCTCGCTTTTCGTTTAACCATTTGGCTACAGAGGCGGTCCGTTTTATCTCCGTACTGTATGTTTATAGTAATTACATTGTATATTGCAATCTGACCGCACACAAAGTGACCTAAATACAACATTTGTAGTGCTTCACTATCCTTCGAAGTCAAACAAACACTACTATCTGTGTCCTGGATATGATACTGGAATCTCCACCTACCTTTTAAATAAAACACTGACGGTTTAAAACGCGATCTAATCAGTTAAACTTTTTTGAAATATATTTTAACGAAGGCCCGTCGTTTCGGATGCTTTGCAGCAGCCGTGGTCACGGGCAGACTAAAGAGGGGGGATGTCTAATGGCAATGAAAAAACTGCTACGCTCTCTCCCCGTGACCACGGCAAAATCGTTTTCCAATGAGTCTAACTAATATATATCGCGTTTTGAACCGTTAAAGTGTTTTATTTAAAACTCGCGTGAACTACAGACAACAATTTTACAATAAATAGTAAAAACAACTAAAATAAATATTTAAGGTGGCTTTCATTACCCTCCCCCTTTTTTTTAGTTGAGGAAGTCGTTTATGGTGGTTATCCTTTGGTTCGGTATCCAATAAACAATAAAAATTCTGTTCCAGGTGTTAAAAGATCTTATAATTTCAGGCCCGCATGGAGGTGGAGGATCTCTTCGTGGACCTGGCAGATGGGAGGCGGCTGCTCAAGCTGCTGGAAATCATCAGCGGCGAGAGACTGCCCAGACCGAACTCGGGCAGGATGCGGGTCCACAAGATCGAAAACGTCAATAAATCGCTCAGTTTCTTACACACGAAGGTAAGATGGAGTTTTGGGTCTTCTGCTGAAACTCTTTTTTGTGGTGACCTTTGGAGATGTAGCAATGCCTGGACCGTCAATGCCCCGTCCACTCCCTGATGGGATACTACCTCCTTCCAACATGCCTTTTGCCCTGGATTTTCGCCATCATAACAAGCTGGAGGGGGCAGTCGTGGTCATGGGGTGGACGTGACTTTGTCCTTGATGGTCTCTAGCAGTATTCTTGTCATCCCATTGCGCTGAAGGACAATGTCGTTTGATATTCTGTTGATCTAACTGATATAGCAACACATGTCTTCAAAGTCTTGTCTAGAATATGGGAAGATTTTTTTATGATCATTATGTATTTAAATAAAACACTTTAACGGTTTAAAACGTGATATATTAGTTAAACCAATTCGAAAATGATTTTTAATTTCGGCCCGACGTTTCGGATGCTTTCCAGCAACCGTGGTCACGGGGAGACTAAAGATGGAGGATGTCTCTGACGTCAAAGTAATATATCGCGTTTTAAACCGTTATAGTGTTTTATTTAAATGTTTACTACTCGCGTAAACTATAGACAGGATCATTATGCATTTTTTGTCCGGGCCCGTCTATAGTTACCGGACGGATGTCTGCAGCTAGACCAATGGTGCCCCGAGATAGTCAAGTACTGTCTATATTTTACAGGAGTAGCACCTGTTGATATAAATCGCTTTTTAACGGTTTAATACGCAAAATATAATAGTTGACATATTCTACTTATCTGGCCCAGAACTCGTATTTAAATTAAGTTAAGTTAACAAACATATTTCGCATTTAAAACCGTTAAAAAGTTTTTTTATTTCAGAATTTGTTCATGTGTCAAAAATGATTAAGAACGGGTATCCTGAAAGTCTAATATTAAAATAAAACACTTATAACGGTTCAAAACTTGAAACTTATTTTATGTATTTTAACTAAAGGCGTTTAAGACGCTTTTAGCAACCACGGAGGAGAATTAAAAATGAATTAATTCAAATATATCGCGTTATAAACCGTATATGGTGTTTTATTTACATTTTTTTTAACAATTATTACTGAGGATATATAGAAAATATGACAGTTTGTTTGCGATTAAGCTTACACATTGTATATTAGCGGGATTTGATTACTTTTGACATAAGGATTAAATTATTAAATAAAACACTTTTTAACGGTTTGAAACGCGAAAAAATATTTTTTTAAACCTATCTTATATTAAGTGCGGGGCGTAGTCAAAATAGAAATAGTAATCGTTAATATGTTTCGCATTTTACACCGTTAAAGTGTTTTATTTACTAGCGATAACTACAAACAATACATAGGTTTGCAACTTATCGGCGACCTTGCAGGGGCTTCCTAATTACACTTATATAATACAGATAAGCTATATCAGTTTACTAGTTAGTTGATTGTTTTGTTATCATTTATATTTTCGAGAAATAAAACATGTCTCTGCATGTGTCACAATGTTCGGTGTAAAAATAAAACCTAGCCACGTATTGTCTATAGTTTACGCGAGTAGTACACATTTAAATAAAACGGTTTAACGGTTTAAAACGCGATATATTAGTTAGACCTATTTGATAAATGGTTTTTAACTTCGGCCCGATGTTTCGGATGCCTTGCAGCAGCCGTGTTCACGGACAGACGGACAAACTAGTTTAACTAATAAATATCGCGTTTTAAACCGTTAAAATATTTTCACTGATTACCAAATAGAAACATTTTCACACAAATTCATGTAACTATTACTGTATTGACGGTTTAAAACGCGAAAAGTATTAGTTAACTTATTCACAATATATTTTAACAGCTAGAATTTTCTAGCAACCGTGCAGTTGTTAACTAATACATTTCGCGTTTTAAACGGTTCAAAATTGTTTTATTTACATCTGTACTACTCAAAGTATTGTCTGTAATACTCAACTATTCAACATTTACGTGAAATAAACGTAAATCAATGTATTAAAAATGACTAAGATGGAGAAAGTATTATTGTTATCGTGTTATATCAATTTGAACTATAACGCTTTGTAAATAGAGTATATATTTACTTGTACTATCATACAACCTTGGGGAAACCTCAGACGGCGTTGCGGGTCTTCGGAAAGTATGTTGTAATTGTCTTATATCATATGTAACTTATTCTGTATTTGTTATTTTTCTCTTTGTCTACAAAGCCCTTTTAACTTTAAGAGCAGACAATATATGTATGTAGATTAAATACTGTCTGTAGTTTACGCGAGTTGTACACATTTAAATAAAACACTCAAACAGTTTGAAACGCAAAATATTTAAGTTAAACTTGTTTAAAAAGCCGTGCATCGGGGCGCAGCCGTGGTCACAGGGGTCTCTCCTGCTGCACAGCATCCGAAACGTCGGGACGCGGTTAAAAATAATTTTCAAACAAGTTTAATTAAAATATATCGCGTTTTAAACCGTTATAGTGTTTTATTTAAAGCTTAGCATCTATATCCTTCTCAAAAACGTTAAAATATTAAACAGACTCTTGTCATCTTCCAGGTCAGACTGGAATCCATTGGAGCAGAGGACATAGTGGACGGTAACCCTCGTCTCATCCTGGGTTTGATCTGGACCATCATCCTCCGATTCCAGATTCAAGAAATAGAGATAGACGTTGTAAGTATCGGGACGAAGTATAATAATATATAAAGCTGAAGTTTGTTTGTTTGAACGGGCTAATCTAAGGAACTACTTGTTTTTGTATGGTAGGAATTATTTGTAATGGTAGCAATGTGCGGCTAATCCACGGGTCCTGGGTTCGATCCCCACCAGGTCCTACAATTGGCTAATCAATTTATATTTTTTCTAATACGTATTGGACTTCGTCTGGAAATCTGGATTATAGAAATATCAAAGTCACGAACCACCGTCCACAGATGAAAAAGCCGTGTTAATAGTTCAGTCGGTGGATTTCCGAATATTAGCCAACATTGGTCGACATCGCATCTTGTTTAGATGCTATGCTGGGGTATACAGGGGATAAAAATCGATGGTCTTTCCAGGACGAAGAGAATGAGTCGTCCGAGAAGAAATCAGCAAAGGACGCCCTTCTTCTATGGTGTCAGCGGAAGACGAGCGGCTACCACGGTGTCCACATTCACAACTTCACCGATTCTTGGCGATCCGGTTTGGGTTTCAACGCGCTTATACACGCACATAGGTATGTCGTTGGTAATTATTAGTTACGGCGGGAATCGAACCACGACAAACAGTGTAACGTTCCTATAAGAATTATGTTATATTTAAATAAAACACTTAACGGTTTAAACCCCGATATATTAGTTAAACTTATTTGAAAATGATTTGAACTTCGGCCCGACGTTTCAGATGCTTTGCAGCAGCCGTGGTCACGAGGAGACTGTCTCCCCGTGACCAGTTTAACTAATATATCGCGTTTTAAACCGTTAAAGTGGTTTATTTAAATGTGTACTACTCGCGTAAACTATAGACAGCATTTGATTATGTTATAGTCATTTCTTTTCTTAAATGGAGAAATTGTGAAAAACTGGTCATACATAATAATATTTATTAACATTTCTTAAAAGTAATGTCCGTAGTTTACGCGAGTAAACTATTTTTAACGGTTTAAATCCCGAACTATATCAGGTTACTTATGTTTTATTTATTTTAACTGCGGCCCGACGTTTCGGTTGATTTACCTAAAAGTAACAAATATATTTCGCGTTTTTAACCGGTGACAGTGTTTCATTTACATTTGTTTATGTCAGTCGTTGATAAAATCCATAGGAGTATCTGCTACAAATATTGTAACGCCTGAATTTGAAGCCTGAACCTATAAAACTACACTGCAAGCATATTACCACTGAGTAACGACGCTGGTTACACAGTATAAGAGAAATGTCTTACTTTTCAGACCAGACCTGTTCCGCTGGACGGAAGTACCCACGAGTGACCACGTGGAGACCCTCAACCATGCCTTCGACGTGGCTCACAAGAACCTGGGAATTCCCAAACTGCTTGATGCAGAAGGTAATATAGCGACGAAGATTTTTTAAAGCACTTGTCAGTGCCTCAAAATCAGTTTAGGCTCATACTAAAATATGGAATTACTGAAATTTTTCGCGTTTCAAACGGTTTAGAACCGGAAGTCTCACTCTCTATTATAATTTAAGGAGACCGTGCTTATATATTCTTTATCAATAATGGATAACTTTTTCTGTATTATTTTTAGAAATTTACGTAATTATATAATAGACATTCGACGTACATACAATAGACGATCTGGTTACTAGAATGTAAAATTGTTTTTAGACATTCGTTAAATGAAGTCACTTTATACATTTACACTTTATAAATCTTGGGGCATCCGAATTCTTCTTTGCAAATCCCATCTTAACTTAAGCTGTTATCCACGACGTCGGTTGCAAGTTGATTTTTAAAGATAGACAATGTTAAATTCGAACCAGTAGTTCCTGAGGTTAGCGTTCAATGTTGCCAGTTTTATTATATTAGTATAGATATAAATGTATGGTTTAAAACGCGATTTATATTAAATAAACTTATTTGGTGACGGGGAGACTCCGTGAAACGTCGTGTCGTAGTTCGTGTTATTTTCAAATGAGTTTAACTAATATAAATCGCGTTTTAAACCGTTAAAGTTTTTTCATTTAAATGTGTAGAACTCGCGTAAACTACAGACAGTATTTAATACATGTATATTTTTACGCAGACGTGGACACTACACGACCCGACGAGAAATCTGTAATGACCTACGTCGCTAGCTACTACCACACTTTCGCGCGAATGAAGAACGAACAGAAAAGTGGAAGAAGAATTGCCAACGTAAGCATTGTTTATTCTTTACTGTGCGATAGAACCAGGTCTTTTTTAATATAGAGGAGAACAGACAAGCAACGGATTCACTTGGTGGGAAGTCACGAACTGCCGTACTAGACTGACTTTTATTAGCGTTTCAGTCTGTGGATTCCGATATGTCAAAATGGTCAACAGCGATCTTGTTCAGGTATTGGGTATTCACCAACCACCTCACCATGAAGAAGCCATTTAAATAAGCACTTTAATGGCTTAAAACGCGAAATTTATAAACGTTAAACGCCGGGCCGTAGTCAAAAATAATTTGTTAACAAGTTTCACTAATATATTTCGCGTTTTAAACCGTTTAAAGTGTTTTGAAAGTAAAAAAAATCAATAATTTCAGATAATCGGCCAATTGATGGACTGTGACGCGAGAAAAGCGGAGTACTGCAGACTCCTCACTGCCTTACTTGAGTGGATTCGTCTCAAGATAACCGAACTGAACTGTCGGGACTTCCCCAATTCCTTGGACGGCATCCAGCGTTTGTTACTCGCCTTCAAGCAGTACAGAACTGTGGAAAAACCACCTAAGTAAGTTTATTTTCTAACAGAGCTCCATCGCTGCAAAAATAATTCAGTAACACAATGGACCCAATGAGCCATTAACTTACCAACTTGGACACGGACTAACTGTACCGTCGCAATTGGTATTTAGAGAAGTGCCTTCAGAACTGACACAGGTTAATGGCAACTACGATGAAACAGATGGCGCTAGCAACGTCGTATATATGACTGTAGAGACACGGTTGCAAAGCATCCAAGACGTTGTGTCTAGTTAACGGAACTATTTTACGTTTTAAACCGTCAAAAGAATTTTATTTATATGTTCAGATTTTCTGTTTTGCTCTTATGCTAAATACGTGTCCACGAAGTCAAAAAAATATTTGGATTATCAAAAAGTATGATCAGATGATATTTCTGAGTATGTATAACTTGTATATGTGCGAAACGACGATAGCTTTTTAATGTAACAAAACCTAAGCATACATTGACCCCCCACCTCAGGCCCCATCACGGCTGCTGCAAAGCATCTGAAACGTGGGGCCATAATTAAAATAATTTGTTAATTAGTCAACTAATATAATTCTTGTTTTAAACCGATTTAAGTATTAGTTTAAATTTGAACTTCGCGTAAACAACAGTATTGTTTGTAATTTAAGACTTACATTTTGAACGTACATTTTACAGATATAAAGAGCGTTCAGAGATTGAGGCGTTATACTTTGGAATTAACACAATGCTAAAGAGCCTAGTCGGTGAAGCGTGGGCACCTCAAGATGGACAGCTGCCACAAGACCTGGAACGTGCTTGGCAACAACTAGAACAGGTACGGTGTATACTTCATCTAATAACACATTAACATCTCCGGCTCGAAGGACCAGAAAAGTTTTCTCGAAGGATCATAAAGTCGTTATGAGTCTTATTGTGGCTGTATATTTCTTCCTTTTTTATACATTCCTAAAAGACAAGTTTTTCATTAGCTATTTGATTTGAAGTAAACTATTTTATTTTGGTTGGTAAATAGATTTACAAAAAATATAATTTTTATTCGATGATTTTGTGTTTCACAATTAAATTGTAAATCATTACAGGCAGAACATGCGCGTGAGTTGGCGCTGCGAACGGAATTATTGCGACAACAGAGATTGGAACAGCTAAACTACAAATTTAATACTAAAGTGAGTATTTTTGTCAGTACACGTTTTAATTTTGGCATAATGAAATATTTATTGCTAATAGTCTATTTTTAAAATGAATCATTTTTAACGGTTTAAAACGCGAAATATATTCTCTTTATTAACTACGATCTAACGTTTCGAGTGCTTCACAGCAGCCATGTTTATAATTTTGGAAACTAACTTAAGTTTTTTTTGCTTTACAACTATATCTTCGCTTAGTCGAGGAATTCTTGTGATCGGTCGTTAAATAAAACTCTTTAAACGGTTTAAAACGATAAAAAAATTAGTTGCCCCCACGTGACTACGGCTGTGCATCCAAACGTCGGACCACATTTAAAATAAATTAGGTAACTTATATATTTCGCGTTTTAAACCGTTAAAAGTGTTTTATTTACGTTTCTCTGCTATGTTTCAGTCGGTCCTTCGTAAAGGCTACCTCAAGGAGATGATCCAGGTCCTGTCAGATCCACGCTACGGCTCCAACTTGTCACAAGTGGACGCAACTGTCAAAAAACACGAAGCAATCTCTGCTGATATTCTGGCAAGGTGAGTTTCCCCTTCATGGGGCATGGGGCGAACACATTTCTGTGTCTGTTTCACTAATAATAAAGTAGTTGATCAGCCCTGCCCGACCAAAAGACTATCAGTTCAGCTGTTTATTGCATTGCTTATTTGATGGTTTGAATAAAAAAACATAAACAGTTTAAAACGCGATATATTAGTTAAACTTATTTGAAATTTATTTTAACGAAGGCCCGTCGTTTCGGAAGCGTTGCAGCAACCGTGGTCACGGCCTGTCTCCCCTTTTTTTATATAAATAGGATTTTTTTTTAATAGAACACTTATAACGGTTAAAAATCGAAATTTATTATTTAACTTATTTTTAATAATATATTTCGCGTTTTAAACCATAAGTGACATACAACAACAGTAGAAGTTATTCGCTATTATTAAAAAAGGTTTGTGATTTAAAATTTATTTTACGACATCATGTATGTACAATAACTATAATATCAAGACTGCTTTGAGAAAAACATTAATTTAGATGGTAATTGTAAAACATTTTAACGGTTCAAAACGCCGTATATACTAGTTACACTTATTTGAAAACTATTATAACAACTACCCTATGTTTAACGTAAACTAGAGATAGTTTCCAATTTTAACGGTTCAAAACTATTTTCCGTCCGTTTTAACGGTTTATTTTATTGTCTTTCCAGAACCGAACGTTTCGAAGATCTATCCGCCATGGCGGCGGAACTTGTCCGGGAGAATTACCACGGCGCTGAAGCTGTATCCCGGACAGAGCAAGCTGTCCTCACCCGCTGGCGTGAACTCCTGGAACTGCTGGAGCGGCACAGGGCTTCGCTGTCCCGTTTGGCGCATTTGATGGCGTTGCTGAGGGAGGCTGATGCTGTAGCACATACCCTCGCTGAGATGAAGGTAGGTTTACTAACTATACAACAACTAAATAAATCATTTTAACGGTTATAACCCGATATATATTAGTTACTTATATATATCGCGTTTTGAACCGTTAAAGTGTTTTATTTAAATGTGTACTACTAGCGCAAACTATAAACAGTATTTTATACCACGACTTCTAAACAATTTTACATCTAGGTGTTTCAAAGATAAAGGCTCATTTATTTTTTAATAAGGGCGATAAAACATGATATCTCATCGTAGCAATGTAGAGCTTATAATGATTCATGGATGGTCATGGATTCGATTCCCACCGGGTTTCATATTAATTTATAATTATTTTGAAACATGTTGGAATTCAGTTGGACGTAAAACTACGCTTAAATAGCTCTTGAAATGTCGGATTCTAGTTAAACTTTAATAAAATTATATTTTTCAAGTTTTAAACTGTTAAAAGTGTTTCGTTAAACATAATTTTGAAACTGAATTGTATTGTAATAACACGATTTAAGGATAGTGAAAAACCATTTGTTTTTTCAGTGATGAGTGGAGTGAAAACTAAGTAAAACCATTTTAAATACTGTCTATAGTTTACGCGAGTAGTACACATTTAAATAAAACACTTTAACGGTTTAAAACGCGATATATTAGTTAAACTTATTTGAAAATGAGTTTAACTAATATATCGCGTTTTAAACCGTTAAAGTGTTTTATTTAAAACCTTTTTTTTTAAACTCCTTCATTATTATTTTTTTGTCTTGTTTGTTCTTTCTCGTCCACGTCCAATCTTTTAACACATCACTTGCCCAACTTGTTGTTGTTTTTATAATTAAATAAATAAATAAAAAACTTATCTGCGCCATAATACATTAAAGTTATTATAAGTTATTTTAAATTTAATACATCTCATTACATTATGCACGCAAATGTCGAACCTACGACCAGACAGTTCCGTGCTATTTTTCTTACTTTATTTTATTATATTTAGGCCCAATTCGAATCGGAAGAGGTCGGCCGCCATCTTGTCGACGTGGAACGCCTACTACAAGCGCACGCGCTGCAAGAGTTACAACTCGGCGCTTTGGACGAAAGCATACAACGCTTAGTGCGGCAGGGCAGCGCCGTCGAAGGCTTGCAGCAAACGCAGCAGCTCCAGCATCAGCTGCAGACGCTCACAAACAATTACCAGAGGTACTTAGTCTATAAGTGATAAATTTGTAGGACTGCATTTAAATTGAAAAACAATTGCTAATTTACAGATAATATTTCACATTTTAAACCGTTTAGTATTGCATGATACTTACCCAAACAATAATAAGCTAAGCTTAGATGAGTATTTCCTGTATATTAAATAGCACTTTGAACGCTCGTAAATGTAAAATGTATTTCTTAATTCACTTTAACATCGTTTGGATTTCCGGATATCCAAAGTCAAAATAGATCGACTGCGAATCGAGTTATCTTCCTGTATCATATTAAAAAAAAACCTTACAAATATATTTCGCGTTTTAAACTGTTAAAAATGTTTTATTTTGCACAATTCGGGAAAAATACATAATATATGTGTTTTACAGTTTGGTCGCAGCAGCAAAAGACCGAAAGGCGAGATTGGAAGACGCGAGGAACCTGTACCAGTTCTTGGAAGACCATGACGAGGAAGAAGGTAATTTTTAATTCATCAAATTTCCCGAAAAACTCCAATATGCTGCAGAACATTTATTAATTGAAAACATCCCGTTAGGAACAGAACCCACGACGTATTCTAACTAAACACTAATAACGGTTTAAAACCGCGAAATATAATATTAACTTATTTTTTACCTCCCGAGACTATGTCTGCAAAGCAGAAAGTCGTTACACATTGAAATGAAGCTTTTTTAACGGTTTAAAACGCAAAATCAATAAGATACAACGAGACAACTAAGTTCAACTAATATATCGCGTTTTAAACTGTTAATGTGTTAACTTGTCCCTATACCAGGTTGGGTAATCGAGAAGCAGCGTATATGCCGTGCCGAAGTAGCTGCCAAGGAGCTGCGCGGTGTCCTGGCTTTGAGGCAGAAGCATACTGCTCTGCTGCACGAGCTGCGCGCCAGAGATCTGGTCGCGCAGCGGCATCGAGCGAAAGGGCAGAGGTAAGCTCTTTCACTTAAAAGCAATAAGGAAATATTTTAAAACTAATCTATATGGATCTAACTATACTAATATATAAAGCTGAAGAGTTTGTTTGTACGCGCAAATCTCAGGAACTACTGGTATGAATTGTTTTTTTTTGAGTTAGAAGATTTATTGAGAAAAGTTTTAGGCTATAAAATATAGGCCAAGGGCGAAGATGCACTGGGTAATGTGAAAGAACAGGAAAAAATCTACTTTATTTATTGAATATATACTCAAAAACAGTATGAAAGAATATGAGAAAGGGTAAGAATACTGTCTATAGTTTACGCGAGTAGTACACATTTAAATAAAACACACTAACGGTTTAAAACGCGACATATTAGTTAAACTTATTTGAAAACGATTTTTAACTTCGGCCCGACGTTTCGGATGCTTTGCAGCAGCCGTTGTCACGGCGTCTCCCCGTTTTAAACCGTTAAAGTGTTTTATTTAAAAGGGTAAGAATATATAAAAGAACGATTCCCGTTAATGATCTTGAGATACACATATACCGTAGAAGCCTTTTACTTTAATTTTACCCGGTTTTTTCCACATTCTTCACCCATATTAGTCGCGTGATGTTATGTAACCTAAAATCTAAATCCTTCCTCGATAAATGCTCAAACCGACATATTTTAAATTCTGCCTATTGTTTACGCGAGTAGTACACATTTAAATAAAACACTTTAACGATTTAAAACGCGATATATTAGTTATATTGCGTATATATATTAGTTTAACTAATATATCGCGTTTTAAACCGTTAGTGTTTTATTCAAACATGTTTTATCAATTTGACCCAGTAATTCTTGAGATAAGCGCGTTCAAACAAACTCTTCAGCATTCAATTTTAGTATAGACTAGTCAATAGATATAAAATTGTGTTTTTAGGTGTAAATAGATTTCGCTTAAGATTGCTGTCTGATTGTCTAAAGGTACTTTAAACCTCAAATGAGACATCATAGAATCAACTTAGTGTGACTATAACAGATGGCGCTAGTGTAATAGTAGTCTAATCTTCTGACGTTACCTTTTTAGTCTAATAGACGCGAAACATCCGAAGACCGCTGAAATAGAGAGACGCTTGGCAGCACTGAGCGAACAGTGGGAGATATTGCGAAAATTGGCCAACGACAGAGATAAGAAATTGGCCGACGCGGCTGAGGCTCACCAAGTATGTAATTATTTAACGGTTTAAAACTGCATAAATATTCGTTTACTTATTTTCAACTACGCGGCGGATGCGGATGGAGATGAGGCTCACAACGTTTGTATATACTTACATATTGTCATCTATTTAACGGTTTAAAACTTGGCATTTATATTGAACTTATTTTCAACTACGACTCAAAGTGTTGGACGCCACAGCTGCTACAAAACATGCGAAATCGGGTCGTCGTTAAAAATGTGTCTGTAAATGTGATTGTAAATATGACACTGTAACGTCATCTTGGTCAGTTTTTGACTTGTTCAATAGATTAATAAAGAAGGTTTAAAATGTGACCGTTTAAAAATGGTTTTTTACGTCGATCAGATTATATATTTATGTTTTTTCCTAGTTCTATGGAGACGCGAACGAAGCAGAATCTTGGATGAAGGAGAAACGCGCGCTGGTAGCCAGCGACGATTGCGGTGTAGACGCACCTGGTGCTGCCGCTTTACTGGCTCGGCAGAAGATTGTCCATGATGAGTTAAGGGCGTATAGAGAAGAACTGGAGACGCTACGTGCAGCAGCAGATAGATTAGAAGCAGCTGGAATCCATACACTTCAAGTAAGTGATTTAAATTAATTGTTATATCACATTTATGGCTAAGTAAGATTTTACTGGGAAGAAATTAAGGTATTGTCTGTAAATAACGCGAGTATATATTTAATTGAAGCACTTTTCAAACTTTTGCACTTTGCACTTTTGTTTTATTTCAGTTCCTCGAGATTATTCGGTGTTAGAAAGAGTTAGAGAGGAACTTTTTCGGTTGTAGAAGGCATAGTAGTTTGATTATCATCAGTGTTTGAATAAAGAACTTTAACGGTTTTAAACCCGCAATAAATTAGTTAGCTTATTTACAATATATTTGAACTGAGGAAATACCCTTCGTGACAACGTGCCAATGCAAAGAATCGACATTAGGCCGTGGTTAAAGTAATTCGTAAATTAGTTGAATATGTTGCGCGTTCTAAACTGTTTAAACTGTTATATTTACGTGTACTACTCGCGTAAACTATCTAGTTGAAGGAATGATTCAGGTTAATGATAAAATTTTTTTTCAGTTACCAACAGAAGTAGAGCCTAGCGGAACCGTAGAGAGCGAAGAAGAATGGGGAAGCGAGACGAGATTAGTGCCTACAGAAGTGTGGGAGGAGGAACCAGTCGAAAGACTGGAGCACAGAACCGTCACAGAGGAAAGGAGTGTACCACAGGTTTGTACTAGTTCCATAACAAGTCTTTTTTTATATAGACTGATGGTCGTGATATCAGCCATGTAACAATTCAAAAAGATGCGCTGCTGGCCTTTTTTAGCTTTGGATATTCAAAGATGTTACAGAAATATTATAAATTGATTAGCAACATGTTGCATCCGGTGGGGTTCGAACCCACGTCCCACTGATTATTAGCCATACTTTGCCATTAGAGTTTAGACCAACTTGAACGGATAGCGAATACTTTTTTTTAAAAAGGCCAGGTTAAATTAAAAGGTCCAAAGATAAACTACAGTGATAGCCCCCACTGGTGGGGGGGGTTGCGATAAGTCTGCAATAAACCAAACGGCCACTTGACCATAGACACCTTTGTGACCTCACCCACATACTCCTCGGTACCTCTAAATCGAGTGAACATCGGTTCGGTTCTGCCCTCTCCCCGGGGCACCCTTGGTCGAGTTGTAAACACGACAAGTGAAATACGGGTATGACGTAATCAAGACAAAAAAAGGTAGACCTTGGCTCGTTTATTTCACCTTCCAAGTGAACCACCCCCCCGGTCGTATATCCCCCTCTTTCATAAGATTAATTTTCCAGGTGAAGGCGTTGTACGCGTTCAGCGGCCAAGGAATATCGATGGCAAAGGGGGAAGTCATGTTCCTGATAAACAAGACCAACCCGGATTGGTGGTCTGTTCGCAAGGCGGATCGCACCGATGGCTTCGTTCCCGCCAATTACGTGCGGGAAATCGAACCTAGGCTAGTTCCGGTAAGATATATATATGTATATTTTTTGAATGGGCTTTAACCTTACTTAATAATGTCGCCCAATAGAACCTAACTATGATTACATTAAAAGTATTTACATATTGGAATTATTTAGTTAGACTACTGTATAGTTTCCGCGAGTAGTACACATTTAAATGAAAAACTAACGGTTTAAAACGCGATATATATTAGTGAAACTTATTTGAAAATTAATTTTGTCTCCCCGTGACCGCGGCTGCTGCAAAGCATTCCAAACGTCGGGCCGATGATAAAATCATTTTCAAATAAGTTTAACTAATACATCGCGTTTTAAACCTGCCCGTGTCGTAAGTTTTTTCTATTTAAAATCCATTTTTAATTTAAGCCTTAACGAGAGTTCTTGATATAACATACAAATCCTTGTATTCCTGGGATTCGAACCAAAGATCTCTCTAGCCAAGCGCTTAGTCTCTAAGCCACACAGAGGCGGTCAAATATAGCTTAAAGTACACTGTCTGTTTACGCGAGTGGTACACATTTTAATAAAACACCTTAACGGTTTAAAACGCGATATATTTTAGTTAAACTTGTTTGAAAATTATATTTAACTACGTTCCGAAGTTTCGGATGCTTTGCAGCAATCGTGGTCAGGAGGAGACTGTAGTTAAGATAAGTTTCAAATAAAGTTAACTAATAGTAATCAGTGAAACGGACACAGAAATGTGTTCGCCCTATGCCCCACGAAGAGAAACGGGATTTTACAAAATACCATAAGGCACACAAAAACATATAAGTATAGGATAGGAATAGGATCTTACTCAGCTTATCAGGTCTTTGGTTGACCTGAGACTGATTCTCAGTATGTCCTTGGACAGCGCCGCCACACGCAAGTGACAAAAAAGTCTTTATTTCTCCTCCCAGGTCCAAGTACGTCGCGCAGAAAAAGTGCGGACCGTCCAACGAGTGAAGAAGACTGTGCTAGTCAAACAGGTCGTCCCCGTCAGACGTAACGTGTTAACGCGCCGCCGTGGGACCGTCCACCAGGCGCCTCCAGTCCCACCCGTGGGCGAGAGGATGAATCACATTGATGCCCATTACGGTATGTATTTGTGGTCCATTAGTGTTTTCAAATGTGTGACGTACAGAATTAGTTGATCGGATCGTGGGTTCTAATCCCACCGGATCCATCATGTATCTAATCTATTTATAATACTTCTAAAACATTTTGGAGTTCGTCTGAAAATCGGGATATCAAATAGGAAATAATGAAATACTGTGCAGATCACGAACCACCGTCCACAGATAATAAGCCGTCAAGTTTGATCGCGTTTATGGATTTTAGAAGTCCAAACCCGGAATAGGTCGACGGCACATCGTGTTAACACCTCTTATCAGATGAAACCCACGTTCGTCAGCCCTCCTCATTCATATAATATTAAAAAAAAAGAGAATTAAAAGATTATTGATGCTAACCCACGACAGTACGTTACTGCCGTGGCGTCGAATTGCGTTACATTTATTTTATTTTTTCAATTTCCAGCCGAACTGCTACAACTATCCGAAGCGAGACGAGCTCAATTAGAAGACGCCATCAAGCTGTACAGCTTCTTCGCGGAGTGCGACGACTTCGACAAATGGATGAAGGAGAAGGAACGGATGCTCAGAACAGATGATAAAGATGACAGCGTTGATAAAGCCAAGAGGAAGTATGAGGTCAGTTGGAGAATCAGATAAATTTTAATGAGATGCAAAAATTTATATATGTATACAATTAACTACTGTAAACAGTTACTGCTATTTTAAATAAAACATTTCCAACGGTTTAATTCGTGATATATATTTAGTGTTGTCGGTTGTTTATTTGAGTAGTACAATTAAATTAAGTTAACTAATATTTTTCACGTTTTAAACCGTCAAAAGTATTTAACTAAGACCCGACCTTTTGTAAGCTCTTAGCTTTGAATTTAAAAATATGCTACTGACGAACCTGCGACCACAGCGCACACACTACATTACTAAATGCTACGCCAAAAATTACGTGACATTCTGAAGGTTTTCAAACTAGTACTCTGAAATAAAGGCCGACACCACATTTTTTAATATTTTTTAAAATCTTGGCATAACTCGTAAATGTCAATTGTAATAAAATATTTATCATGTTGTGTTACAAAAAAATATGTTTTCAGAAATTCGTTACCGACCTATCAGCGGCCTCGAAGCGTCTAGAACGAATCGACGCTGCAGCCGAAGAACTAGTTGCCGCTAAGCATAGCCAAGCTGCTAAGGCTACAGCACGGCGACAGCAACTGAGACAGCAGTGGGAGAGACTGCTGCGGCTGAAGCAGCAGAAGGAGAAGAGTTTAGAAGGCGCTTCGAGGTATATAAAAATTGATATAAAGTTTCATAAGGGGCAAAAAGTGACGTCATTAAGAAGTAGACAGCTTCACTCTTCTGGTTATTTTAAATATATTAACTTTGTTTAATATGTAATGAGACGAGGGCCTTACGGAAAAACTCGAATGAATTTATGTTGACGCTTTTTTATGTTACAAATAAATGTAAAATTTTGAATGAATAAAAAAAAACATTAAAGATCTAACATATATAAATAACTTGGATTCACTTTTTTTATTTTTAAAGTTATATTAGTAATAACTGACTATCGATTTTTTTAACCCATTCATGTCCCACTGCTGGGCACAGATCTTTAGCATAGGAGAGAGTGTAAACTTAGACCCACCGGCAGGTTTTATATTAATTAAAAATCGATTTGTTTGATAACTTTAATAATCGATTTTTATTATATTTTTCACATATTAAAAATCGATTTTTTTTATATTGTAAAACTATGCTATAGCGTGGAGCTATTCAACCGAACCTGCGACGAAGCGCTGGACTGGATGTGCGAGAAGGAGCAACAGCTGGAAATCTCATCAGCGCCAGCTGCAGATTTGCGCACCGTCCAGGCGTTGCAGCGGAGGCACGCGCAGCTTGAGAGAGAATTGGAGCCACTGCGGGAGAAAGTCCATACTGTCACGTTGCTGGCTGATTCGTAAGTGCCCTTTCTTACACTCCAAAGAAAAGAGAAGAGACACTGTACAGTTTACGCGTTTAATGTGTACACATTAAAATAAAACACTTGTACAATATACTTTGACCTTAGAGACACCTTCAATCTTTAGTGTCCCCGTGACTATGGCCCCTAAAAAACATGCGAAACGTCGGGCTGAAATGTAAATTAAAAAAAGTAACGGTTTAAAACGCGATATGTAGTAGTCAAACTTATATGTAAATTGTTATAACTACGGCCCGACGTTTGTTTCATACACTATATTACTAATATATATCGTATTTTAAACCGTTTTAAGACGCGAAATATATTATGTATACTAATACTTATTTAGAAATTATTTTAACTACACCGATCGACGTTTCTTATATGCGCGATATAAGTAATATACAACGCGTTTTGAACCGTTTTGAAGAGATCAGATGTCAGATTACAGCTTTTGTTGATGTTTTTTTATGTAAAACTATCGAACATCGTTATCGTTTGATAAAGTTTATATGGCTGTGACGTCACTATATACTCAACTTGTGAAAACCCCCATTTGGGGTATGGGGCAAACACACGCCCTGCTCTTCCGTACCGATGTTTATATACATTAAACCTTTTATTCTTTCAGTGTTAAATCCCAATACCCAAGCGAGCGCTCAAATGTGGAAGGGCGTCAAAAGGAGATTGAAAGTATGTGGGTTCGATGCCACGCGCAGGCAGCCGAACGTCGCAGTAGATTGGAGAGTGCTGTCGGGCACCAGATCTTTGGCAACAGCAGTGCTCAGCTGCAGGATTGGGTGCAGGTTCGTGATTATATTAACCATGTTTTAGTTTAAATATAAATGAACGGATTAAAACGCGCTATATAATTGTTAGATGATTATGTTAACACAATGTGTCGGATGGAGCAGCATTGCTTTTATTATTTTTTGTTTATATAGAGGAGGACGAGCTAACATGGGCTTTACGGTAGATAAAATACCCCAACCGTACGAGACCCGTGTAGACCTATTCGACAGAGCACCTTGTTTACGGCTCTTTGGAGTATTGGTAGCAATGTAACGTACACTGCTACCATACAATCAACGGGTCGTGGGTTCGTCCAACATTTTTCTAAGCTATTTAAAAAAATTCTAAAACATTTTGGACTTCGTCTGCAAATCTGGATATTATATGGGTGGGAGGAATTTAGAAATTCCGTCCAGGTCCCGTACCAACGTACAAATGAAAAAGCCGTGACGTTTACTTACGTTTCAGTTTGTCAGTAGATTTCCGAATATCCAAAGCCAAAAAAGGTCGACAACGCATCTTGTTTAGATTCTATAGGCTGGGTTGTTTCACCTACAATCAAGTGAAACGCACTTCTACCAACCTATAAGAGAAAATTGTTAATAAATATGATCACCAATTTGAACTCCCTTTTCCAGAAAGTTCGTGCACAGATAGCATCAGATGCGACAGCGAAGGACGTGGCCACGGCTGAAGCGTTGGTGAAGCATCATCAGGAACTACACGATGATATCAAAGCCCACGATGATGAGTGAGTCAATTATTTACCTATTTATCCCACAGCTGGGACTACCTTCTAAGAAGAGGAGGATTCGGAATGAGATCGAATTTTCTTTTGTATCTGGAGTCTTTTACCAAAAAGCACGTAACAGATTATAAACAAAGATGGGAGAAATGTTTTTGGTCATTATTGGGAATCGAACTACCGACCTAACCAAGAGAAGTGCTCAACCAACCATTGAACTAAATAATATATTTATTTAGTTCAATGTTAAGTCAAATTAAATATAATAGTATTTTGTATTAACATGCAAAAACGGTGTGATAAATTTAAAATTAGTTTTACTATTATCTAAAACCATCGCCATGGTGGATTGTTTAAGTGCAAAAAGAAACATAGTTACGGTCGCGCAGAGCGCAAAACTTACAAAAAACGATGAGCGTAACGGATTTAGATATATTTATTATGTTGGCAGCGCATGTGGATTATATATTCCAATAAGATGTGTCGCCAACCTATTTTCGGCTTTTGAAATTTGGAATTTTCACAGACTTTCAATAAAAAATATGACGCTTCCCGTTGTGAACGTTGGTTCCTGGCTGAGGTGGTACTTGATATCTTTACTATCCATCTAATAACCAGACTTCCAGACGAAGTCCAACACTTTCACGAAATATATTTTTGGACCTGATGGGAACCGAATCCACGTTTCGAAGATGATCAAACCCATTGCATCTATTAGACTAACTTCCGATTTAATTTTTCAGATTCAAAGAAGTAATCGGTCTAGGCAAACAACTTCTCGCAAACAACCCAACACTTACTGACGTCAGAGACAGAATTCATCAGTTAGAAGACGAACAGAAAGCGACACACAGAGGTAAACAATTTGGTCCTTCGAGTCATTGCAATATTAGATAGACAGAAAGTTCGCGAAGTAGCGCGAGGATACTGTTTTATTGTCACTAAATGTAGTTTACAAGTGGCGCCATGTAACTTCAAGACATCCTATTTTCAACTTGTGTTGTTAAGACGATTGCTTTCGTGCATTCATAATTAAACATTTCACGTTTTAAACCGTTAACCTAGGTTTTTTAATCTTGGGGGGCATAGAAGCATAGGATTTGCTTGATAAAAGGTGAACCTCAGCCGGTTTTATTTAAATATGTATGTACGACAACAATAATACTATATTTAATCTAAGAGTATGTTTTACAGAATGGCAAGAAAAGGACCAATACTTGAAACAACTTCTTCAGCTCCAGAGCTTCAATCGTGAGGCTGATCAAATTGATGCCTCCAGTGGAGCTCATGAGGCATTCCTTGATTATCAGGAATACGGGGTGAGTTGAAAAAAAACAGTTACTCGTTTGTTGTACGGATTGCATATACGGCGAATAGGCTAATTCTTGTTTTCCGGAAATTACAAGAGGAGTAACTTAAGTTTGTTTAAAAAAATATATTCAATCCTAAAAACTCAAGATTGTCTACTTTTGCTAAGCTTTTAACAACATTAACTGACAACGCTAATGTTCTGTAGTTTTACATTTTCCCGTTTTAGTCGCAAATCACTAAACCGTACAGTAAAAAATCCGCGTTTTGTTGTTAGTCTGTTGATTCCTTAGTATGTAAGAGACAGGTCTACAGATTATCCTGTTTATCTATCATGTGAACCCTACACTAATAAATTAAAATTTGATAATTAATTCATTAATTTGTTATACTATATTGTAGTCATCAGTTGATGAGGCGGAAACGTTAGTGAAGCGTCAAGAAGAGGCAGAGGCACGCTTGGCCGCGCAGGACGAGCGCGTTACAGCGTTTGCTCAGCGTGCTACTGCACTAGCCACACAGAAACCGGAACATTATGCTACTGAACAGTGAGAACTATTTATCTTTTGAAAAAAAAAACCATAAACTGTTATGTCGTTTGTGTAAAACTATAAACCAATAATTAATTTAAATTACTTCGATGTGATCTAAATTCTTATGAATGTAATGGACATTTGGTCCTTCGGGCCGGATTGTAAAATCACTTATTCTTTCTTATTATTTTACCTACTTGCCCTATATATTGTCATTGTTATTTCAGTATATTAGCACGCCGCGCTGCCGTACTTCAACGTCGCGAGAAAGTTAGACACGCGCTGGCTGAGAGACGTCGGGCCCTTCTTGCCAACTTAGCCCATCAACAGGTGAAAAACATTCTAATGTCTTGGTAATATTAAAATAAAACACTTTAACGGTTTAAAACGCGATTAGTTCGTTTTAAATCGCGTTTTAAAACGGTAAAGTGTTTTATTTAAATTTGTGCTACTCGCGTAAACTATAGACAGAATTTGATTTAACTATTTCTTACCTTCTTGCCTTTTACACAGTTTGTAGCGTCAACAGAAGAACTACAAGCGTGGATACAAGACAAGACGCAAACGGCTAACGACCAGAGCTACAGGTACTTTTACATATAAAATACACGAAAAATCTCATAAATTCCGAGTTTTCTCGCTTTATTTATGACGATGAGTCTCATAAATCTTTTCTTTTATTAATTCACTTTTAATATGTTTTAGAGAACTTGCGAATTTGGAGAGAAAGCTACAAAAGCACGAAGCTTTCGAGCGAGAGTTGCAAGCTAACGAAAAACAGCTTCGAAATGTTGAAAGTGTAAGTTTATTTGCATTTCAAGTATAATGATAATATCTTTATATTGCATTAATTTAGTACATTATTAGAGAGAAATAAAAAGATTAAATTTTATGTGAAGAAAAATGATGCCAAAAGTGTCTGGCGTAAGCATAATTTGCATCACAGTTATTCTACAACACTGATTTTCAGCAAAACCCTACTGTCTGGATGTTAGACAGCGCTTATACAAACATTTGAAATATTGAAGCGGAAAACATTTAATAGTGTATTAGTGTAACTATAGCAATTATTGGTGTAAATAGAAGGGTGAAATTTTTGTGCCCCGCGACACCGGGATACGATTTTTGCTAAGTAGAATTTTTTGATGTTATGGGCTGGTGGTGAGATATCATTCCATTTATGCAATCCACCTAATCTCATATTTAAAATAAAATTATTAGATCTACTCGTCATACATAAATATTGAATTTTTATAGATTGGCCAGTCACTCCAAAAATCAGACCCAAGTCGTGCTGCCAACATAGCTGAAAGGTTGGACAAGCTGCAAAGCGGTTGGGAGCAACTAGTCGCTGCTTCGAGAGACAAGGGCAGCAAGCTGAGACAAGCATCTCAGCAAAGACAGCATAGACGGTAATCAGTCAAAATTATAACAGCGTTGGTGCAGTTCTAGCAATGGCTTAGTCAATGGGATGTGGATGTGGACCGAACCCACCGGTTTGACTTCCACCAGGTCAATTATATTCATAAACTAGCTGTGCCAGTGACTTCGTCCGCGTAGAATAATTATTGTGGGTATCATTTTTTTTTTGCAAGCATCCTCCTTATCAAGGCGCATGCAACGGAAACTTTGGTCGCGTCCTGATGTCAAAAGCTTTCCTCGAGAAATGCTTCAACCAACACAAAAATATTTTATTCGTGCCAGTTACAATAATGGCGGCTAGATGCTTGTCAGTTCTTCTCTCCCCATCTCTTCCCCCCCCCCTGGCCCCTATATTTCAAAACTCTACATTTCTATCTATGTTTTATAGAGCGGTAGAGGACGCCAAAGCTCGCCTAGCCGACCTCGAGAGAGAACTGAACAGCGAAGAGATAGGAACCGATTTGAGAAGCTGCAAGAGACTACTAAACCAACATCAGGTATCTCTAAAGTTATAAACTAAAAAGGATTTGTTATTTAAGCCTAAATGTAACTAAGATTTAAAAGGCTAATTATATTAGTTGACTTATATATTTTCCTTAATATGAAATTGTTAAGGTTGAAATTTCATTGCGCGAGAGTTGTATGATGATGTCCGAGTCGTAATTTTTTTTAACGTATAATCGATTTTTAATTTAAGTTATTATAACTTATTTTATTGAAATGTACTAGCGTCAATCACAGACTTATGTAGTTTATCCCCCTGTGATCATGGCTTCACCCAAGCCTACTAAACTTCGGTAGTTAAATAATATGTTTCACGTTTGAAAGCGTTAAAAAGGGTTTTATTTAACAGACAATACTTATTGATGAGCCGGCTTTTTGAAATTATTATTTTAATAATTGTCGTTAACTTAAGATAATTGGAGTTGATAGATTTGTCTTCTCTGCATTGTAGGCTTTAGAACAAGAATTGACGCAAATGGAGCAACGGGCTGAAGCCCTGGCGGTGCAGGGCGCTGACTTGGTGTCAGGTGGACACTTCGACGGTGCGGCGATACAGAGGGATTGTGTTGCACTGCAGGAGGCCTGCGCGGCGCTTCGCCCCCGTGCTGTTGAGCGGAGGAAGGCGCTTGAAAGCAGCTTGCAGTAAGTTTTTTATAGTATCTTTAAGTATAGTTTTAAAAATATAACTTCATTGCGATAGATGTATGTTATCCTTTATAAAAGCTTAATTTTTTTATAAATTACATCAATCTTTTTATATTGCTAAAGACATTTTTAACTTTGACCCGACGTTTTCTTGAAACTACCGGACACAGAATATTATCTTACGACATACTTTTAAATTTACGAACATATTGACAAAATTACAATTTATAGAACATGGTAGTTTTGGAGGATTATTCCGGAATATTTTATTATACCGTCTCTGTCGTACAAATTGATTGAAGAATGTGAATGACAAGGACAACAAGTATTTCTTATCATTCATACAATCCCTATATCTAATACCACTTATACAAATACTTATACAGAACAGTGTAGTTTTAAAAAATAATGGATTTCTGTAATCGTTCCGTCTCTTTCATGCACATAGATTGTACAGTATGAATGACAAGGACAACAAACATTTCTCATACGATCACTAAATCCAATACCACTCCTATAGTGACTTATTTAGGAAAACAAACTTCATTTCTTTTGTCGTTCCGTCTCTTTCATGCAAACTGATTCAACTAAATGAATGACAAGGATAACAAACTATTATACCATCTCTAAATCTGAATTTACTCCTTACTCGAAACAGACTGCACAAGCTAGCAGCCGAAGTATCCGGTGAGATAGCATGGGTTGACGAACGACGCGCTGCAGCGTCATCCACAACTCTACCACAAGATCTCCACGCAGCTCAAACAGCTCAGAAAAAGCACGCCAAGTTACGAGCTGAACTCCACGGTAGGAGGCCGTTGGTCCAACGAGTCTTGGAGCGTGGACAGCAGCTGCCGAAGAACCCTCAAGCAGAGAAAGTAAGAGTTTGTAGGGAAATTTCTCTAATCTCAGAATATTTAAATAAAACACTTTAACGGTTTAAAACGCGATACATTAGTTAAACTTATTTGAAAATGATTTTTAACTTCGGCCCGACGTTTCGGATGCTTTGCAGCAGCCGTGGTCACGGGGAGACCCGAAACGTGTACTACTCGCGTAAACTATAGACAGTATCTCAGAATATTTTTAAAAGTTAATGATAAATTAATATTATTGTATAATAAAGAAAGACAGACATACAAATTCATTTAATAGAAGGTGAAATAGTCTAGCCATATTCTTTTAAGATATAATTAGGGAGACAGCCAAGTATGGGGTTCTATTGAGGGTAGGTGATTTGCGCTGTCGACTTATTCTAGGGGATATTCAGGAATGCACAGACTGAACCCGAAATGCAATAAAATTTGACGGCTTTTTATCTGCCTCGGGCGGAATTTCGAAATTCCTTCCACCCATTTGAAATCCAGATTTTTAGAAGTCCAACATCCATGTTAGACAAAGTAGGATCGAACCCAGGACTCGGTGATTATAAGGGAAGCCGTGTAATGTATGCCGGCGATGTACCCGAATGTCTTTATGAAAATAGGCCGGCAGCGCATCTTAGAACGCTATTATAGCATTTTGTCTTCCATCCTCAGCTGTCATTAATAATCATAATTTCCACAGATAAAGCAACTATGCAAGGAACTCGAAAGCGCTTACACCGAGATTTCTCAAGCGGCTGAAGAACGCGCTGCAAGATTGGAAACAGCGCTCAAAGCGCAGCAGTTCCTGCACGACGCTCTGGAAGTGGACTCCTGGTTAGCGGATAAAGCGGCTGAGTTGGCCAGCGCTGATGTTGGCAATGATAGACACCGTGCTACACAGCTACTGACGAGACACAAGGTATCTTATATGTTTATTTATTTAATACATAACAGACACACCAAAATGATACAATTTTGTAGTAAGAGCCAGCTGTGTCAGAGACTTCGTCCGCATAAAATAGTTATTTTGGGCGTCAAAATTTGTTTTTGCGAACTTCCCCTTACAACTTTTAACTGTTACCCACGACATTCGCATCCCGTCGGGCTTGTTTGATCTTAAAACAGTGACATCTACTGTCGCGGACATGTTTTGAGATCATTTAAAGAGGCATCCGTACCGATTTTGTAGCGTACGCAACGAAATCCCTAAAAGATTTACAATTTTCCCCGTTTTTCCTCATAACCTTTGCAATTACTGATCGCAGCATGTTGCTATAGACCTATACTGTAAAATAGTATATTCATTTATCTCTACCACAAAAAAAAAAATTCCATCCGCTCCTCCGAAGATTAGTGGCTTTATACAAATTCTCCACCAATATAATTTTAGTATAGATTAGAATTGTCAACTATTTTTGCGTTTCGATTCTTCGCCACACAACACAGTGAAGTAGAAGAGTAGAAGTTTTTATCGTCGCGTAAAAAAAGACACAGTAGCGACCGGCCTAAAAACGTAATAATATATGAGTATAGCGGGCTCGAATCCCATATCCATACGTTACATTAATTTAATAAGTCGCTGAGTAAACTCCACCTAAAATATCAAAGATTTGATCTCCAAACACGATATCTTGGAATAACCAGTTTATAAATTTGATCTGCTAAATATCGAGAACGTTTAGATCTGGCACAGTTCCGTAGTTCGTAGAGAAAATTATAAATATAAACAATAATAATTATAATATGTCATTTTTTAGGCTGTAGAATTAGAATTGGACACATACGCGGCCATTATATCAGAAATGGGTCACGTGGCCGCGGCTCTGGCGGCCAGCGGGGGTCCTGAGGGCGAAGCCCTAGTGGAGAGACACGAACAATTAGCCGCTAGCTTAGCTAGACTTCAACGCCGGGCTGCGTTAAGGCAGGCCGCTTTAGTCGAGAGCGTGTGCAGGTAGTTAGAAAAAGTTTATATATTTAATTAATATTGCCTTTGTATAAATTAATACAACTTTCACGACACGGTTTGTACTCGAAGTGGCAACCACAGCGTTCCGTGCTGTTGCTCTAGTCATTAGAGCTACCGTGTCCTATACGCCATCGTCGAACTTTCAACCTATTTTTCGCGCATGTACCGGCGCCTCTGTATGTTTGTTTTTTACATGGTATAAAGTAGAATACATCTTATTACTTTACGGTACAGTGTAAAGTACCGCCTCGTTCGTCCAGTGAAATATGCCCTCGATTTTAGACCACGAGACCCTGGGTTTGAATCCTGGGCAATGATACTTTACAAATACAAACATGTGTTTTAAAACCACCGTGACACCAAAAACACGGCGTCTGATCGCAACCACTGTACTGGTAAGTCTTTGATCCCCACCAAACCGTTCTGGAGCAGCGTGGTGGATCTAATCTCTTAAAACTTAGAGGAGTAAAAGAGACCTAAGCCCAGCCGTGGGACAGTAGTAAATTGAATCGAATATACGAAAATTCTAGCTAGCTAAAAAAATAGTTCTTTAGAAAGAACTGTCTATAGTTAAAACCGATTTTATATTTTAACGTTTAACTGACTCCTTGTGTTGTAAATTTATTTCGGCAATATTACACAGACACGAGTACTTGGCTGAGAGCGCGGAACTGGAGAGCTGGATCCAAGAGCAATACGGCGCCGCATCAAGCGAAGACTATGGGCAGGACTATGAACATCTCCTGGTAAGATGAAGCTCTTTTAGCTTAAGACTTGGAGGGCATATAGTTTATCTTTGACGGGTTCAAGCATAACGTCCACTTGATGGAATGTAAAATTCCTCAGCCATATAACATCTTAACAAGAGACACTGTTGACCTATTTTGGCTTAGATTATTCAGAAATCACAGACTGAACCAAACCCAATGTTATTTGTGTTGTTCGTTGACCTGAACATTTTTTTAATATCTTACCACCCATTTGATATCCAGATTTCCAATTTCAGAGTCTTAGATATTAAAATTAAAACAAATTAATTTAACGTTTGAAAACATTAATATTTTTCACATGTTATTGCACATGAAGGCACTATATAATTTAAAAATCGAAAATAAATTGAAAAAATTTTCGACTCGGGCAGGACTTGAACCGGCATCGTCAGCTTTCCGTGCTGTTGCTCTACCAGTCCTAGGACTCGGTAGCTCAATTGGTAGAGCAACAGCACGGAAAGCTGACGATGCCGGTTCAAGTCCTGCCCGAGTCGAAAATTTTTTCAATTTATTTTCGATTTTTAAATTAATTTAAAACAAATTGGTCCCGGTGGGTTTAGAACCCGCGACCCGTTGGTTATTAACCATAGCATGAAACCAACCTGTCAATTAGAACTGCATTGAACCAAAGAAGTCTTAGCTTTTTAATTGCTTAGCAAAAGATTTTGTCACTATCATGTCTTCGCTCCCTTAGAGCATAATCGAACATTTAAATAACTTAAATAAAACACTATAACGGTTTAAAACGCGATATACATTAGGCAGTAGTTAGTGATATATATCGCGTTTTAAACCGTTAAAAGTGTTTTATTTTACACTGACAGTATTCAACAATCGAGAAGAGATTCATAATTCTTCGAGTAATCGAGCTAACATCTGGTGATGTCGTTCGCTCGTGATGGCGAAAAAGAGAACCTCTTCTCGCTCACGTCGGCCGAACAGCCCGAAAAACAATGATTAGCTGAACGATGGTCGTGAAAGCCTAACAATTTATTAATTTAACCCCTATTTGCAAGGTGCTACGGTCGAAATTCGAAGAGCTCCGACATCGCGTGGAAAGCGGTGCAGAGAGATTCAGTCAATGCGAAGAACTAGCGAAGAAGTTGCTTGCATCAAACAGTCCGTACATTGGGGATATAGAAGCCAGGCAGGAAGCTCTGGGGTAAGTTGGGGATGAAGGGGCGTATTATACGTTTTTATTTTATATACTATACTAATTAAAGTGAAGAGTTTGTTTGAACGCGCTAATTAGGAACTACGGTGGAATTGAAAAAAAAATTGTGTTAAAGCATGTAATGAGGAGGCTTTAAAACATCACGCTGCTGCCAATAGGAGCTAAGAAACAAAGATGGATAATTTTCACATTTCCCACTATTTCGTATATAGCCTAAAGTCTCGATAAGTGGTCTAAACAACACAAAACCATTTTTCAATTCACACCAGAGAAGCGAGGTTAGCGCGTTCAAACAAACAAACTCTTTAGTTTTGTAATATTCGGATAGATTGAATAATGAAAGTAGAAGTCTACTTTTTTGACATTATTTAACTTACTACAATATACTCAAACCAAACATTTCACAAGACAGAATAAATAAACTTAGCTTAATATCTACATTACAAAAAAAGAGAAAGAAGAAGAACAAAAAAGCTTGGAAGCGTGCTTTTCCCTTATTTCACAATTCTCCTCCTCTCCCGTTTTTTATTTTGCACGAGATCGTTGTGTTTATTTACCTTACATTAGTTTTTCTTTCTTTCTCCTAATTTTGTTTTCACTAACACTATAGTGAGTCCTGGCAACGTCTTGTCGAGCAAATTGAATCCCGCGCTCGCAGACTACATGCGGCTGGCGAAATCCACCGATTCCATCGCGATGCCAGCGAGCTGCTGGCTCGTGCTGCTGACCGGCGGGCACAGCTGAGCGACCCCCCACCACCGAGAGACCTTCGGGCAGCTGAAGCTCTGCTCAGAGACCACACCACTGCTGAAAATGATCTGTTAGCTATTGATGCGCAAATGCAGGTAAATTAATTAAGCTTAAACTATGAAAAAATACACTAATTTATAATTTAAAAAATTAGGACCTGGGCAGGACTTGAGCTACCGTGTCCTAAAACACAACACTAGGACCATTGGGTCCCGCCCGTGTCGTAATTTTTTTCAATTTATTATCGACTTTTAATTTAAAATACTATATTTCTTTTTCATCAGTTTTATATAAGCGGTGTCTATAACATTTCTGACATAATTAAGTTTAGTATCACAGGGTTTTTAATTCAGCAAGATTACTTGTTTTCTGATAAGGGATAGACTGAAAATCAGCGCTGACAAAACTATAAGTCTGGTATATTTTGCTACACACTTTAAAAGTGTAATTTAATTTTCCCTCTAGCTAATTATTGTTGTTTAAAAGTCCTTAAAATTAAAATAACCAATAAAAATTTACACGCATACGCATTGGGCATTATAGTCCGCAATTTACGCGTAGTATTTAAGATTTAAATAAAACACTTTAAACGGTTCAAAACTCGAAATATATTAGTTAAAACATTTACAATTAATTTTAAGTCACGTGTTAACGTGTATTATTTATTCTATGAAAATTGCGTAATTTAGCTGAATTAAAAAATAAATTACTATGTTTTTCATTAAAATTAATATCAACTTTGTGAAAAGTGAAATCCCAGTTCCCCCTTGTGGGGCATGGGACGAACACATTTTTATGTTCGTTTCACTGATCCGTTCTTTAACATGCAAGTAGTTGATCAGACTTCTGTGCCCTGCCTGACTGAAACAATTTTTTGCTTCTCTAGGATTCGAACCCAGGACCTCTCGCGCTTAACGCAATACGTTTAACCATTTGGCTACAGAAGCGGTCAACTATGAATGTACTTTAATTTTTATAATATATATAATAACTTTAATAAAAAAACATTTTCTTAGTAGTGATGTGATATTCCGATATTAACCTACAGGTGTTACAAGAAGAAGGATCCCGTCTGCAGAAGTTATGCCCAGGTGGTAACGAGCAGCAGATAGCGTTACGTCAGCGAGCGCTCTCCGAAGCCTGGAACTCGCTGCGCGCCGCTGCAGATGCGAGAAAGACGGTGCTGCATCATCATCACCAACTGCAGCAGCTGCTATCTGAGGTATGGTATATAACCGCATTATTGTTTTCTTTTAATACATTTTACAATTGTTTATTTCAATATTCAAGAAACTCCCGTTTCGCCCCATGGGCATGGGCACTGACCGGTTTTATGTACAGGCACGTAGTTTAGTAGTAGTAGTAGTATCAGACTTGTGCCCTACCCGACCAATGTATTTTTTCTTCAGTATTCAAACCCGGGAACGCACGCGCGTAACTCTATATTTATTTTATAAAGACTACTTGTCTTGATTTGTCATTCTAATTTATCTATCTATTGTATTATAATTGTTATACTTTGACAATTTTTTTGTGAAGAAAACAAGAAAAAAATATATTAATGTACATGTGTGTTACTTATTTACTGCCAATCGGATGGGTCAATTTCGATAAAACATTTTTATAATGTAAATTTATTTACAAACACACTTCTTAAACAAACAGATCCGTGACGTCATGTCCTGGTCAAGTGAACTGCGCAGTCAAATGTCCGCCAGCTTAGGCGCAAGATCCGCCGCCGCTGCGCAGGCGCAACGCGCGCACCATGACGCATTGCGGGCTGAAATCGACGCCAGAGACGACACATTCAGAGATGCACTGGCCCATGGACAACAATTAGTGGACGATGGCCATCCTAATGCGCAGGTAAGTTTTAACATAATCAAAAAATGTGTGAGAAAGAATTACTCCATTTAAACGGTCTAAAAAAATGTCTGCTGGAAGAACTGTTTCTGTGGTAATCTAATTTTTGTCCAAATACTTCACATAGCAAAAGAATTTTTGACAGGTCAGCTAGTGGGACAAAAGGACTGAAATAAATATTAGATTTTAGAAAAACATTTACTTTTTAAGTTGAAATACAGCCATGTAACATCTACACAATCTACTGTCGGCTGCTTGTTTTATATAAAGTCTGAAGGGACGCAACTGACGTCGTGGGTTACTTTTCATAAAATTGCAAAAACTGGACCGACTATAAGATTCTCGCGACAAGTCGTTATATAGCTAGTTTGTTGAACTTGTTTGCCGGATGGGGTTGTTTGAACGCGCTTATCCATTCACACCACAGGGCTCGTCAATATATGAAAAAATATTTTTATGTTGGTTAGAGGTTTATATTTTTCACATGTACATGATTGCACTATATTAAAAATCGTTTATAAATGCGCAAGAGGTGAATATATCAATAGATTTAAAGAATTTCGACGATGTAGTGTAGGACTCGGTAGTTATTGGTTAGAGCAACAGCACGGAACGCTGTGGGTGCCGGTTCGAGTCCTGCCCAAGTTGTAATTTTGACAATTTATAATGGATTTATCAAGAAAATGGTTATTACCCTATTTTTTTTTTGTTCAGGAGATAGAAGAGCGCTGTTCAGCCTTAGTGGACGAACGTGGAAAGCTTCACGCTGCGTGGGCCGCCCGCCAGGTGGCGCTAGATCAGCTTATTGACTGGCATTGCTTCTTGCGGGATGCCAAACAGTTACACGACTTGTGCAGTGCGCAAGAGGCCGCTTTAAGTGAGTTTTTTACTTAATCCTTATTAAAAGAGCATGTTTCTTTTAGTTGATAAAAAGACAGAGAACACTCCTAAAAGAATTACCAATGTTTCTGGTCTTAATATGTTTTGAAAGGATAATTTTTTATCATTCAAGAAGACCAGGTTAAAAAAACGATTTTAAATACTGTCTATAGTTTACGCGAGTAGTACACATTTAAATAAAACACTTTAACGGTTTAAAACGCGATATATTAGTTAAACTTATTTGAAAATGATTTTTAACTTCGGCCCGACGTTTCGGATGCTTTGCAGCAGCCGTGGTCACGGGGAGACAAATAAGTTTAACTAATATATCGCGTTTTAAACCGTTAAAGTGTTTTATTTAAAAGTTTTTGAAAAAAAACGATTTTAGATAAAAAAATACTACACGAGTAAGACTTGAACCTGCATTCACAGCGTTCCATGCTGTTACTCTAACCAATTGAGTTACTGAGTAATGTCAGAGTTCTTTATAGTATTTTAATTTTCCTAGGTACGGAAATATCGCCGACTCTAAGCGTTGAGGAGGTAGACAATTTGCTGAAGAAACACGAAGCCTTTGAAAAACTTCTGGCTACTCAAGTAAGTACCATTCAAAAGATATTATCTCCATGCTCCCTTGTATATTTATTTCGTTAAATTAGTACATTAAATTTAATTCATACCTCAAACTTAAGCTGAAGAGTTTGTTTGTGTGAACGGGTTAATCTCAGGAACTACGGCTTCGAATTAAAAAATATTTTTTGCGTCGGTTACACCATTTATCGAGGAACGCTTATAGGCTATTAAACGTCGCACTGTGAATAATAGGATCGAAGACATAGGGGAACATGTGGAAAAAACAGGGAAATTGTAATTTTTTTTGTGGGTTTCCGATGGATACGCTGCGAATACAGTTCAAGATACCAAGTATTGTTCCAAGTAATGTATAGAAATAAAGGTACGGGACAAACACGGCCAAAAACAAATTTTCAGGCCCAAAATGACTATCCTACGCAGACGAAGTCGCTGACACAGCTAGTGCTTAATCATATCTAACTTTATCTATCTAGGATGAAAAATTATCCACACTCAATACACACGGTGACAAGTTGCTGCAGCAGAACCACGTGGAAAGCCAACGAATCGCAGATGAACTAAGAGCCATCAATGAGAGAAGGAAAAAGGTATTTTGTGTTCGAGAAGCATCTAAATGACCAATTTTAATTTTTAAACTTTTAAACCACTTTCATTTGAGCGTTATTTTTTCCTCTATCAAATAATAACACACATTTTCGTCGTCTCTAGCTATACGCCGCAGCCGCGGATCGCAGAGCACGTCTATTACGGGCACGTGCGCGCGCGCAGTTCAGTCGTGACGCAAACGAAGCACGTGGCTGGCTGGCCGACAAATTGGCTATGCTTAACGCCCAACATGGTACGTTTTTAATTCTTACATGAAATTTTCACATTTTGTTTGCCGGCTTAGTATGAAAAGAACGGTGTAAATAAGTTAGAAAGGTTTAAGACAAACATAATTAGTAAATAATAATATACGGCGGCGAGTTTGGCAGTTCTTCTCTTTCTTTCTACGCCCTTGATTTGAGAACTGGTAGTAAATACTGTCTATAGTTTACGCGAGTAGTACACATTTAAATAAAACACTTTAACGGTTTAAAACGCGATATATTAGTTAGTTAGTTGGTCACGTGACCACGGCTGCTGCAAAGCATCCGAAACGTCGGGCCGAAGTTAAAAATCATTTTCAAATAAGTTTAACTAATATATCGCGTTTTAAACGGTTAAAGTGTTTTATTTAACTGGTAGTAAATGTAATATAGATTCTTTAGTTTTGTAACTCTTTATTGCACAAACATATATACACTGAAATAAAATATAGATACATAAGATAATATGTACAAATAAAAATGTTTGTGAAAAGGTAGCCTTATCGCCTATGGCTATTTCTGCCAAGCAACCTTAAAATGTAGAAAGAAAAATAAGTCAACCGTACCAACTATGTTTTTACCTACCTACGTGGTTTTTTATGATATTTTCTTTACTGTATATTTCTTATTAGGAGAAGTGAGCAGTCTAGAAGACAAGATGAAGAAACTGCAAAAGCACCAAGCGTTCACCGCTGAACTGGCAGCTAACAGAGCTCGTCTTCAAGAAGTTGAAGAGCTGGCTAAACAACTTGGTCCGGAGAAGGAAGTGGTCCAAGAGTTGCAGCAGTTGAGAGAAGACTGGAGGCGACTAGAGAAAGCAGCCGAAGAAACTGGTAAGAAAATACTGTCTATAGTTTACGCGAGTAGTACACATTTAAATAAAACACTTTAACGGTTTAAAACGCGATATATTGGTTAAACTTATTTGAAAATGATTTTAAACTTCGCCCCGACGTTTCGGATGCTTTGCAGCAGCCGTGGTCTCGGAGAGTCTCCCCGTGACCACGGCTGCTGCAAAGCTAAGTTTAATTATATATATATTAGATATCGCGTTTTAAACCGTTAAAGTGTTATATTTAAACTGGTAAGAAAATGAATGCATTTTATCTTTTTTTATGATAAAGGAGGCCAGACAATAATTAAATAGAAACATGTTGGACCCGATGAGGATTGAAGCCACGACCCGATGATTATTAGCCATACTAGCTGACAAGTCCGTCAGAATCTTAGTAACATTAATTTTACTTAGACAGTAATTTGTTAATGCAGGTATATAATTTTTGACAAATGGTTTTGTGTTCATAATTTAATATTTTCCTAAATTTCTGTACAGGTCGCGGTTTGGAAGAAGCTCAAGACATCCTGGAGTTCAACCAGCATTTGGATAAGATCGAAGCTTGGATAAGAGATAAGGATATGATGGTAATAAGTTAACACTGTTGTACACACACATGTTTTAGTTATTTATTTTAAATACAAACCGACGTTTTGGAAGCTTTACAGCAGCCAGTTCACGTGACGTAACAACGCTGAGCCGTAGTTAAAATAAATTTTAATTATATTTAATATATTTCGTGTTTTATATGAAATACTTTTATGCATATATTAGAATAAGCTAAGCAAGAAGGTCCTTCGAGCCGAATAACAAGAACAAACTTTTTATATTATATTATCTTTGATTTTACAGATAAAAACGATCTCAATAATTTGTGCATGCTTATAGAGTTTTCATATATTTTAAATCATCTAGGTTCAAGCGAACGAAGTCGGTCGTGACTACGAACATTGCAGTGCGTTACTCCGTAAGCTCGACGACTTAGACAGCGATATGCAAGTGGATGACAAGCATGTGCGGAACGTATGCGCGTTGGCCGATAAACTACTCAAGCAGGTACATGCAAACATATTATAACGATTTTGTTTCTAAATAATCTTACTTCGTTGTTTGAAAAATGTGATTTGACTGTCTTGGGCTAGTAGCGAGTAGTCTCGTGAAGTGAGTGTAATCTGTTTTTTTGTAAATACTGTCTATAGTTTACGCGAGTAGTACACATTTAAATAAAACACTTTAACAGTTTTTTTGTGTAAAATTAGCGTGACCTAGATCAAAAGCTAGCGGACGAAATGTTATAAGTCAAACCATTTGCTTAAACATGAAATCAGTGCAGGGAACTGAATTTTACCTTCAGCTGACACTAGAATTTGAAATGATAAAAGGCCAGTATGAAAAAAATATATCTATAAAGGTCCTTCGAGCCGGATAACATTAACAAACTAGATTGGCGGGCGCATTGGTCCAATAGTAGTAATAGCTAATAATTAAAAGATCGTAGACTCGATTCCTCCTGGGTGTAACATATTTATCGATATCACATCATATTTTTTTCTGAAAAATATTCGATGTCTTGGCGAAATTTCATCCGTGTCACTACCAAGCTCAAGTGAAAAAAGTCGTAAAATATTAATTGCTTTTTGCTTCATTCTCTAGATTTATGAACGTTCAAAGTCAAAATAGGCATATTGTTAAAATTTTGGAGTGGTGGTGGACTGAAGTATTCAATCTGCCATCAAGTGGACCTGTCTGTTCTCCTCTGTCGTGAATTTTTTTTTCTACTGTATAGCTATTTATTGTACATCTTACGAATAACCTTTTGTTTATTATCAGGGACCATCCCAACAAGCAGACGTGATTAAGTCGAGACGTGATGCTTGTTTGTCCAAGTGGCAAGCGCTAAGCGGAGCCTTGCAGAGATATAGGGACAGGTTATCTGCCGCGCTGCAGTTACATTCCTTCAATCGGTAAGTCAAATTCTAAGTATATATTATGTAACTAACGGTGTCAGTGACTTGTTCAACTCTATACATTTAAGCTGTTACCCCCGACGTCGTCCTCGTTCCGTCGTTCTTACAAGTTAATCTTTTCTAAGTTCATTTAAAGAGGAAATCATTCCTTCATAAATGTTTCCAACACGCGTGGATATTAATTATGGTAGCTCAATGGGTCAAAGAAGCAAGACGGAACGCTGTAGTACCGGTTCATACCCCGAAAACAAAAATATTTCTCTATCATGTGCCTGTTTATTTCCAGGGATGTGGAAGACACAGCAGAAAGGATCGCGAAGAAAGCAGCACTATTCAGCAGCAACGAACGCGGAAGGGAGCTGCAAGCAGCTTACGAGCTGAAGAGACGTCATCAGGCAAGGGCAGCTGAGCTTCCGCTATTGGGGACAAGATTGAAGCTTTGAGGGCGCAGGGGGGGCGGGGGGGGGGAGGGGGGGGGGGGGAAAAGGGGGGGGGGGGGAAAAAAATTACGGCGGGGTTTTTTCCCCAGCATCAGGGGGTTTGTTACTTTCTTTATTGAACAAGGAAGAGAGGGAGACTTTGGGTGTAGGAACAGAAAAATAGCTGGAGGAAAAGGTAAAAAAAAAGGGGTCTTTGCGATAAGTAATACCCCAGGTATATAAGATTTAGACAAGATCCTCCGTCGACCTCTTTTGGTTATGTTTATCAAATTTCTGTCCAAAAAATGGAATAAACGCTCAGATTTCACTTAAGTGTCCCCCCCAAAAAAAAAAAGGAATATTTTGAATACGTATTGATCGATTAGAATTTTAATAAATCTAGGAACATTACGCAACCCTTTGTCATATTTTCAGCCACCCAGACCACTCGTCAGAAATCGAAGAAAGCCTCGAAGGTTTAGACGAAGCGTGGAACAAACTGAAAGAACTTGGTGCTAAGAGAAGTGCCTTGTTGGACGAGGCGATAGCTGAACACAAGTTTGAAGAGAGCCTGAAGGTAGAATTAACAATAAGTTGTAAATTTTCGAGAAGGGAAGAGATTTTTCTCTTTCTCCCTTTAAGTATGAGAATTTTAGATTCCATCTTATAGACATGTATTATGATTGAACAGATTAGAAATAATTTGAAGTTATTACAGCTAGTGCAAATTAAAAAATTAAATACAAATTCCTTCCCATGAGACGAATACATTTATATCCGTTACACTGATCGTTTTTACGGTCAAATAGTTATCCAGACTTCTATGCCCTACCCGACCGAAAAATAAGCGGAATGAGTAATTTAATTTAAAAGGGATTGATTCCATGGATACACTAGTGAACACGCATATAAAGATATAAGTGGATCTTATACATGTATATATTTTTTAAGTGTTATGTTTTAACTATTTTCGTTTGCCCTTTAGGAACTAGAGTTGTGGGTATCAGAAACGGTCAAGCGTATGTCTGGCGCTGAACCTGAAAGCGTATCGCACGCTGAAGCCCTACTTGAGATGCATAATGAAAGAAAAGTAAGTATTTTTTTAAAAGTATGTAGTATAAATCATGAAGGTGTAATAAATAAATAAATATTTTTTTATAAACCCTAAATTGATGGAACTTTCATATATATCTTTTAAAACCGAAATATATTAATTATTTCTTATTATGACCCGACGTTTCTAAAGTAATGAAGAGAGGAGGGGATGGACCTAATATGCGATACGTCGTGATAACTTTGGGGGGGGGGGGGTAGAGCTTTCACATTCAAATTAGTTGGAAGTGGTACAACACTGTCTATAGTTTACGCGAGTAGTACACATTTAAATAAAACACTTTAACGGTAAATAATTTTCGAATAAGTTTAACTAATATATCGCGTTTTAAAGCGTTAAAGTGTTTTATTTGAAAAAGTGTTACAACACTTCCAACTTTTATATCTAATAAACTGGTCATCTTTTATGTTATTATATCGATCTAATTTTTTTTCTCTAGGCGGAAATTGATGGTAGACAAAAGGTGATAAGTTCTCTACAAAAGGAAGCCGAACAAGCAGATGAGGCCGAAAAAGTGAAACGGGTTGGGAAACTCTCGTCTACGCTTGACCAAGCTTGGCTACAGAGAAAGAACTATTTAACACAGGTAAGTGGTTACTAAACGGTGTGAATTTTTGACATGTGTGTGTGTGGGGGGGGGGGTGTTTAGGGAATAATTTTGCATGATTTACTTTATACTATACAATTATATGATTCATGATGATCATGCACGATCGCTGAAAAGTATTACAAACGCCGAGTTAAATAATAAAAAAAGGCCATCATAAAAATAATTTTGAATATTGTAGTCGTTTGGTCGATAAGTTACATATAATCGATGTTTTTTTATCTCTGTGTCATCTGTGGCAACGACTACACTCTAAAGTTCTCTACGGTTTGATATCGGCCATTTTTGTTGTGGTGGTTTGCCAAGTTAGAAAAATTACACTATATTTGTATTGACAATATACCACAGATTGGCAGAAACGAGATTTCACACTATTATCTTTCTATTTCAGGCACACGAATTGCAGCTTCTAAACGAACAAGCCCGCCAAGTTGAGGACTGGCTTGCAGCAAAGGAGGCGTTCCTTAATAACGACGATCTTGGTGAAAACTTAGATGGTAAGTTCACGAGAATGGTGACTAATTTAGTTTTAGGTACGGTGGACAGAATTGTGGTATTTCTATTACCTATTTAATATCCAGACTTCCAGAAGTCCAGCGTGTTTTAGAAAAATTATAAGTTAGTAAAAAAAGCCATACATTGCTTAATTACCTAATAAAAAATAAAATCTTATATTACTTACTTTTAATAGCTGTGGAGACGCTAATAAAGAAGCATATAGAATTCGCGAAACTGCTAGAATCTCAAATAGGCCGTGTCGAGGAGCTAGAGAAGTTCGGTAGCAATCTTTTGAGCAAGCAACACCAGGACTCGCCGTACATTGAAACGAGGATCAAAGCTGTGCGCGCGCGCACCAATAAACTTAAGGTAATTTAAACATACATTTTTAGATTGCTTTGTCCTTTGAAAACATATGTAAAATATTACAAAAATTTATTAGTTTATGAGACATGTTTAAAATAAGCCGGACTGAGTTTCTTGGGTATTCTTCTAGGTCATGTTGATCTTTGGAACACTCTGTAGAATCGCGACAGATAGATAGACAAACATTATTATTTCTTTTTTGGACAAATCTAAATAAATTTTGAGTACAGTATATTTTATTTTACTTTTTAATGTTTGAGTAAAAGTGACAATATAAGTGTATCTGTAGTTTCTCTTGTAATCTATAGATACATACAAAATTTAACAGTTTAAAACGTGAACAATATTATATAATTATTAATTTTTTCACTTTCGTTTGTGACCCGTGTCACCTTAAAAATTGGTTCGCAATGGACAGTTAAACAAACAATTTTAAGTCACGTTTTAAGTTTACATTTTAAACAGTTAATAAGTAAGTGTTCAAATTAATGTATCGTTAATGTGTCTATAGTTTACGCGAGTAGTACACATTTAAATAAAACACTTTAACGGTTTAAAACGCGATATACTAGTTAAACTTATTTGAATAGGCGTCTCGCAAAGCATCCCCCCTTAATCCACGTGACTAATAATCCAAGTTGACAATCAGGAAATCTGCGTAAGTCGCGGCAAGAAACTCGAACAGTCCAAACAGCTGCACCAATTCCTGCGTGACTTGACTCACGAACGAGAGTGGATTGAACTGAAGATGCAGATCGCGAATGACCACAACTATAGGTAAGAGAGTGTTAAATCATTCATCAATCAATCGTTCATAATCAACTTTGGATTCATGACATTTTGAAAGCATCTATCAAAATTTTGAAATCAACTATCAGGCTTCAAAAACACCTTTGAAGCCTGATAGTACAATTACAATTCTTAGAATTAATCAATAAACTTAAAACCGCAAAATAAATCACTTTAAACGGGTTAAAACGAGATGTATGGTTAAAACTCTACAAATTAATTTTATGTAGGCCCGACCTTTTAAAGGTTTTAGTCCCCCCGCTGTAAAGCACTCGAAACGTCGGGCCGTAGTTAAAATGATTTGTAAATAAGTTTAAGTGATCCATTTTGCATTTTACTCAGTTTCAGTTTTATTTAAATTAAAACTGAAAGTCTCCGTTTTTTAACAATTAAAACCATTCCTATTCTTCAACAGGGAACTTTCAAACCTTCAGTCGAAAATGGAGAAGCAGTCGGCTTTTGAATCTGAATTAGCAGCAAATAAACGACGCATAGATGACGTAGCTGCTGCTGGAGAGAAGTTAATAGGTAAAATAGAGTAGATTAAAAAATGATCTATAGATCCTAATCAACAAAATCATTAATTTTATGTTACGACCTACAAACATATTTCACATATACACATTGGAAAAATGTGATTGTGTGATTTTCTTCTGACCTATGTTATGTAAAGTGAGATCAATAATACTTCGTGTCAGCTAGAACAAAATATTTTTTTTTCCCAGAACTCAAATCTCGAGTTGCATTAACTTGTAATTTTTTACGGTATAACTATATTTGATTTTTTAATTACGATCCAGTTTTAAACCGTTAAAAATGTGATAGAACCTTACTATTTTGTTTGTTCCAACAGAAGCGAAACATTACGCTTCGCAAGAGATATCACGGCACATTGAGGACCTGGAGAATCTGTGGCAAGAATTACAGGTTGGTTTTTTATGGATCTTCTCTTAAGGAATAAACATATACCTTTGGAAACTAATATATATCACATGATGGCACTATCTAAATAAAAAATCAATTGAGCTACCGTGTCAAGTCGGGACACGGTAGCTCAATTGGTTAAAGCCGTAGCACGGAAAGCTGTACCTGCCGGTTCAATTATGTATTCATATGTTGTTTTATTTAAATTAGAACTATTTAGATCATAGCGTATGACTTTGAAATTTTATCTTATTTCCGTCTCCCCTCGCCTTAAGCACGCAGCCAAGATCCGTCATGATAGACTACAAGAAGCGTATCAGGCAAGAGTTTTCTTGCGAGGTTTGGATGACTTCATCTTTTGGCTCGATGAGGTGGAGACACAACTCCTCAGCGAAGACCATGGTAAGTTGATTGATTAGTTCTTCACAGCGAATCAAACAGACGAAGATTGTACTTAAGTTAAAATTATTTTAACTATTTTAATAAAATGTATCGCGTTTCAAACCGTTAAAGTGTTTTATTTAAATGTATTAAGAATTGTCAAATTATGTTTTTGTAACAATAAAATAAACGCAACCCGATCTATTGAAAGTATTATTCGTTTCAGTTCATTTTTTTATTTTTGAAAATAATAATTCCTTTGTTAAAAAATATATACAATTAATGTATCTTTAAATGTATCTTTCCCGCCATTTTATTTCACGTTGCGTAAATTTCAGGTAAAGACTTGTCGTCTGTTTGCGCTCTATTGAAGAAGCACACGCGGTTGGAACAAGCGGTGGCCAGCAAAGCGGAGGTCGCGACACAACTGGCCGACACTGCGTCGCATTTGGCCGACACCGGGCACTTTATGTCGCAGGAGATCTTGGAAAAGACCGAACAGGCCGTCAAACGGTTAGAACTTTGACGCTTTTACTCACTGCTATCTATTATCACAGAGATTATTTTAAAAAGATATTCGAAAAATCTACTCTTGCGCTACCACGTGCACTTGATGGGAGGTGAAATAACCCAGCCATGTACCTTTGGCTTTGGATATTCGGAAATCAACAGGCTGACACCGAAACGCGACTAAACTTCGCGGCTTTTTCATCTGTGGACGTCAGTCTTGTCTTTTAAGTAATACTTTGTAACAAAATGCATGATTTGAAACAGATACCGCCAATTACAAGAACCGATGCAGATACGCCGCGATAATCTCGAAGATGCTGCTCTGCTGCACCGCTGGGAGAGAGACGCTGATGAAGAGCTGCATTGGTAAGACAAATATAGGACTCCTCATCGGAATCATGAGTAGTACACATAGAAATAAAATTCTTTTAACGGTTTAAAAAGTGAAATGTATTCGTTAAATTATAACATGTTTTATGTTGCGGGAGAAAGTGGAGTCGTAGTCAGATTAAATTAAAAATAATTTTCATATGTTTTGAGTTTTAAACCGTTAAGTGTTTTATTTAAATGTGTAATAGACATGTAAATTATAGATAATACGCTGTTACACTGACTCACACCCTACACGAGTAGTACACATTAAAAAAAGAAGATCAATTTTTTTTTTTTTTTGACTACAGCCCCACGTTCCCCCGAGACACAAGACACGTAATAAGTGAAGGATGATTGAACTAATATATTTCGCGTTTTAAACCGAAAAATGTCTTTTATTACAATCTGTGTTACATAAATCGACAGAAATATGTTGGCCCCATGCCCCAGTGAGAAATGAATTAAGATTATTAACGGTCTGTAATTAACGCGAGTTGTCTACCTTTATATAAAGCAGTTTAACGGCTAAAAACGCGAAATTTATTAGTTTAACTTTACAAATTATAACTACGGCCCGACGTTTCGGATGCTTTCCACCAACCGTGGTCACGGGGAGACTCAAGATGTCTCTGATGTCAAAGTGAAAACTGCAAAGCGCGATTTAAGGCTTCTTCTTAACTTTTTAGGCTTAAAGAACGCGAAAGTGCAGTACGTTCGGAGGAGGCCGGCGCAACGCTGCCCGAGGCACAAGCCTTACTGAAGAAACACTCGGCGCTAGAAGCCGAGGTCATTGCCCGGTAAGGCTAGATACATACGAAGCGTTTTTCAAAAAATAAACGCCTTTTTATGATAGAGGACAGGCAAGAATGATGGTAGGTGACCCACTTGATGGTAGGTGACCCACTTGATGGTAGGTGACCCCTATAACATCTAAACAAGATGCACAGTCGACCTATTTTGGATATTTGGAAATGCAGACAAGCCGAAACGAGATTAAACTCGCGGCTTTTTCATCTGTGGATAATTGTTCGTGACTCGGACGGAATTTCGATATTCCAATCAACCATTTAATATCCAGATTTCCAGATGAAGTCCAACATGTTTGAGAAAAATAAAAAATCGATTGGAAAATGTTGGACCCAGTGGGAATCGAACCTACGATTGCGTTAATTGTTAGCATTTCTACCACTACACCGATGAGCCGTACCTCCAGAGTGAAGTGAGTGAGTTGATAGTACTTTATAGGTTATAGTACTTTACAGCAGCCAAATTAATCGTCCCCCGTAAAAACGAAACTTGTTTAAATCGGTTTTATTAAAATAAATCCTTGTAAGCAGGTTACATTTTTTTACAGTGAATCAACGATCAACGCTGTATGCAGCCGCGCATCTGCGCTTGCGCGTCGCGGCCACTTCGCGGGTAACGCTCTTGAAGCACGCTCTAGAGACCTCAAAAACGCTCTCAAAACGCTCCTCGAAGCAGCTGCCTTACGATCCGCTGCACTCAAAGACAGAGTACTGTCCTTGCAGGTAAATTAAGAAATAATTAAGTGGATACCCAAATATTTCGCTTAAATGTTTTTAATTCGTCTTACTTTAAAAATATAAATGTTTTTAAAACTGATCAACTACCAAGCTGCATATCAAATTGAGTAAACAGACTCAAAGATATGTCTGCAAACAGACATATAATTCTGTTCATTTATTAGCAATCTATCGCAAATATATACTAATTATAATAGAGCATAAAAGTTTGTTTGTTTGAACGCTCTAATTTCAAAGACTACTGGTTTGAACGTAAACATTTTGTGTCGGTTGGGTCATTTATCGAGGAAGGCTTTAAGCTATAAAACATCATGTGGTGGAAAAACGGGAAAAAATATTCATCTCTTGTGTTTCCGACGCGTGCGCTGTGAAAACGGTTCAAGATTACCAAAAAATATGTATGAAAGAATAATTCCTCTTTAAATGATCTATAAAAATTACTGAGTCTATGCTCTTAGATGTCGTAACAGCTACAATCTATAAAGATGAGAGGGATGTTTGGAAAAAACAGTTTGTCACCCAAAATTACTATTCTACGTGGACTAAGACGCAGGCACAGCTAGTTATTATTATATGTAAAATAATTCAAAAATGATGTCCAGCTTAGCTTAAACTTTTGATCTAATTAAACTCTTTTTGTCATAGCTTTTATCAGAAATGTGGGAAGCCGAAGCCTGGCTAGTGGAACGAAAGACAGCTCTGTCAGGTGGTGACACGGGGAGAGATGAAGAGTCTGTCTTAGGGTTGGTGAGGAGACTGGAGGCTCAGCAGAGGGAACTTACTGCTTTTCTGCCAAGCATCGCGCGCTTGGAGAAAGCTTCTCAGGTTAGTTTCATTACAAACTTGGATAATCATCTAATTGTGCGCACGCGCATGTGTACAATGTGTTCGGTAGATAAAATAATTTACACATTGTATGTATAAATAAATTTTATCTCTATATACATATAAAAAAGTAAGGTTTTTCTATATTTAAATTTTACTATTAAATAGTAAATAAAGGGATAAAATTTTAAAAGAAAACATTAGGTTTATATAAATAATGAGATATTGAAGTGTTATTATGCTTTATAAAACGTTAAAACTGTTTTATTTAATTGTTTACTTATCTCTTAATATCTTGTATAGTTAATATCTTAATCGATGTCTCTACTCTTACATACATGCATAACACATTACATTTTTAATAGTATAGGCGTCTGATGTGCGGCGGCCTTTCACTGTGTCTAATAGAAGTTAACGATTGTGTCTGCATCATTTTGTGATTCTAGGAGCGTGCAAGCGAAGATGAAGTGGTGAAAAAGAAGATGGAGGAAGTGAAAGAGCTTTGTGAGGAGCTGAAACTCCTCTCCGCGAAACGCCAGCAAAGACTGCAACAAAGCCTTAAATACTTCAAGTATGTTACGTCTTAAATACTGTCTAAATTTACGCGAGTAGTACACATTTAAATAAAACACTTTAACGGTTTAAAACGCGATATATTAGTTAAAGTTATTTGAAAATGATTTTTAACTTCGGCATTAGGTTTCGGATGCTTTGCAGCAGCCGTGGTCACGGGGAGACTAAAGATGGAGGATGTCTCTGACGTCATACCAAAAAAATTTGCTACGCTAGCGCCATCTGTTCCGTCTAGGTTCTTCGACGTAGTTTAACTAATATATCGCGTTTTAAACCGTTAAAGTGTTTTATTTAAATGTTACGTCTTATCACTAAGTCTCAGAAACTTTTTGGTAATAACCAAAATCGGTTTGTTTGAACGCGCTAATCTCAGGAACTACTCCTTCGAATTGATTTTCTTTTTGTGTTGGTCAGAGTATTTATCGAGGAAGGCTATAGGCTAAAAAACATTGTGCTGCTAATATTGGCAAAGAAACAGTGAGGAATGTGAAGAAAAAACGGGGATCATTCATCCTTGTGGATTTTCTACTACTCACTTTCACTACCACATTGTCTCGTTACCACAATTGCTGTCAATATGATTCCAGAAGATCAATTTTAACTATTTGTTGACCAGGTTCGTCCAAGAATGCGAAGAAGTACAGGAATGGATCAGCGAACAGATGACGGTCGCAGCCAGCGAGGAGTACGGGCTTGACGTGGAGCATGTTGACACACTGCAGCAGGCGTTTGACAACTTCTTGCAGCAGCTTCACGGTCAGTTTTAGAAAAATCAAAATAGTTTTGTAACGCGGTAGCGCGCTTCTAAAGTGAGGGCTTTGGAGAAGGTCACAACCGTTACCGCCCTTCTGCGTTACGAGCTCTTGAGGTTTAGTGGGTGGGAGTCCCACACTCCCACCACACACTTAATAGCCCTGGTGGAGGCGTGCATAGTTTGTTATACATTTATTATAGCAAGACGTCTTTCTTGTAAGGTTTTGCTAAGGTAAAAAATTAAACAATTTTAACGGTTCAAACGCGAAAGTTTTTTATTACAACTTATTTAAAATTAATTTTACTTACGGCCCGACGTTTCGGATACTTTGCAACAGCCGTCCTATTTGCCCCTTCTGGTGCCATGGATAACCGAAAGGATTTTAGTTGAAAACTAGAAATTTATTATAACTACGGTCCGACGTTTTAAAAACTGTGCCAGCAGCACGATGGTACACCCTCCGTCTCCATGTCCGTTTCGCGTTTTAAAACGTTAAAAATTTATTTAAATACATTATACTCACGTTAACTACAGGCAATACTTAATTACATTACCGCGCTATTGGTTTAGTTGAAAAACGCTTTAAGCATAGGGTATAATAATTATGAGTTCAAAGATCTAGAAAATTACTTTTTCGGTCGGTTTGGGCACTGAAAATAATTTGCCTATATATAAAATCTATTAGCATAACACCTTCGATTCTAGCTGGTCCAATACTTACTACGTATGTCTCTGATATCTGTGAGTTCTATCCCACTAGGTCCGACGTTTTTAAAATTTAATCAATATTTTTTTCTAAAACATCTCACATCGTAAGAAATATAATTCCGTCCGGGTCACGAACCACCGCATGTAGACAATAAAGACGTGTCGTTTAATCGCGCTTCGGTTTCTGCCTATGGGTTTCCGAATGTCCAAAGCTGAAATAGAACAGTATGTTATATGGATAGTGTATCTATCTCCTCATTAAGTGAGTCCTATGCTAGCCAGTTCTCTATGTTAGAAATATAGTCTGGTCTTCAATCGAAATTCTCGAATGTTCCTCAATTACAGCAAGCGAAGGTCGCATCGAGGCCGTATGTGAAGCGGGCACTGCTCTTCTAGAAGAGAACACACCAGAAGCGGACAGAGTGAAACAGAAGATCGAAGATATTCGTGGCTTATGGGACGATCTTAAAGAACTTGCTGTGGCTAGACAAGAGGTGAGATTGTCAAAAAAAATCTATACTAATATCTTGAACGCGCTAATACCTGGAACCATTGGTCCTAATTGAAATATTGCGGAACGCTATAGGTATATACATTAACATTACAACTGTGGTTAATAGAAGCTAGGAAACAGTAAGCTATGGAAAAAAACGAGAAAGATTACGTACACTGCGAAAACGAACCGTGTTGAAATAATCTATAGAAATGTCGACGACAGTATATCTTTAAGAACAGAAGGTTTGTAAAAACAAATATCGGTGACCAAAATTCAACGCGGACAAAGTCGCTAGTCTTAGTTAGTAGTGCTGGATAGCCAAATTGATTATTTATTATTTTGTGCTTAATTATTGTATAGATTAAGTTATTGTATATGTAGTGAGTGAGAGAAGTGACTTCATTTGATATTCTTCAAGCCAATTTGATTCTATCCTAGGCCCTCGCTGGAGCACGCCAAGTTCACGAATTCGATCGTTCCGCCGAAGAGACGCTGGCGTGGGTGGCGGAGAAGGAAGCCACTTTGCAGCTTCTAAGACAGCTGCACCAGCTTAAAGCACTTCGAGCGGATCTGAACGCTATAAGAGAGAAGCATGCGCATCTTCGAAATGAAGCCGACAGGTAATATCAGACTATAGCTTGTTTATTTCTCGGGGGGCCTTAATTATTCAAAATAGTGATATTAGAATTATGTAGACTTTAGTTACCACTTAGTAGTTTTAAAACAAAATGATATATTTATACTAATATTATAAAGGTGAATAGTTTTTTTGTCTGAACGCGCTCATCTCAGAAACTAGTGGTTTGAATTGAAAAATTCTTTAGAAAGGAATTATATTTGTTTTAAAAAAATCTATAAAAATGTCATTTGACTCACAAGAATTCTTCATGTGGGGAAAGAACGTTCGCTTTTAGTTAAGTTTTATTTAAAAAAAACTGCGAGTTTTTTTTATTTGTTTACTTTTTGTTCCACTATTGTCTGTCTTTTAAAATAGATTAACAAACATTTTACATTACTTTTAGATTGGGTGCAGCATTCCCAGATGCCAAGGAACACGTGCAAGCGAAACTGGAGGACGTCACGGAAGCGCTGGAGGCTTTGGAGGAGAGGGCAGCGCACTCCGAGCAACAGCTGCAAATCGCCGACCAGTTGCAAGCCTATTTCGACACTTACCAGGAGCTAATGTTAGTTGGTTACTCTGTAGCTAAATGGATAAGCCAGGTTCTGTGTTCGAATCCCCGAAAAACTTTAGATGGTTTCGCGCGGGCTGGGCACAAAGTCTGATCAAGTACTTGCCTGTAAAGAAAACCGCTCAGTGAAACGGACACAGAAATGTGTTCGCCCAATGCTTGATATCAGTTACACTTATAGTGATTTTATTGTTAGGAGTTTTACATCCGTGTTAGAAGTTAAATAAAACACCTTCAACGGTTTCAAACGTGAATAAACTAAACTTACTAATACGTTTTACATTTAACATCATATCATATTTTGACCACATAAAAATAATCAATGTCAATTTTAAGCACCACATATTGGTTTCCAGGGCTTGGACAAACGAAACCATGGCTCGGGTGACAGCACCAGAACTGGCTGCTGACGTCGCCGCGGCAGAGCGTCTCGTGGCGAGGCATCGGGATATTGCAGCGGAAATGGACGCGAAGGATGACGCCTTCCATACTTTCTATGCTGATGGTAAGTTGGCCGACAGAAGCTTGCCCCCCTCCATAGAATTATGTAATAAAACATTAGCTAAATTCGCTGACCAATAACAGTTTATTCACTTATTATAGAGAATATTACTTATGCGAGGGTGAAACCTGCGTTACGTAACGCGTTACGCCCCAGTTTGTGTTTCCGCTTTTACTCAGACGTGGATTTCCGACTTGTTATCATTTGTATAAGAATACTTAACCGGCTTCGTTACGTAACCAGTTTATCTCATTTGCTTATAACGAAGAGACTATCTCATCCTTTCTGGGCCACAGTGCTAGATTTCGACAAAATGCTTAGTAGAGTTATGTCTTCTATAAAGCGTCTCGTACATTTAAAGCCATAGTAAACTACTTCATTACGTAACGCGTTACGAAACCGATCCTTTGTACTACTTTTGTGTCACGCTTACTGCAATGGTGGGTAAATGAGTTTGAGTTAAGATCTCTATCAGGCAATATATTCACTTGATTACGTAAAGAAGTAATGACGACCTGTTTTGGGTATTCGAAAATGCACACTATGAATTCTTCTATCAGGTGAAAAGCTGGTGAGCGAAGGCCACTTCCTCTCATCCGAGGTGGAAGGTCGAATGTCCGCATTGAGGGCGAGACGTTCAGCTCTCACCAGCGCTTGGCAGGCCAGAGCCACGATATATGAACAGCACCTGGATGCTCTTATCTTCTTGAGAGATGCTGAGGCATTGGACCAATGGATCAGTGCCAGGTAAAGGCGTATATTTAAATAAAACATTTTAACGGTTTAAAACGCGATGTATATTAGTTAATCTTATTCGGAAATTATTTTAATTACGGCACGACGGTTCGGATGCTGTGCATCAGTCAGTAAGTTTAACAAATATACATCGCGTTTTAAACCGTTAAAGTTATTTAAATGTGTACTACTCGCGTAAACTACAGACAGTATTTGAAGTCTTATGTAGTTTGTAGTACTATTAAGGTTCCGAGTTGAAATCCGTTGATTCGGTCAAGGCATAGAATAAGAAACTGTTTTTAATTTTAACGATCACTGAAACGGACACAGTAATATGTTTGCCCCCTAACAGTGGTTAACGGGGCTTCAGTTATTGAATAAAAGATTTGTATTTTTATCTAAACATCACATCTTTGTGGCACAAACTTATTCTCTCGTTTTGTTTTGCTATAATAGCGTCGTCCGATTTAAATGCCCTACACTCAGCGTTATGATTACACCTAGGGATTGTGTGTTAACAGACATTTTTTCAAATATATATAACCTCAGATGGAAACTATATGTTTTCTTTACGTTCAACAGAGTGCCGTTAGTACGTGACGGCAAATATGGAGACAGCGTGGCTCAAACTGAAGAATTAATCAACCGGCATAGAGACCTGGAGGAAACGATAGACGCCCAAAAAGACAGATTCAACGCACTTAAGAGAATTACCCTGGTGAGTGTTTATAGATATAAAGATTATCATTAATGTTTTCAAAGATATTTTACCTTAATTCGAAAGTAGTAAACTCTTAGAAACGCAGATTCCAGACCAAACAAAACGTAAAAAAGCGTGTACTGTCAGATTTTAATGTTTCAAGGAAATACGTTTGCCCCCCCCCCCCCCCCCCCATTTTGAGTCACATGAAGTTACACTTGTCACTACATTCTTTCTCAGATTGAGAGGGCGTTCAAGAACCAGAAGGAAGAAGAAGAACAGGCTCGCCGTCGTCACGCGGAACAGCAGGAAGCGGAGCGGGTGCAGCAGGTAAAGAGAAGAGAAATGGAAAGGATCGCGGAGGAGAGGAGACGAGAGAGCGGAAGCCAACAGAGTAGACAAGATGTCCAAGTGAGTAGCATTTATATTAGCGTATTGTTCTGTTCACATTTAATCACATTAGACGGTTTAAAACGCTTATATATTATTTTGACGGGCTCATCGGTGTATCGGGTTGTCGGTTCGATCCCCACCGGGTCCTACATGTTTATTTAACTAACTACTGGAATAACTATTGGAATTCCATCTGGGTCTCGAACTACAGATGAAAAAGTCAGTGCTACCGGTCAGTCAGTCGGCGAACAGCTGACCGGTAGCACGTGCATACTGTACTAACTGCGCTAACGAGCCGCTTGCCTGCGTTTCTCAAAGTTTCGCGATTTAATATTTTCAAAATGCTAACGTGTGATCATTGTGGTGTGGAGTTCCTGGATGGCGTTCAGTGTCCCCTCTGCCAGAATCACCTTGATTTCGCATGTGCTGGAATTACTGAAGTAGGGTGGAGAAGACAAGGGGCGAAACAATCTTCATGGAAATGTCCGAAATGTAAATCTGGCAGCCCGCGTCCTCCCAATACACCAACCAATACGGGGTTGGAAGACATCTTCGCTGAGCTAAAACGGTTGACCACTCAAACTGGTGTTATACCGGATTTAATGAACATGATGGTTAACGTACAAGCGGAACTGGCGGAAATCAAGTCTTTGAAGGAGGAACTTGTAACTGTCAAATCTTCTGTGGAATTTACACACCAATCCATCGAAAATATAGAAACTAAAGTTTCTTCTCTTAGCAAGGATGTCGAGTCTCTGAAAAAGACAAGAGCAGAAGTCACATCCCTGCGTGAACAACTTGATAAACTCGATCTTCTACACCGCGACAATGAACAAAGGTTACGTAAAACAAACATAGAAATCAAAGGCGTTCCTACATCAGACTCCGAAAACCTTTTTACAATCATGGCAAAGCTAGGTGATATCATCAAGATCCCCATCCAAAAAGATCAAATCAACTATATCGTGCGAGTCCCCATGAGGAGTGACCCACGCAAAAAAAACATTATATGCTCGATTCACAATTTATATCTGAAGGAGAACTTTATAGCAGCTGCAAAAAAGCATACCATCAAGTCGTCGGACCTAGGGTTACAGGAAGACAGTCGAGTATTTGTCAACGATCACCTGACTATAGAAAACAAAATATTGCTGAACAAAACCAAATTGATTGCCAAACAGCGGGGGTTTGCTTTCGTCTGGGTGAAGAATTGCAAAATTCTTATACGAAGGAACCCGACTTCACCTGCTTTAACTATAAAATCGGAAAAGGACCTACAGAAGCTTGTACCCGAAACTCATCAATCATAGCTCATGTTTATTTAGCTGTTTACATTAAGCACTATAATTCGCAAAGTTTGAGATTCACATGCATATTTTTTTCCATTCACTCAAAGCAACTGTTTCTTTTGTCCTCTTATCGCTTGGAATGTACTGTGCCGATCATCTACGCTCACTCAATTATGTACCTTATTTCATTAACATTGTGGTCGCTGTCGCTTGTTCTTTTATATTATTATCCATTAGCGAGTGCAACCGGCTTTATTTTTACCTTAGATTTTTGCAATCTACCCTACAATTTCCATATTCGAATGCTAATATATGTAATACTTTGCGATGATGCCAATTAATATTTATTACCAAAACTGTCGGGGACTGCGGACTAAGACATCATGTTTTTATAAAAATATGCTCTTGAATAATTTTGATATTATATGTTTAACGGAAACATGGTTAAACGATAATATCAACAATAGCGAGCTTTTTAACGATCGTTACTTGATTTGGAGAAAAGATAGGGACTACGCTAGCTTAGCCCAAGACCTAGGCGGTGGTGTGCTAGTAGCAGTTCGACGAGAATTAGCTTCCGAAATACAAGACGACTGGTGCTCCTCTGCCGAAGATATATGGGTGACACTTACACTTTACAACAAAAACCTAGAATCTCAAAATGCAATAGGCGTGGTATACATTGACTCAAAATTAGGTAACTCAATTACCACACAATTTCAAATTTCTCTAATACCTAGCCGACATAGTGATGAAGAACCCCGCTGATATTTTTCTAGTTTTAGGCGACTTCAACATGCCTAATATTACATGGTCTCTTTCAGACGACGGTCACTCCTTTTCGTCAGATGGCGTTAGTGGGACAGCTCAAAAATCTTTCTTCCATGATGTAGGGTGTTGCAATTTATCACAATATAACTCACATTTAAATTATAATAACGTGATACTAGACTTAGTTTTTTCAAACAACGAGGTTCTGGTGTTGGCAAGTAGTGACCCCCTGGTTCCAGAGGATCCTAACCACAGAGCCCTCTGTATATCAGCGGATTTCGTTCAGCTTCATGCACTGTCTTCCTCACCGTATATAAAGTTTGTATACAACTGCGGTGACTTCACTGCAATTTCAAACGAATTAGACAATATAGACTGGGCTAAGGAATTCAGCATTAGATCATTACAGGACGCGGTAAGTTTTTTTTATGATATAATCAACAAATTGCGCACAAAATATATCCCATCTAAAACAGTAGTCCCGCGTTCAAAATATCCACCATGGTACAAAACACCACTTATTAAAATACTTAAAGAAAAGTCTAAATTTCACTCCAAATTTAAGAAATATAATAATCTCTGTGACTACGAGTCCTTCATTCTATTACGAGAAAGAGCTAAAGCCCTGGAGAGGGAAATGTTCACGGACTATATTGCGAGAATCGAGGAGAGCATCGTCAAAAATCCCAAAGCATTCTGGTCCTATGTTAAAAGTAAAAAGCAATCGAACTGCTATCCTGCAGTTTTCACCTATGGGCAGCACTCTTCGGGTAACGGTGACGAGATATGTAACTACTTTTGCGATTACTTCAATTCTTTTTGCACAATACTAGCAGCACCTCTAACAGCCCAAGTGCGGACCCCAGGGTAGACACTATAACAAACATAGGGTCAATAGATATATGTGAGGACGAAGTCTTAAGGTTACTCAAGGGCCTCGATCTGAATAAAACTGCAGGCCCGGATAATATACCCCCAATCTTCATCGCCAGGTGCGCTGCTGCCCTCACAACACCTCTCACGCTGTTATTTAGGCGCTCGCTAAAGGAAGGTTCGGTGCCTCAGTTGTGGAAATCAGCGTTCATTACACCAATCCACAAAAAAGGCCCTAAAAACATGTTAGAAAACTACAGGCCTATCTCGAAACTGTGTATATTCGCTAAAGTGCTGGAACGAATCGTCTATAGGCAATTGTACAACTCACTGAAACACAACTTTGGCGAATACCAACATGGGTTCCTGAGTGGCCGCTCCACCACTACAAACCTTCTTGTTTGCAGCGAGTATATCTCCGAGTGTATGTCGCAGCGACACCAAGTTGACGTGATATACACGGATTACAGTAAGGCATTTGATCGAATTGATCACGAACTGCTTCTGCGTAAACTCCTTGATATAGGTATCAGGGGTGACCTCTTCAGGTGGTTCTCCTCGTACGTTAAAAACAGATGTCAAACTGTCGTGCTAAACGGGTTCAAATCAAGAGCATCTTATATTCCATCCGGGGCTCCTCAGGGTTCGCTGATGGCCCCTTTATTGTTTATTATTTACATCAATGACATCTCTAATTGCTTCACCAACTCCAAAATTCTGCTTTACGCCGATGACATGAAGATCCTATGTCCTGTCATAACAACAGACGATGTTCATGTACTCCAAGAAGACCTGAATCGATTTACTATCTACTGTAAGTTAAATAAACTAGAGCTAAATACATCTAAATGCTATGTATGCACCTATACTCGAAAACCGGTACCTATTCATCACAACTATAAACTGGACGAGTGTAGTATTATGAGAGTGAGCTTAATCAAAGATCTAGGTATAACTTTTGATGCTCAGCTTATGTTTGACCAACACATAGATAATATTGTCAAACGAGCCTCCAGGGCTTTGGGCTTTATCGTGCGGCTATCGGCAGATTTTAAAAATATAAAAACAATGAAAATTCTGTACTGTGCGTTTGTCCGCAATCACCTCGAATTCTCTTCACAGGTGTGGAATCCTCACTACAATGTTTACATAGAGCAATTAGAAGGTATTCAGAGGAAATTTGTAAGGTATATTCAATATCGTTCCAAATTATACTTGAAAAATTATACTGCCCGGTGCAGAAAATTTCATTTGGTACCGTTGCACCTGCGTAGACGTGTGGCTGATCAAGCTTTGCTCTTTGGTATTGCTAATGGCTCAGTCGATTGTCCGGAGCTGTTGGGTAAAATTGGATTATGCGTAAACCACTCCTTTTTAAGAAGACCGCGACTTCTCCATGTTCCCAAAGTGAGTTCCAATTATCGTCAAAACTCTTTTCTCATTAGAGCTAGCAGGGATTTTAATAAAATCTCGCGATCAATTGACGAAGTTGACTTGTTCGGCACCAGCATTCCTAAGCTAAAAAAGATTCTGAATAACGAGTTCTTTGAAGGGTGAATAGTGGTAAATATATATGTAAGTGGTAAATATATACCTATGTATAAGAAAAAGATAAAATGATAAAAGTGTCTGTCGTCTTTAGTTTTAATAATTGTATATTACACGTAAAAACTTGTAATTGGCCTTCCTGTACCTATTTACTGTTTGTATTCTCATTTGTAGTAGCCGTAAGTTTTTTGTAAAAGAATAAAATAAAAATAATAAACCGTGATGTTTGATCGTGATTTGTCCTTCTCTATCATATAAAAAAAATCAGTTATAATTTTTTTTCAATCAAACAGACCCCTGTGACCGGCTACCCAGTCGTACTTTTGTTTAAAGTGCTTCACTGGTTAATAATCGTTTTCGTTCTAAACAAAAAAACCTTTTTCAGTTGGAACGGCAAATAAGCAACCAAGAGAGCGTAGTCTCCTCAGAAGAAACCTACTCGCCCGCGCCCCAGTTCGACAGATTGCCGAAGAGTGACGCCCTGGTTAAGAGGGCGGAGAGTATGAGTGTGAGTATAGAACACACACTCAAAAACATACACGATCGCACTTTACAATAAGTCCATTATATAAGTTTTGTATCCATGAATTAGCGTTAATAATAAACGGCTACAAAGTGGTTTTTTTTTACCTTACAAAAATATCCTTCTTCAGGTGGCGACAAAAACTCCAAAGAGAACACCATCATTCACGACTCGTCGCAGAACGCAGAGCTTCCGAAGACATAGGCAGCCAGATGAACTACCACCAGTTGAGATTGAAGGTAAAGTCTATCCACTGCTGGGTACTGGTTAGAATTAAACATGGAAGATTTGATTTAGACCCACCATGCCTCTTCTGTGGGTAGTTGGACTGATTAAATAATAACTATGACAGTAGCTTCCCCGCTTGTACCTTTCGTACCACGTTGCTTTTGCACAGATTAATTACAATACAAATCTTATTGTAACCAAAATACATCAGTAACTGTTTTTAATATTTCTTTTTTTAGTATATATAATGTACTTCTTTATTAATTTAGTATATACCTAGACCGTTTTAAACTTAAATTTTTCAAATGAAATTACCTCCGGTTAAAACAAAGGCCAAATCCTTCCACTTACTTATTAACAAAAATAATTCCTTTGTTCTTCGTTCGTTTCTCTTCTTCTTTTAGTTTGTGTGTTTGTTTTAAGTAAGATAAGTGTGTCTGTGAGACAGAATTTGTGTGTGAGTGGGTGTGTGTGTGGGACAGAGATAGAAGTAAAAAAATCCACAATCATTTATTCATGCTAGTAACTGGGTACACGTATCAACCTTACAAAACTATAGAATCTAACTTTCCATTCACTGCCAGTTCTCAAATCAAGAGCATAGAACGAACGAGAAGAATTGGCAAAAAACTCGCCAGTTCGATTGATGATTGATTTTGATTTCGATATGTTTTGCAGGCTACTTGGAACGTAAGCAAGAAGCGGGTGTGGGTGGAAAGCGCGCAACAGTCCGCTCGTGGCGGTCATACTACGGCGTTCTGTGCGGTCAGCTCCTCTGCTTCTTCAGGGACCAGAGTGACTTCGCCAGCAGTAAGGCAGCAGCACCACCCGTCGCTATACTTAATGTAAGCTACCACTACGTATGATAAGTAAATAACAGGACGCCATTTGCAAAATTATATAGATTAGTTGATGTATATAAACTACGGCCCGACGTTTATGTCCCCATATGACCATAGCTGTTATTCACAACGACGAGTCGCAGTCCACATAACTTAAAGATAAGTTAGTATATTTTGCGTTTTAAACCGTTAAAAAATGTTTAATTTATATGTGAACTACTTGCGTAAACTACAGACAATACTACATTTGGTATCTGTTTTTGTGTTGGATTTATCAAAGGAGGCTTTAGGGTGTAAAACAGCAGACTGCGACCGAGAAGCGAAGAAACAGGGAAATGTGGATCAAACGGGATAATTTATCCACATTTGAGAGTCTCCGTCGCGCACGCAACGGAGACTCGAAAACGGATAAAATATACCCAAAGAATTTGTAGGAAAGAATTATTCTTCTTCGAACAACTTTAAAAAATGTCCCCGACATACGCATATTTTACGATTAACTTGCAAGAACGATAGGACGCGATCGATGTCGAGAATCAGCTATAATTTATAAAGATTACAAAATGGACGTCGCATGCACAGCTAAGTTTAAATATGGTTCTATATTTTAACAACATCTCAGACTTTCTATTGCTTTATAATTAAAAACGATTAATATCTAGGCGCGGTGTGAACCAGCCAACGACTACACAAAACGGGCACACGTCTTCCGCTTATCCTGCACTGATGGTGCTGAGTACCTCTTCGCGTGTGCCAAGCACGAGCTGATGCTGGAGTGGGTCGCCAAGATCTCCTTCCACGCGGCCCTACCACCTCAACTTCAACTAACGCCCTACGATTCCAGTACTTCGCCAGCCGACGATGTCAGAAAACGGTTAAGGTAAGTTACATCAAAAAGTAGATGACGTGTATTGTCGAAATGTCTTCAAAAATCTTCATATAGGAAGTTATTAAATTTATTAGTTATTGTAGTATCTTAGCCTTCCCAGTTTTGGTCTATATGTAATTACAATATTTATTTTTTCTAACTTGGCAAGAGACCGCAACAAATATGGCCGATTTTAAACCATAGAGAATTCATTTATAGAGTGAAATTGATGCCACAGACGACATAGGGATAAAGAAACATCGATTGTATACGCAAAAGCAACTTTATTTTAAATTGTTACGTCATTATTATTTAACTCAATGGTCTTAAGGATTTTGTCATGTCAAACTAAAGAAATTTTAATCTGTCTCTACGTAAATTGATTTATCATGAAATTGTGCTTCTTAGTGGGTATTTTCTTTAGTTAATATAGAATCCAGTGTCTCAAAGTGTTAAAACACTTTATTACACACATTACTTACACTGATTGAATGAATGAAAACGAATATATTTATATTAAATGAATGAATAAAATTAAATTGTGATTTCACGTAAATTTTGTGCTTTCTTATTAAAAATGTGAAGTTAGAAAAAAATACACTATAGATAGTTTTAATATCAATTCCTAAATATTAAATCCTATGTGGTGACATAACCTAGTAAATAAAGGTTTAAAATAATTAATCTGACAGAAATCGAACCAAGGAAAAATAATTGGGAGGTATCATTTTGATATGTTTGTTTATACGTAGAAACGCATCTTCATCATCATCTGCCACTTCATCACCGGAGGCCCAACGCAAAGTTCGAACCCAAAGTGAAATATTGAAGGAGCACCGCGCAGCGACTACGCCAGAAAGAAATATTGAGTCGTCAGTGTTGCCATCGCTACCACCACGACAGCCACCGAACCAAGAAGACAACGCTGATGTCATACTAAGGTATATATCAAAATACAAAATACTGTCTGTAGTTTATGCGAGAAGTACCCGTTTAATCTACTTTAACGGTTCAAAATGCAAAATGTATTAGTTCTGATGTGATAGATAATGTGTCTACTTTGCTCTCTACAACCGAAAAATTTCTAGTTTTACTCTTTTTAACACTGAATTTTTTTTAGAATCTAAAGTTTTAATAATCCAGTTAACGAGTTTAAACGCCAAATGTATCAGTTACACTTTTTTTTATTATTTCAACAACGCCCCGACGTTTCGGATGCTTTGCAGCGACCGTGTTCACGGCGAGATATAATTTTAGTCCATGGCTAAATAAAATAGTTTTATTTTCTCTCCACAGATTATAAATGCTTAAATAAAACCTACATGCATCAAATGTCTGTAGTTTACGTTTAGTTTAGTTTGAAACGCGATATATATTAGTAAAACTTATTTGAATATTATTTTTAACTAGTCTCCCCGTAACCACGACTGCTGCAAAGCAGTAGAAACACAATTAAGACTACCAATAATGAAGTCTTGTAATAAAACTTGTCACCTTGTTCTCGAGAGCGGACTGATGTCTGATGATGTGTGTAGTGGTTATAATAGATCAACAACGGTATCTGGTTGTTCGGACACGTAAGACGTAAAAGTATTTGACAATTGAATCAGAGGTGACAGCAAGCCAAGACAGTAAGCCAACGCCATCTAGTGGCTGTGAAAACCAAATTCACTTTAGACCGCACAGAGAGACACAAGGAATGAACACTATTTAAGTAGCTTTTGTCTCCACAGAAATTCGGAACACGCGAGCGGTTCCTGGGGACGGTCCCGTTTCTCCAACGGACGAGACATCAACGCGGAGTTTCTTCGTACACAACGAGAGGGTAAATAAATATTTTTTATACCCACATTTCGCAACATCGAAAAACGTGGCTGATACAGGCGGTAATCGAACCAAAGCAAAGCTGGGTTCAAATCCCGCTAGTGTCATATTTAATTAAATATAATTTTTATTAAGCAACTGATGTGCAAACTGTTTTTTTTTATGGCGGAGGATAGACAAGTATGGGGTTCGTTTGATGGAAGGTGAACTACTATCTGTTTAGATACTGTCAGTAGTTTACGCGAGTGGTACACATTTAAATAAACACTTTAACAGATTAAAACGCGATATACATTAGTTCAACGTATTTGCAAACTATTTTCACTACGGCCCGACGTTCCGGATGCTTTGCAGCAGCCGTGGTCACAGGGATGTCAGTCTCCCTGTAGTTTAAATAAATCTTCTATCTATCTCTTGAGAAAATAAAGATGGAATGTCGACCTATTTTGGTTTTGACATTTCCAAATATTCAAAGCTATAATAGATTGACAGCGCACCATTATCGCGATATAATTAGATGTTTTAGAGCCGGGGTGTTCTTCATCTTCCATCAAGTAAATCCCTTGCTTTTCTGTTCTTCTCTGCCATATAAAAATGTATACGCTGTTTATTGTGACGTTAGGCTTTTGTTATTGTCTTTGCGTTATTTTTTTAAGCAATAATTATTCTTGCATTAGTTCAAAATTAAGAGTAATTCTTAGTTCTATTTAATAATATATAAACCCAAAAATAGCATCAGCACGAGGACCACACACCACCGTCACGGAGCGTCCACCAGCGATACCAGAACGAGCCCCAATGATACCCGAAAGGGGCCCAGCTGTGCCCGAAAGGGGGCCTAACATACCTGACAGATTAACCACGAAAACTAGACCGAGTGCAGAACGGAACTCCGGTAGGGGTTCAGTTATGTCAGATCGGGGATCAGTCATGTCAGATCGGGCGTCAGTTATGTCAGATCGGGCGTCAGTCATGTCAGATCGGGCGTCAGTCATGTCAGATCGGGCGTCAAGCGATAGAGAATTCGACAAAAACTCCAACAACAGCGGGAGAAACTCAGTATCTGAACGGAGTCCGATCGAGAGAGACAGAAACTCTAACGAGAGATATGAACAGACATACAGATACACAGAGAGGACTGAAAAAAGTGGGGGCCCAAATGTGCCCCAAGGGGAGAAGTCGGTGACGGCAATGGTTAACAGTTACCAGCAGAAGGTTAACAATAAGAATGCTGGTTGGAATAACAACTGGCAGGGGGTGGAAACTACTTCGCATTTCTACTCGGCGAGCGAGCTCGGTCAGTTTGCTCTTGCGTCTTTATTTCTAGTCGGTCTTGTAGTTGGGTAATTCTCATCATACTTAAAAAAAACAATTATCATTCGCGTGTATACCTAAGATCCCACTGTTGGATCTCCTTCTCGTAGGAGACAGAGAGACAGATAGTTTCTAGAACTGGTTCAGTTAGACTTGGTGAACTTACTGCCAAGGTAATAATAACCGGGACAAACTCTGGGTTGGTAATGGAACTTTTCTTTGATTCCAAACCGAAATTTGAACCCAGGGCCTTTTTTAAGGACAGAAGAGGACACATTTGGCTTCGGAATTATTACTTATTTTAAATTATAATATTCTATATGTATAGTCTAGGATTTTTTCAATTATGATGAGAATTACTTGTAGTTCTTTCTTCTAGCCTCATGTTTTTTCTTTTTATTTGTTTTTTTTTTATACTTCTGGTGTGCGGATGTTGCAACATTGATATTGTTACATATTTTCAATCATAGCTTTAGGTTTTAGAACAATTACTATTAAATATTAGCTTATTTTGGCTCAAGTTCGTAGTTACTGTGTGATAACCTAAAATGTATTTATTTATAAACTTAATTAGAATATTTCTTGATTGCTTCAATACTTATATTTATATCTCTTTGCTGCCGAAAGGACCAAGCCATCTTCTTTACGTACTTCATAAAGTGCATTGTACGTATCTTAAAATATTAGATCAATGTGTTGCCAGGTAAACAAATGACGCAATATTTACAAATACACGTTTTGAAATATATTTGAAAGTTAAATCAAACATTTGTAACGGTTTAAAACGCGAAATATAGTCGTGGTCGCGCTGTTGAAGCAAGAACTTGGAAAATTATTTAAGATGTTTTTGTTCAGTTTGCCTAATGTCTATTCGTTGTGTAAGGTACAGACAAATTAAATAAAACACCTTTAACGATTTTTAAGTGTGAAATATATGATTTATTCGAAACGCCTAACTGTAGTTAAAATAAATTAAAAATACCTTAACATATGTTGCGTTTTAAACCGTCAAAAGTGTTTTATGTACATGCAGTACTTACATAAACTACAGACGTTACAGACAATATTTTTTATTTTTTTTACCTGGTCACACCAATGCTTGCAAGCTTGCGAACTTACTGTTTCTTAAGTAGTTTTAGAATGTATATTCTTACATGGTAATACTTAGTGAAGATTGAATTGTAACTATGTTTTTTTCTAATTGTTCTGAGTTATCTTTTTTATTTTTATTATAGAACTTTAGTTTGTGCGCGCTTATTCGTACTTATAAGCTTGTAAAATATTGGTGTGGGTTTTAGCTTTAGCTTTCGTGTTCAATGTGTGCTATTTTGGGGACAATGCACAAAATTTATTATATTGTATTTAAAAAAAACTTGTATTTTATGTAACTTAGTTTAACACCTTACCTGTTAGTAAAACATTTTTTTATCAACAGCCTATGGAGGTAACAGCGCTGGCAACACTCGACCGGCGTCTGTGGCTGGTAGCGGGGGTTCCCCCGCGTTGGATCAGCGACCCGCCTCTAGGTACTATGTCACATTATTGACAGTCTTATCATTAATTCATTAAAAACACTATTCGATGTAAGGAGAAAAAGGTGAAGTGTTATAAGTGAAAATACTTTCTTTTACTGTGTGAAAATACACTATAGACTTGGCTCAAAGGTACCGTCACCAGGCCATAACAAAATTATTAACAAAAATAGTTATTAAAGATTTTTAAAATTTGTCACGACGCTGCATATGCAACATACATTATTACACCTCTAATCGTAATCAAAACACTGCTCAATCTTTTTAAAGATCATATTATACAGAATAGTAGTTTGTCGAAATAGAATTGTCTGTAGTTTACGAGTAGTACACAATTAAATAAAACTTAAACGGTTTGAAACGCGACATATATCAGTTTATTTTAAGTACGTCCTTAAGTCTTTGCAGCTTTGCAGCTGCCATGGTCTGGGTAACGCCGGTGCCGCATTTAAAATAAGCTATCTGATATATTTCTCGTTTTAAGCCGTTAAAAGTGTTTTATTTAGACTAGTAGTTGATCACAGTTGTGTGACGGCCTCACTAAAGCTTTTTTTAAGCTTGTACATAAAAATTTTAAAGCTAGTACTTTTTTTTATGAAAAAGAATAGCACGTTAACAAACATTACTTTTTCTTATTTTCAGGTCATCTGGAGAATCTGAGTTGTCAGTCGGTGGCACGAAAGAGAAGAAAGATAAGAAGGGCGTGTTCGGCGGTCTTTTCAGCAGAAAGAAGAGACCACAGAGTCACATGTAAACAATATTGTCTATGGCAGGACCGATTGTAATTTTATCTGTTAAAATGTACCGCGGTAACGTATCGTTGTTTGTTTCTATTTAACTGTGTTTAATATTCTTGTCCATTTGTGCCTTCATCTTGTGTAGACCGTAAGGTAGTTGTTAAGAAGACGAAGTGCCTTGAATATTTCGCGTAACGCGTTATTTTTATTTCTTATTTACATTCCTGTAGTCACAAAAATTAGGGACCAATCTACAAAACATCAAATAAGGATTCAAACATTCCGAAATCGACTCGAAGTATTTAAAGAGCAATAATAAAAGTAAGTATATTTAATTAAATTGTGTTTGCATAATTTTTAGGAATAAAACATCACTTTCATGTAACCGTTTTATTTATTGAATTAAGTTATGAAATCGACTTGCAACGGCAACACTGCTGTCAATGTCAGTTTGACAATTGACATTTGTTTTTATCGCTAATGTTTTGCTACCGAAATATGAGAAAGTACAATAAAAACCACCCGCATATGTTAAGTAGTTGATTTTGCTGAGTTTATACGCTGTTACGTATCGGTAGACGAACCAACCTCTCGCTCTAATCGCTTGATTAGAGCGAAACGAATATAGTTTGCTCTTAAATAATGTAAACAGTAAAGTATTTTTTATTTAAGTTAAATTTTTATGTTAGCTCCTATAATGTTTCACAGAAAAGATTATGTTTACTACTTAATACTAAAAAAAGCAATGTGAATCGTTACTAAAATGGATTTTGACACAAAAATGTGTGTATGGCCGGCCGTATCATATGTTGGTTCTTATAAAGACATGTGTACGTAATTATTTATATGAACAATTACCGTAATTACAATATTCAGTTAACGATTTCCTGAAGTACTATGTAATCGACCTCCAAGTTTTTGTATTAAGTTTGATGTATAAATAAAATATATATTTTGCATAATACTCGTTTTATTATTATTGCACGGCTCCTGGAATATGAACTAAAGAGCCCCTGACATATTAAAGATGTTAAAAAAACACAACGGTTTAAAACGCGAAATATTAACTTATTTACAGTTCTCTCGTGTTTAAAGCTTGTAATCTACACTTATATATAAAGTTCAGTTGCCTTATATGTTTGATCGGTTTAATCTCAGAACCTACTGGTTCGAATTGAAACATTTGTTTTTTTTTATAAGTCTACAAGCTTAAAATCGCCCTGTGACTAATAAGAGCTTAGATACAGCGAGAAAGGTGAAAAAAAAATGGGAAAATTTCATGATCATCATTATGGTTTTCAGGCGTACGCTCCAAAAACGGTTCAAGATACCCAAAAAAATATTTATAAAAAAAATGATTCATAATTTATAAATTGAAAAAAAATTCGACTCGCGCTTGAACCGGCATCGTCAGCGTTCCGTGCTGTTGCTCTACCAGGCTCGGTAGCTCAATTGGTAGAGCAACAGCACGGAACGCTGACGATGCCGGTTCAAGTCCTGCCCGAGTCGGATTTTTTTTAAAATTTATTTTCGATTTTCAATCATATAGTGCCTTCATGTGCAATAACATGTAAATAATAACGTTTTCAAAATGATATAAAAAAAAAACCGCGACCCTAAATGTCTATCTTTCAAGATTAACTTGCATAGGGAAGGGACGCGATCGACGTCGTAGGTGACACATTAAGTTTATAAAGACGAGAAGGTTTGCAAAAACAAATTTCAATAAAATACTGTCTATGGTTTACGCGAGTAGTACACATTTAAATAAAACACTTTAACGGTTTAAAACGCGATATATTAGTTAAACTTATTTGAAATTTTTTTTAACTTCGGCCCGACGTTTCGGATGCTTCGCAGCAGCAGTCTCCCCGTGACCACGGCTGCTGCCAAGCATCCGAAACGTCGGGCCGAAGTTAAAAATAATTTTCAAATAAGTTTAACTAATATATCGCGTTTTAAACCGTTAAAGTGTTTTATTTAAACAAATTTCAATAGCCAAAAACTATTCAACACGGACGATGTCGCTGACACAGCTAGTTTAAAAATAAACATCTATCAATTGACTTATCGCAAGGTCAAAATGGCTTTATCGGAATTTTTCAAAACGGCAACATACAAGGAAGGAACTGATCGACTAAGTTAATTATACTTACTATAAATATTATTCTATAGTTTACGCGAGTAGTACACATTTAAACAAAACACTTTAACGCTTTAAAACGCGATATATTAGTTAAAGTGGGGAGTCTCCCCGTGACCACGGCTGCTGCAAAGCATCCTAGCATAATTTTCCTGAATGGAATGCTGGACTTCTGGACACCTGGAGTATATGAGTGGTAGGAATATCGAGATGCCGTCCATGTCACGAACCACCGTCCGCAGATGAAAAATTCAGTCTGTCGATTTCCGATTAGTCAAAGCTAAAATAGGTTTACGGCCCATCTTGTTTAGATGCTGAGCTGGTGTATATCACCTACCATCAAGTGAATTTAATGCCATGTCTGTTTTCCTCTAACATTAAAGAAAGGTGTTATATCTACGACAGAGACATTCCACTTCTATCATGTGAATTCATTCTTGTCTATCTTCTTGCTGTTCTTGTCCTCCACTTTAAATAAAAGGTTAAATAAAAGATATTAAAAAAACACATTTATTTCCTACTTATACATTTTACTGTGCATCGGAAGAAGACTTCATAGCGCCTAACAATAGATTATTCATACCCAGAGTCGCGTTAGAACCGAACTGTTTGATATATTCAAAGGTTTGTATATTATAATGCCTTCTCAAGCTCTCGTTCACATTTTCCACCTGGATTTGCGACGGGCTATACAACGTTCCAGGTCTACTTTTGATGTAATAGCTTATATCCTGCATCGGGTTTTCCGGGATGCGCGAAATCGCGTAATCTTCGTAGTAAACGGATCTCCTGTCGCGTATCGGCTTGCGGACTATTTTCACAGCTAAGCCGCCATTTTTGTGCTTCTGAAAATAGTATTTCGGTTTCTCGATGATTATCTTCTTCGCTTTTGCTCTTTGGCGTTTTGTTGGCGCGCGCAGGCGTATAGCTTTTTTCGTGACGGCGGCGCGCTTTTGCACTGATTTCGTGTTTAAATCGTTTCCGACATCGTATTGACCCGACGGTATAACACTATATGAATTGTCGCTGTCCCAAATCTTGTATTTTATATAGTTTTTAACGAAGTGGGACGTCGCGTCGTCGGTTGAGCGCTTTTGACGCGCGCTTTTTGGCGGCAGTTTTGACAGCGGCGGTCCGTTCTCCACAGACTGCATTATTTCTAGGGGCCCCGTTGTCTCTGGATTGGGAGTTGTATATTCTGTGTTGGTGGTGGTCGATTCTGTTGTAACTGTAAAAAATATATTATGTTGATATTTAAATCAAATCTTTACTATAAAATATCGCGATGCTACCATATAGGAGCTAAGAAACAGTGGGAAATATGTAAAAAACGGAAAAAAAAATATTATGATTATGATAATTAATAAATATAAAAATTAAGATAAAATATTTATGAAGGTATGATACCGTTTTAAATGACCTTAAAAAAATGTACGCGACAGTATATATCTATCTTTTAATATAACTTGCAAGAACGACAGGAGGCGAAAAGTGGAGGAGGTTTGCAAAAACAAATTTTGATGCCCAAATAACTATTATACGCGGACGAAGTCGCGGACTCAGGTAATTTAAAAAAAATGCTTACTTTACATTCGTATTCAATATATGAGTCAGCCATAACTTACAAGTATTTTCAAAGTCTGTGGGATCGGGTTCATACCCCGTCAAGTGAGCGAGCTGATCCAAGAACCATGCTAGCTTCATCAGCAGTTCCTCTTCTTCCTGCGCAGCGTTGTCCTATAACGAAATGTAATTGTTTTAACTACCCACATAATTCGTTTATGGAGTTTGTTTCAAAAGACAACCGTGAACGGACGATGAATATATTTTATATACATTTTTATTGTTAAAATCTGCCTAGTAACTCCTAGGTTTGAATGTTTGAAAGAAAATGAAATGATTATATCCGTCGGGTAAAGTAATCCTACAATACATAGCTGTATGTCCTATAGGTTAGTTATGATCGTTCAAGACGATAAAAAAGTATTTTTTTAAATGTTAATATATTCACAAAGCTCTTCCTATATTCTGAAGGAGAAGTTTTTGTGACTAACCTTTTTTGTATTACTACGTTCAATTAGATAAAAAAAAACATTAGCGCTGAAGTGAAAACTAAGCTATTCGCCAGGGTTTGTATAGGTTTACGTTAACAATTTGAATACAATTATTTAACTAAACAAATTTGACAACGAGCTAAAAAATTACGCAAATTGATTATGATAAAGACATGGAGGATTATTTATTTGTTTTTTTTTAAATTATATAAATATATGTCGCTGTTTTTGCTTAACACAAGTTGTTGACAAACATTTGATATTATCTGTGGTTGCCGCGAGTAGTATACATTTAATTAAAACACTTTTGAACGGTTTAGAACGCGAAATATATTAGTTAACCTTATTGACAAATTATTTTTAACTACCAAAAATTTTAGATATTAAATTATTTTTAATGAACGAATTTCGCGTTTTAACCTGTTATAACTGTTTTATTGTAACAACTAAAATTTAAACACCGTCTGTAATTTACGTGAGTAGTACACATTAAGAATAAACACTTAAACGGTTTAAAACGCCAAAATATATTAAAATTATTTACAAATTTGTTTTAACTACACGTAATAACATAATAATAATAATAAAATAGAACATTTTTACTAAAATATTTCGCGTTTTCATCCGTTAAAGGTGTTTTATTAAATTAACACAATTTAAGTTTAATATTCTTGAGTGTATCGAGAAATTATTTTAATTTTCTACTGCATTACCTTATTTTCAGCAAATTTTCGATCTCGTAACTCATTGGTAGCCCACAGAGCAAGTTCAGACAACTTGGTGACTTGGTCGCTGGCTTCCATGATACGGGTGCAAGGATCGACATGTGTTTGGACTTTGGGGTCATTTTCCGGGAGCCAAGTGGACGGTGGCGACTAGAAAATAATTCCATATTATTTTTGTCCTAGTCTACAGACGAGAGAGGGATAACTGAAGGATAAAAATAACCCCAACGAACTTGTAGTGGCTCGGTAGTGTAATTGTATTTAATAGGAATATCGCATATTCGTGCGCATCACACCATAGTCAACGGATGTAAAAGCCGTGAAGTTTAATCGCGTTTCGGTATCAGCCTATTCGAATACAATGCCAGAATAGATCGACAGCACATTTTTTTAGATGTTATAAAACTAGCATATTTTAGCCTTCAAATTATTCCCGTGCTTGTCTGTTCTCTTCTATCATAAAAAAAATAAATCTGCTGTCGACCTATGGCTTCGTACATTTGGAGAGTGAAACCGTGAGCGGAATTTCCCTCATCAAACTAGGTTAAACGTAATAAATCGTGTAAGGCTTTCACGGCCATCGTTCAGCATATCATTCTCTGAAGAAGCTTCGAGCAATCGAGGAGTTAACATCTCCCGATGAAGCCGTCCGTGATGGCGAAGTCGAGAACCTCTTCTCGCTCAGGTCGCCGATCAGCCCCAAAGACAATGATGTGTTGAAAGTTTTTAGTAGTGTACTTGATGGGATTCGAACCCAGGATTGGTTCCTTTAGACTAATGAACCTTCGTTCATTTCGATATCTGTTTTCGCTTATATCGATAAAATATGAGGCTGCTAGAGGCAGAGTGACCTAATAACAAGAAACATGATTTTCAATAAGGAGGCAAATAAAAATGCGCAATTAACTTAGGCGGAAATTAATTTGTGCTTTTCGGTCACTGTGCTCTTGTAGATTAACATTTAAACTATGAAAATATAAATAAGTCAAGTCATAAAATTGCAGTTAGGCTACTCTGCCTCTAGCGGCCTCATTTCTCTAACTTTTTCAATGTCTACATTAAGCACGTTAAGCTTTATGCTAGGTTTGAATCCACTACAACTACACTCCTTGATATTAGACACTACTCACGGTCGTGGTCACAGTAGTGCAGTTGTAAAGTTTCTCTCTGTAATGCGCCATCGCTTTACGCAGACCGTCCAAGTATATACTTCCGTTGTTCAGAACTCCGTGAATCTAAAATAATAAAAAATTCTCATATTATCAAGCTGAACTTTTTGTTTGATTAGGGAGCTGGGTCATATTGATTTTTTAAATCTTAGCATTGCGTACGCTGCTAAAATTGTTGAAGATACCTAAATAAATAATCTAAAAAAAATATTCGTGACCGTATACTTTACACCTCTACTAATCAATGGTTAAACACATATGGTAGCAGTGCGCTCACTGTCAGAGGAATTGGGTTCGAATCCCGGAAAAATGTTACACATTAACAATAGATTTAGTTTAGCCAAACAATCCAAACGGTCAAATCAACTGTAATTATAGTCTGTATTTAAAATCTGTGATTGGAATTCGTTGTCTGTCCTATGCAAAGTTTCAAATTACAAACAGACACGATATACCAATTAGTATGTATATGTCTATACTAATATATAGAGCTGAAGAGTTTGTTTGTTTGTTTGAACGCGCTAATCTCATGAAGTACGGGTTCTAATTGATTTTTTTTTGTGTTGGTTAGAGCATTTTTCTAGGAAGGCTTTGCGATATAAAAATTCATGTTTCGACATATATGATCGAAGTAGCAGTGGGATATGTGGAAAAAACGGGGAAAAAAATTCACATTTGAGAGCGATGAAAAACCGATTAAAGTAACCAAACAACTATGAAAGAATGATTCTTAAATACTGTCTATAGTTTACGCGAGTAGTACACATTTAAATAAAACACTTCAACGGTTTAAAACGCGATATATTAGTTAAACATCAAATATGTTTAACTTAAAAAATGATTTTTAATTATATCGCGTTTTGAACCGTTAAAGTGTTTTATTTAAAGGATGATTCTTCTTTGAATTACTTATTTAAAAAATGTATGTGACACTATGTCTATTTTTTGAGATGACCTTGCAAGAACGACGGGATGCGGACGAAGTCGAAGTGGTTAAGAGCTATCAATTACTTATCCTTACTAATATTATAAAAGCGTAAGTAACTCTGTCTGTCTGTCTGTTACTCTTTCACGCCAAAAATACTGAACGGAGTTGAATGAAATTTGGTACACCAGTATATGGTCTAGACCCTGAGAAAGGACATAGGCTACTTATTATTGCGAAAAGGGGGTTGTAATAGGTTAAAAGGGTGGGGGTGGTTGTTTGTATGGAAATTCGTGGTTTTTGTAGCTAGAAATGAAACTTTTTTCTTTGGCTTTTTGGGAATAGGAGTGGGAGTGAGAGTAAGAGTGGGAGTTAGTGTAGGAGTGATGTGAGGTGAGACTGTTGCGGCAAAGTAGCACATACAACATAGATTGGCTGCGATAAATGCGCAATTACATACATTAATAAAACAGTCTAAATAATTAAAAATTCTACCCCAAGTCACTATTCCACGCGAACGAAGTCGCGGGCACAGCTAGTAATTTGTAAAAATACGGAGGAGCTTTGCAAAAACTAATTTGCCGAAAATAACTATTCGACGCGGACGAAGTCGCTTGCTAGTGTATGTCTATTTTCTGACCGTTTTCTGCTTATTGCGTGAGATGCTTACAGTATTTAAAACGTAACGTGTGAAAACAATTGTAAAGTCTTTTATTCTCAATTGCGAACTGTGTCAATGCCTTCAAATTTATTTGACAATGACAACTGTGCTGTCAAAAATAAAACCTTATCATGTGAATGACAGAAGAAAGCCCACAGCCGATTTTCACTCGATGAAATGAAATGCCCATAACATAATATACTCGTAGGTAAGATGCGCTGACAGGCTTTACATTTGTACATACTGTCTGTAGTTTACGCGAGCAGTACCCATTTAAATAAAACGGCTTTAACGGTTTCAAACGCAATATATATTAGTTAAACTTATTTGAAAGATTAATATATTTTAATATAAGGTAGGTGCGGCATAAGGCCTTGGGTAATAAGGCCTAAGTACTAGAAACATAACTTTGAGTAGACCCCGCCAGTGACTTCACAGTCATAGGTAGCTAACAACCTAAGGTGCCCCAAACATGTCGCGACTCGCAGGCCCGATGGTTCGAGAGTGTGGGGTCACTAATCGGGCCGGCGGACGCATACTCGAATAATAATTGACGGTCGAACAAATCGTAAATATTTTATGAAAAAAATTTTTTTTACGTTATTTTGCAGTTTTACATCATTTTGTTAATTTTGAAGACCTGTGCTGTACAAAAAATTGTAAATTACACGAAATCATTTTATTTTAAAAATTTCTTGACAACGTGGTCGGTGGGTAATAAGGCCTATGAAATCGACCCTAGGCCTTATTACCCTCCTTAAAGTATTCAAGTGATTACATTGGTCTTTAGAACTACTATTACAGAAATAGAAGATAGCTCCTTTTCCAGGCGTTGTCGATGTAGAAAATTTACCACCTCGCACTCCATTAAGGCAAATGGCTCCCGAGACGCCTCAGTCATCGACACCGAGGCAAGAACAAACAAATGATCATACCAAAAAGATCCTCCAACATGTTTTACAGAATGGTTTAAGGTAGATCCAGCTCTGATGATGAGGATAATGTACCCTTCGCTCAAGTAAAAAGAACATCATTTAAGCAATCCTGCCTAACCAGCTAAAAAATACAGAAAAGACACCAACAGTCAGAATAAAGCCACAATTACAGAGGAATACCAGTGCAAAGAGCTTCTAATAAGAACAACGTTGTCACGCAGCACAGGACCAAGAGACTGCTTGAGGGTGTGTCACAAATGCAGCAAGTGGTACCACGAGGAGTGGTGGGTTTGTAGAGGATGATTCTGAGTCGTGATGATGTTGAGTGTCCAGATTGTTCCTAATTTGAAAAATAATTATTTTGAAGCCTTTACTGTGTGATTATCGCATTACAATTTTTTTGATCTCAAACATTAAGTTCTTTATTTTTGAGTTTAAAGTTTGGCCTTATTATACTACCAGTTTTAAGGCCTAAGTAGTGTTTTTTAAAAGAGTAATTAAAACTATAATTATAGCATGTTGTTTTTCCGTTTTTATTTGAGTTTTAAATAAAGTTTAAATTACATAAAATTTTTGATTTGTTTTAACAGTTTTTGATTTATTTCAATTCCTGCTTAGTAGGCCTTTTGCCGACCTACCTTAGTTCCCCGTGATCACGGCTGCTGCAAAGCATCAGAAACGTAGGGCCGTAGTTTAAATAATTTAACTAATATATATTGCGTTTTAAACGGTTAAGTGTTTATTTAAATTACTACATTCCCCATCCTTAAAGGATTGTTCGTAACCCAGACGGCATGTTGCAACTAAATGACCATATTTTTAAGATTAGACCCAATGTTTTTGAAAAATTATAAATGCGATCACAATGGGACCCAGTTCACCAGTCCTCCCACTCTTCAGACCCGTTGGTTATTAGGCATAAAAAGTTATAAAAGGCCTATTGCTGGTTAAACGCGAGAGGTCCTGATTTCGATTCCAGGGTAAAGAAAATAGTATATAATATAATGAGGAATATCAAAAATTTGGACCGGGTCACGAACCAACGTCCGCGGATGAAAAACTAAAGTTTAATCGTATTAGGGGTTGTCCATTAATCACGTGATATTTTTTTTTGAATTTTTAAACCCCCCCTCCCCGATTGGTGATACGTAGTGAGGTTTAAGACCACCCCCCCTCCCCCTTCTCAACACGTGTATTTTTAGTACCTACAAAGAATCTTAAAATGTTCTGAATATTATCTTAATTTAAATACAGGTATAAACTATAATCTTATTTTATTCTAAAATTAAGGACCATAATAAAAATGTCTACACCATTTGTTTAAAAATCGCGCGTTTGACGAAAAAAATAAATACACGAGATATCTTACTACACCCCCCCCCCCCCTTGTGTTATTTTCGTGATTTTTATCAACCCCCCCCCCCCCCCTTTCAAGCCTCACGCGATTAATAGACAACCCCTTACGTTTTGTCTAGGCTTCCGAATATCCAACACCAATGGTCGACAATCTTGTTAAAATGTTATATGGCTGGAGGTATAACATACTATCAAGTGAATGCGTGTCTGAAAAAAATGCAGTGCCAAATAATTCCCCAACCATTTTACAACATCCAAAATTCACATTGGTATCATTATTTAAGATTCAATCCTACTGGCACAACCAGAGTGTAACATAAAGTTACTTAATAAATGTGAGATAATTAATTCTTATATTTAAATTTAATCAATCAATTCAATTACTAGACTGAAACGGCCTTGTAAACAGACGTTACGTTACGTTACGTAATATTTATAAATACGCTTTGAAACTAAGGCTGCATCCGCGACTGTTTATTGCGTTAAGAATAAGAAGGTATCGCGGTTCGACTCCCGACCACCGAAATTCCATGCGTATGGAGCACGTAGGAGAATTCGCAATATTAAACAAGATGGCGGCATAATTATAACAATAAATTCGAATATAACAAGTAAGGTTTTGGCGAGTAACGAGTACCGAGTTTTGCTCGGCTCAATTTTTTTTCAACCGAGTACTCGGCCGAGTATTTCAATCAAATTCGCATTTTGCATGCGTAAACATGTACAAACAGGTTCGCGCCATTCACGACGTTGGCATTTCATCTTCCCGTAGTTTTGTCTCATAACTACTCATTCACATACATCTAAATGACTATTGAATACTTTTGGATTAACACTGTTGTTTTAATTATATCTACCTAGATATATTGCTTTTCTTAAACAGAGTATACTCGTTATCAAATAACAAAGTATAACCGAGTTATTCGGCCGAGTACGAGTATCAAAAAACCCGCCGAGTACGCGGAGTATCGAGTATCAACGACTGGGCTCATCTCTAGTAACTAGCTGTGTCAGCGACTTCGTCCGCGAGAATCGTTATTTTGGGCATCCAAATTCGTTTTTGCAAACTCCTTCTTTATAAACCTAGTTGTTACCCACGACGTCGGTCACGTCCTTTCCCGTCGATCTTGCAAGTTAATCTTAGAAGATAGACAGACGTATAGCGTCCCGGATTATTAGATCATTTAAGGAGATTCTCTCATACATGTTACTTAGGTACGCCTCTGAAACCCATAATGATGAATATTTTTTCCAGAATGTTTCACATTTCCCGCTGTATCTTCGCTTTTATCAGTCACAGGGTGACGTTTTATGGCCGACAGCCTTACTCGACAAATGTTCAAACCAACACAAAAAAAAATCCACTCAAACCCTAGTTCCTGAGATTAGCGCGTTCAAACAAACAAACTTTTCAGCTTTATATATTATTATATTATTGATATAGATAAATCTATTTCCAAAAGTGATTTCTAATAAATAGCGTAAAGTCGTTGAATTTTAGGTCACCTGGCAATTTTCTTTTTGCCATATGCAGTAAGTATTTCGAAGTCATTTGTGTCCCATAATAACGGTTCTTGTCAGTTAATCATAAAAGACGAATAATTTAAAAACAAATGTCTCTATTGTTTTTAGATTATTTAAAGAATTCGTTAAACAGTGGCGAAACCATAGGGTGCCAAGTCGGCAAAATGCCACGGGCCCCCAGCCCGAAAGGGCCCCCGGTCAGAGGACATCTCAATTGTTGGTTCAGCTTCTTTATATATTGGGGAAGTGGGAGGGCCCATTCGATGAATTTGCCACGGGCCTCGAACGGTATAGTTACGCCACTGTCTTTAAACATATTTTCTGTTTCCTGAACTATTTCCGCAACTCACGCAACGGAAGCCCTCAAAGGTGAATAATGTTTTTTTCTTAGCTCCTATTGGGCGAAATGTGATGTTATATAGCTTACATCCTTCCTAAATAAATGGTCTATCCAACACAAGAAAAAAATTACCTACCCAAGACCCAATAGTTCCTGTGATTAGCGCGGAAACGTTATAATTGAAATAAACTAAGTAATATGGTTTGCGTGACCGTCATAATGTCAACTCCATCAAGGAGGAAGGGGGCGGGAGATTTCATCTGGTACTTTGATTTCCTATAATTCGTTTAGGGTATTAGACATACAAACATACACATGCTAGCCAAAAGGAGTAAAATATACTCACCTTCTTTTCCATATAGCTCTCGTATTCCAGCTCGTTCAGAGAATTAGTACTAATATCGTCTAAATTATCAGTATATTCTACGTCTGCCCGGTCCATGTTTTTCTCTGTCATTTCCGAGTTCAGTCTGTTCATTTCAGCCAAATCCACGGTCCAACACGAGACTCGCACGCACAACGCACAGATAAAAAATAAAAAGTTGACAGCTGTCATTTTTGCCGCCCTTTTTGACAATCAATAACTTAAACACTATCTAGTAAGTAGTAGTACACATTTAAATAAAACACTTCAACTGTTTAAAACGCGATATATAATAGTTATATTTATTTGAAAATTATTTATCAGCAAATCGAAGCCACCGTTAGAACATTCGGCAAGGACCCGGCCAGTTTCGGCCAAAATCAACTTCGAAAGAACAGATGGCACTATCGTAGCCATCTCTAATCTCCCCGTGACCACGGCTGCTGCAAAGCATCCGAATCGTCGGGCCGTTGTTAAAATAATTTTCAAATAAGTTTAACCATTATGTTATACCGCGTTTTAAACCGTAAAAGTGTTTTATTTAAACTAATAATTTTGAATTAGAACGCAACGTACGTCATGCAGAACAAACAGGCAAATTAACACTGATGAGAAAAGCGAAATTAACAAACAAACGGATAAAGTTTTTGTGCAATTTAATAGTTTCCCGCGCGTTCATTGTTCAAGGAGGTTAGCTAAGATCCGTTTCCTATATTATACGCGTCGGTATCATCTGTGTGGAAGACGGAAACGGAAGTCTTGATAACTGTTTTCCAATTGTAATTGGACTAGTTTTGTAAAAACTGTAGCATTTGTAATTTGTAATAGCTTAAAATAAACTCACAAGACTTGGTACTTACTGTATTTTTAAAATTATATTTTAATAAAGCTTCAAAGGCGATCTGATGATGAAGCCGAAAGACAGTCGAAAAGACACCTCAACGATTAGTAGCTAGTATGAATCATTTTCTGGTACCGACTTAAAAATTATGTTATAAAATATATAAAGCTTTATTGTTTATTTGTTTGAACGTGCTAATCTCAGGAACTAAGTACTGGATCGAATTGAAAAATTATTTTTGTGTCGGTTAGAGCATTTATTGAGGAAGGCCATAAACTTAAGAATACGCTGCGACTAATCGGAGCGAGGAAACTGCGGGAAATGTGGAAAAACGGGGAAAATTATTCATGGGTTTCCTATGCGTACGATGCAAAAGCGGTTCGAGATACCCAAAAAATATGTATGAAAGAATGATTCCTCTTTAAATTACCTTAAAAAAGTTCCCGACGCTATATGTCTATATTTTAAAATAACCTTGCAAGAACGACGGGAAGGGACGCGACCGACGTCGTGGGTGTTACCACGATGTCGGTCGCGTTTAGTTTATAAAGATGAAGGGGTTTGCAAAAACGAATTTGGATGCCCAAAATAACGATTCTCGCGGACGAAGTCGCTGACACAGCTAGTTATGTTATAAAATATAAGTACATTTCCGTTTAACAAATTCACGTACTTATATTATTTGTTATTTAAAAATATTTGCTATATAACATCCCTGAATGAATTGCTAGGAGGAACTTATTACGTGTGTTTTAAACATCAAATACCAAAAATAATCAAATATTAAAAAAAAACACCAAATATCCTATTACGATAGAGTGAAGCTTCTAAGACTAATCTTGAAGTAGTCTCCGTGTAAATTGTAAATACTAGGTAAAACATCTAAACAGCGACATCGCTGTCGACCTATTTCGTGCTTCGAATATTCCGAAAACCACGCTAAAACCGAAACGCGATTAAACTTGACGGCTTTTTCAACTGTCAACGTTACTTCGTGACCCGAACGGAATTTCACATTTAATATTGTAGATAGATTAAATACTGTCTATAGTTTACGCGAGTAGTACACATTTAAATAAAACACTTTAACGGTTTAAAACGCGATATATTAGTTAAACTTATTTGAAAATAATTTTTAACTTCAGCCCGACGTTTCGGACACTTTGCAGCAGTCGTCACGAAACGTCGGACCGAAGTTTAAAATCTTTTTCCAATAAGTTTAACGAACATATCGCGTTTTAAACCGTTAAAGTGTTTTGTAGGTAGATTTACAGACGAAATCAACACGTTTAAGAAAAATTATAAATTGTTTAGAAACATGTCGGGGGATCGAAGTCATGACCCGTTGATTATAAGCCATAGCTTGCAACCATTAAACCAATGAGCCCGCCAAATAAAATCTACTTATAAACCACAAAGATCTTCATGTAGGGAATAAGGGTTTAAAAAAATCGACTCTGTATGTTAATACTTTCTTTATTACTAAAACTTACGACTAATTTTGTGAAAGCGTTACATAAATAATATTCAAAATACAATTTCAGTGAAATCTAGCTGTTTCTATTATGTTCGACACAATAATATCAATTACCTTGTAGTTTAAATAAAACACTTAACGGTTTAAAACGAGATGTATATTACGTAGTTAAGCAGTCTTGAAAATTATTCTAACTACTTCAAATATGTTTAATTATTATATATCGCGTTTTAAACCGTTGAAGTGTTTTATTTAGGTTATTTTGGAGTTATCAAGTTAAATGGAAATTATATATTTTGCGAATGCATTCAAAATAGACATAAATAGTCGATATTATTCTGCCATGTAGCCTTATGTCGTTAAATGCATAAAGTGGAGTAAGGCATGTATAGGCGAGTTAAGTTGGCAACACAACCGCGTTTCCATGGCAACAATTAAGCGTGGTTCACTTTTAAATTATGTTAAGCATATCCTAGCTATCATTCGTCTTTAATTTTATTTAATATTGTCGAATTATTTTTGTGTTGGTTAGAGCATTCACCGAGGAAGTCTAGCCCGGCCAGTTGTCACCAGGAAAACCTTAGCCTACCCGTTGCCATGGCAACAGCGAAACGCCATAAGAACTAATTACCCTAGCAACCGCGAAAACGTGGATGTGTTGCCATGACAACCCCCAACAAGTTACGTGTTGACATGTGTTGCCATGACAACGACGCCTGTCTACTTTTGCGTTACTATAGCAACCGTGTTTTACAATATTAACCCATTCGTGGTCTCCCCATGCCGCGTCCCTGCGCCGGCATATCTCCGCTGCTCTTCACGTTCTTAATCGTCTCGTCTATTGACAGGATCTAGAAAAAGAGCATAATTAGTATCCAAGTAGTAGTAGTGGTGGAAGTAGTAGAATCTAGTTCTATCAAGTGATGTCACCTCATATACTATTTATGATCCTCAGAGAGGTCAGAAATTGGATCAGTTTGTTTTAATCATCGGTGATGAAGGACGGATTTGGGGCCCGGGGGGGTTTGACCCCCTGCTGCGGGGGGGAAGCAGAACTTCTCGCATAACTGATTGTCGACCCAACATTGCATAAAGATGCGCTTGCGCATACGACAAACCTGTGAGGCTGCTTCACAAGCCGCTGTGATGGCGTTGATCTTGATAATGGCTGGCTCCCACACGCAACTGACGAAGTTGTCCTCTATGTCCTCCTTCTGGATGTCCACGCCGTACCATATTTCACCTGATTTATCAAATATTAAAATTCTTTAGTATATAAATGTTATTATTGTTTATGAAGTAAGAAGCCTTTGTATTTAGGTTTCTGACTTGATGTCAGAAGAACACTGAATTACCATACAACATCTATACAGGGTGTACGCAGCCCTATATTGGCTTTGGACAATCAAAAATCCACAGACTGAACCCGAAACGCGAAGGCCCCCCCCGGTTTTTCCCCTTTTGGGGGGCGCGGCAAAAACGGTTCAAAAAACAAAAAACAAAAGCCCCTAAAATGTGTATCAGATTCTCCAAAGTCAGTGTTCCAAACCTGAAGGGAATGGACTCCACGACCTGGTGATTACAACGTGTCAAAATGATTATTAGCTCACCCTGATGATGCTTCTGGCGCAGCTTGTTCAGCAGGTTCGTCGCGTCGAAGCCGGCGTTGTCGCACAACTGCCGCGGTATCGCCTCAAAGGCCCTGGCCACCGCGCCGATCAGCAGCTGCTCTTTGCCGGCGATGCCCTTGGAGTAGTCGCGGAGGTGCTTCGATAGCTCCATGTCGATGGCGCCGCCACCTTCGAAAGGATACGATTAAATCTTGGTTCAGCTGTCGGGGCTCAAAACCCACACAATAATATTTTTTATATCAGCAACAGGAATAAAATATCTTTTAAAATATATTTCACAAGGATGGAGACAAGATGCTTTTTTGTTTAAAGCGGAGTTCTATTTCCTCAGCGTGGGGCATAGGGGTAAAACACACTGCCTGTTACAATTGCTTCTTATTAAGTAACATATATTTCTAGAATTAACAAAACACATTTAACCGTTTGAATCGCGAATTAACGAATGTATTTCGCATTTTGAACCGTTAAAGTTGTTTTATTAAACGCAAGTATTGTTTTCTTCTCGGGAATCGAAACCGGGACTAATAAACTGGCAGCTGCTGCAATTCTGCTACCGCTACTTTCATAAACTTAGTGTCACCTCATTTCTACTATCACGATCCACACAGTGCTTCAGTAATTGGATCCGTTTGTTTTAATCATCGGTGACATGAAATGGTGGAAAGTGAGAAATGAGGAACCTGGGTAAAGTACCTGCAACAACAGCGTCGTTCTTGATGGTCCTCCTGACGATCATGATGGCGTCGTGAAGGGACCTCTCCGTCTCCTCCAAGAACTGCTCGGCGCCACCGCGGAGGATCAGCGTGCAGGTCTTCGCCGCTGGACAACCTGCAAAATCGCATCAAGAATGATTTTACAATTGCTCTTCAAAATATAACTACAAAACTTGTTAATCATAATATAATAAATGAATAACGAAATATTACATTTTTAAAATATTAAATACAATCATAGGAAAAATACCCTAAATGCGTGAAAATTAAAGTTGAAAGTACAATGCGCAAGAACTGCAATAGCACGAACCGTGGTCGTGTGTTCTATTTCCGGCCGTGTAATATCATTTATTACATTCAAACATTCTTTTAACAACGAATAAAATGTAATTACCTACGTTACTTTACTTATCTTGTTTAGCCTACTATTATACTACAAAGTACCAAAACAACGCTATTTGGAAATATACTTTACTTACTATACCAAATTTTACGAAATTTTTAAAACTACCTTCAAATTTATTAATTTTACTAATTCGATACTAAATAACATAAAACCCTCACCCTCAGGCGCGTTTCTTTGATAACCTTGAAAGTATAATATTATTAAGTTTATCAAAGGGTAAACCTACATTAAGTATTTCAATTGAGTTTAAGTGCGTAACCAGAAGCTTAAGTACAGAAGATTAAGATTTGAACAGATAGCCTCGTGATCTGCATGCGAGTGAACTAACTAAACCAGACCATCCCAGGTCTAGCTTAAGGGAACATTGGGTATTTGAATTTTTCTAACATACCAAACATCAGCAGGCCGATTCTCGTATTAATATAAGTTAAGCGGCAGCGCAGTTGCAGTGACGTTTTGTTGTTTTGGTATTCTCGTCTAACGTCAAACACGTTCGCGTCAAGTTCGCGTGACGCTAGCGCGTATTCCGTATTCTGTTGCCGAGCGTCACTGCAACGCGATTTGGATCGAAACGAAATCGGTATTCTGTTAACTCATTAGAATCGCAACTGACAGAACACTGCGACTTCAAACCGATTTCATTGAAGCGAAGCTGAAGTGACACAATACTTCAATATTTGTTCACTTCTTTAAATAAAAGGACTAATATTTTCGTATTATTTATACATTTCGTATGATAATGTTCGTTAAAGTGAGTTTGCAACTATCCTTAAGAGTAATACCAATAAATAAATAAAAGCCAACGAGAATGAGAGAGAAAAAAGACATAAACAACAATGATATCAAATACTAACACGACAGAAAACGTTAACACACTAAAAAGTAAAAACTTAAGATTAAACTTAGATCTAACAAAGATGCATAAATAATAAAAGTATAAGCCAATAAAATAAAACTAGAACTGAACAATACTTTGAAGAAAATATTGACTTTGGCTTTGAAGGAGTTAAGACTTTGTGAGAGTCTAATCACGGGTGCTTATTCCATAGGCGGACAGCCTGTACAGAAAAAGAAGAGTCATAGCATTTAGATGAATGTGTGGGCATAGAAAGGAGACGGTTGTAGGAGGAACAAACGTCAAGTTCATGGGAAGAACCCATAAATATAAACCTTTTTTTTAGATAGGTAGGAGTGCGCGGATAAAATAGATTAGAGAAAAGAAGACAGAGGATGTGAGTGTTTCGTCAGAGTCTAATAGACCCTTCGAGGTAGGGCGGAATTCTGACACGCGGTCGTATATCCGTAGACCATAAATAAATCTAATTGAGAAATTTTGAAGCCCCTCCAACTTATTTATTTGTTCCTCAGTTAGCCTATAGCACTAGCCTTTTATGCCACTGGGTCTTATGAAACACTAGTGGGATAAAGTAAATACCACTGTATTAGTAAATCCAATATATCGAGGGTAATAAGGCAAGTTACTAAGGCTTTAAATAATCACACCATTTTTCTTTTTTTCTGTGACTCATCACTGAAAATATTTCTTATAGGAATTAGTTAACTAAAATTAACCATAAAATAAAAATTCTGTGGCTCTGAACAAATTATACATTTGCTTTTGGGCTATTATTAAAGACCTTGATAAACGGCAGTTATAAAGGTCTTTAAAAATCGCGCCATCTTCACGAAATTTATTCTTGTCAATTGTCTAAGATTGACACAAGTCCGAATTATAATATTCAAAATAATCTTAAATTATAATGCAAAAAAAATTTACAAACAACCAAGAGATGTTTAAAATGTTTGTAAGACTTGATATTTAAAAAAAATATTATTAAAATACCACAATTTCTATAAAAACATTATTTGAGCAATTAGGTTTTTCCTATGTGGTCACACCCCTCATTGTTTCCCTGATGTACGAGAGACGCGAAGTTTTAAAATTAGGAGAATACCGTTCGACGCTTAATCGAAACTTGATCGCAGCGTCATTGAATTAGTAGAATCGGCCTGCAGGTCAGTGTTTGGAAATAGTTTGACGGGCTTTTTGTTCTAATGTATGTCTAACTAGCTGGTGCCCGCGACTTCGTCTACGCAGGATTAGGATTAGGCTTACGTAGTATCGCGCATTTAAACTAAATGATGTCTATCATATCATACATTACACAATTATGTGTAACTAACGTTTGTGGCAGCGTACGCCAGAATAGCTCACAGAAAGGTGTGTTTCCTAGTTACTTGACACTTAATGTCATATTTTGGACGGCTCACAAAATATCTTTATAATTTGTAGCCTATGTGTTATTCTGATGTATAAGCTATATTATTGGAAAGTTTAATTGAAATTCATTCAGTAGTTTTTGCGTGAAAGAGTAACAAACATCCATTCACACAACAAACTTTCACATTTATAATATTAGTAGGATAATAGCATTTTCAACATATTCTTGACTTGACATGAAATATGGATATTCAATACGTGGTGGAATATCGAAATGCCGTCCAGAGACGCATAAGCCGTAAGTTTATTCGGACTTCGGTATCATTCTATAGAATTTGAAATATTCAAAGCCACATTAGTTCAACAGAAGCAACAGTGTCTTGCTAAGATGTGCTGCTGTAGACCTAATATAGCTGGCTGACCTTCCATCAAGTAACTCCATACTTGTCTGTTGTCATAAAAAAGGTGTCATACACGTGCACGTTAAGACCTTGGTTTTGGTTACCCTTATTAATTTAGTGGCGGTAGTCGCACCAACCTAGAGCATAGCTCCAAACTACCCTCTTCGCATTCGCAGAACCTTTGCCCAACAGTGAGAGTACATAGACGCAATAATACATACCAGTGAATATATTGTATCTCTCGCCACCGATCTGTCTCTCCGTGAATTGTGCGCAGTGTCCCAGGGCGTCTGGATTGAGATCCCGCGTGGACGAGAGTACGGCACCGCCGCAGGCGCGTTGCGTCCGCTTGATGTCCTCGTCAGGGACGCGGCCAGCGCAGAACATGTCTCTGTAATTATTAATTAAAAATTTACATAATTGTAAAAAATAAACTGTAATCTATGGATAGTAAATAAAGAATAGAATAGAATATAATTGCTTGCATGTCAATCAATTGGTCAGTGGAACCGAATATTAATATTATATTGCATACTATCTGTGCCAGCGACTTCATCCGCGTGAAAAACTTAATTTAGGCAATAAAATTTACACATTTTTTTTATATATTGAACCGTTTTCGCAGCACAGGCGGCGGAAACCCTCTAAGATGAATTATATTCCCCATTTTTTTCCACATTTCCCTCTGTTTTTTCTATAGCAGCGTGACGTTTAACAACCTGAAGCCTTCCTCGATAAATGCTCTAATTAACACAAAAATAATTTTTCAATTCAAACCAGTAGTGCCAGAGATTAGTGCGTTCAAAGTAACTTTTAAAATTTTTAATATCAGTGTAGATTAGGTATATGGTAATGTAGTGCCAATTTTAACATATTTTTATCTAGATACTGTCTATAGTTTACGCGAGTAGTACACATTTAAATAAAACACTTTAACGGTTTAAAACGCGATATATTAGTTAAACTTATTTGAAAATGGAGACCGTGGTCTCCCCGTGACCACGGCTGCTGCCTTAAAGCATCCGAAACGTCGGGCCGAAGTTAAAAATCATTTTCAAATAAGTTTAACTAATATATCGCGTTTTAAACCGTTAGTGTTTTATTTAAATATTTTTATCTATGCGAGACTGGTAGGCATGCAGCCACGAAAGATTTGAAGATGGAAATCCATTAAGGAAGGATTTTTTTTAGGAAACCAGAACGGCTATAACTTCGACTTTTGCGTGTGTGGCCATTGGCCTTGGATTTATCTGGTATCAATTATGTCGGTGTGGATAATTATCACAGGCTTTATTATGGCAATTAAACACAAAACCGACCGGTCAGCAAAGTACTGCGTCGCGACGTCACCAATGGGCAGTTTGCTCAGCACGACGTTCGCCCCACTGGCGTGTAGAGCCGCCAACTTCTCGTACAGAATCTGCCATTCAGCGTCCACCACCTTCTGGTACTCCAGCACGTTGTTAACGCGAACCTGTAAAAGGACATGTATACAAGACCTGTGGGTGAGTCTATGGAAAATGTTTTAGTAGTACATAGTATAGTAGATTTATATTATAACATACATATACACGGACAATGGGCTATTTGGCATGCGAAAAAAATAGTGTCGATTACTATTGTCTGGATTAAGCATAACTTTATCAATAGTAAAACAGTTAAAAACAATAATTTTAAATACTGTAGTACGCGAGTAGGTACACATTTAAATAAAACACTTTAACGGTTTAAAACGGGATATATTAGTTAAACTTTATTAGAAAATTTTTTTTTAATTTCGGCCCGACGTTTCGGATGCTTTGCAGCAGCCGTGGTCACGGGGAGACAAAATCATTTTCAAATATGTTTAACTAATATATCGCGTTTTAAACCGTTAAAGTATTTTATTTAAACAATAATGTTAAAAAAAAAACGCAAATCGAGATTTACTTTTCTTAACCTTGGTCACGTGACACAAAACGCTTCTGACGCAAGTGACGTCACTTGCTTATAGACAGTGCTTTACAAACAATGCTGTCTAGTGTCGAAATTTCTATTCTCAGCAATAATTATTACTTCAATCAAAAAATAAAATGTTTGGCACAAATATGCATGTAGTTTGTAGATCATAATATAATCATACACTAATGGCCAATATAAGGTCGTGACGTCACTAGACGTCTAAGAGCGTTATTTCGCAAAATTAACGTTTAGGCGCGCAATTAAATGTTAGATTTTTTATTTAATATATTTCAGCAAATATGCATCGGAGTTAAAGAAACTGCTTTTCTGGGGTCCTTAACATTTTAAAAATTCGGCCAAACAGCTCATTATTCCTAAAAAATACAAAGTAGACATCTTTATAGCATGGGCAATAAGACTGTAACATCACCTCATATACTTTTGTGATCCTCACTATCCATTCAGAAATTGGATCCGTTAGTTTTAATCATTGGTGATCAATCTTATCCACACCTGTGTCCCAGCAGTGGGACTATTAAAGGGAATATGATAGATGTACCTCAGCATTATCCCTCTCAGCCTTCAGTTCCAGTTCAATGTTGAGCAGAGCGATTTTGCAGTAGTCATAGCTCTTGGGCTGCATCTCAAACCCAGCGTAGGAGAAGGCCTTCTTGAAAGCCACACCGTCAACTAGGAAGGAGTCTTCAAGGGCACCGCCTGTTATCTTCTTGATGCCTAAAATCAAAGATGTTTGGTGAAGCCGAATGATGGCTTAGAACTTCTCAAGTCTGCTTATTGCTGCAAATTTGCAGCAGTTAATCGATTTATTTATAACTTACGTTATAAATAAATACTTTATGATATCAAAATAAAATCAATGCTCTGAGCATCAATCAGACCTCAGCAGAGCTGAGATGGTACTAATTCCGTTTTAGTATCTACATATTTATTTTTTTATGCATTATTGCATTATGGATCTAAGCCAATCATACCAATCATATCCAAGGGCAGAAGGGGAGCGTCCAGAGACAATACAGCATCAACAACCATCTTGGAGAAGTGGTCCTTCTGCTGGTGAATGAGTTTTGATGACATGGCAGTTACTGCACATTTTTGCAAGAGATCCCTGAAAATATATATATTGCGATGATACACAAAAAGGCAGTTTCTCCCATTGCCCCACTTCCCCTTTTCCCCTTAACCGAGGTCATTGGTCAACCATCTATCTAAATTCTTAATTAATAATTATTTCATAATAACTTTCTTCAATGTTGTCCTCTATTATATTGCCATTTGACACTAGTTGTTACCAATATCCCCATGTCTCTTAAGGAGAATTTTGGGTTGTCAAACTTAGTAAATGATTAAAGGACAAGGCACGGGGCCAACATATTTTTGTGTCCCTTTTTACTGAACCGTTTTTTACAAGGAAGTAGCTAATCAGACTTAGAAGAATCATCATTTCTTCTAGGTTATTTCTTTCATGTTTATTAAAAAATAAGTACTCTAGGAAAGCACCAAATACTAACCTCTGTTCCTCGGGAGATTTGCTTTCGACTTTGACAGCCATCTCCTTAACTTTGTCCACGGCGAGTTTTGATGCTGTTCTCACCGCCCTTACTATGATACGTGGGTGGACACCTATGAAAAAAAGAATATAATTATTATAAAGAGACAACCTTCTACATTAGGTGACTGGATAGACGAGAAATTGGATGACATTTTTAAAAGTTAAAAACTCGAAATATAATTCGAACTACAAGTTAATTTAAATACTGTCTATAGTTTACGCGAGCAGTACACATTTAAATAAAACACTTTAACGGTTTAAAACGCGATATATTAGTGAAACTGATTTGAAAATGATTTTAAACGTCGGTCCGAAGTTAAAAATAATTTTCAAATCAGTTTAACTAATATATCGCGTTTTAAACCGTTAAAGTGTTTTATTTAAACACAAGTTAATTTTTTACCGACTCCGTAGCCAAATGGTTAAACCTATTGCCTAACATTGCGTTAAGCGCGAGAGGTCCTGCGTTCGAATGCCAGGGAAACAAAAATTGTTTCGGTCGGGCAGGGCACAGAGTCTGATAACTACTTGCTTGTTAAAGAAGTGAAACGGACACAGAAAAGTGTTCGCCCCATGCCCCACGAGGGGGCAACGGGATTACACACACACAAGTTATTTAATTACAAACATATTAAATAAAACTTTATTTTTTTTTCTACTTGCTATTGTCTTGTAGCACATTACATAATACAGTAAATACAAGTTAACTTATATATTGCGCGATTTAAACATTTTTCATTTATTGTTTTGGATGTTATTCCTAAAATATTTCTTTTTAGGGTTGCCTGGAAAAAATCTGTTATTAGGGACAGAGCCATCCAATCTATTTTAGCCTTACGCGCAATAAAGTATTAAAAAAAAACATTTTATGGGTTATATTATATTACCTTCCTCAACAAACGGCTTGAGTCTCTTCAAAATCTCTCCAGCTAAAATCACGACAGATGTTGTACCGTCTCCGACCTGTAATTTATACATAGTTGAAATCCAATTTCACCTTGTGGAGCATGGGAAGAACACATTTCTGTGTCTGTTTCACAGATCGGTTTTATTTACAACGATAAGAAAAGTTTAACATTAACATTTAATTAAGAAACACACATTCTACAGTTTAAAATGCGAAATATATTAGCTAAAGGTAATTAAAAATTATTGGGAAAATAAATTAGTGGGATTCAAACCCGCGAACTCTCGTACGAAAAGCAATGCTAGACAACAGGAAAACCAGTGAGCTTAAGAAACAATCGTTAAAATTATTTTATATTGAGGGAGACCAGGTGATCAGCCCATGTTATATGCTAAGAATTACTCCCATTTTCTCTTTACTAGACTTTGGGTTATACAACTTTCATAGAGGCAGATGTAGATAACTTCTTAGCTATATTTATTTCATTTAATCTATCACCAACATAATTATATGTGTTCACTATGTCCCAGAATATAGAACAAACCAGAAGGAGCATTCTTTCAAAAGTACCAAAAACAGATCCACATCAGCTTTATCTTGATTTTTAGTGTAACACAGTCTGTGGAATTAGTAACACACGACTCATATGGAAATAAAGTTGATAACGAGAACAACAAAGTTGTGTTTACCTCTGCATCCTGTGACTTGGCAATGTCGACCAGCGTTTTTGCAGCTGGGTGAACAATGTCCAAAAGCTAAAACAAGAGATAAAAACATATTAACTTATAAATATAATTCATGTTAAGCATTCAGATCAGGTGGGGATACATTTGACTGATGTGGGGGTATTAGGGCAGTAAATTTTTTATATACTTCCTGTCTTTTATGCCCAATATAGAGCAATGTTCAAGGCATAAAAGACAGAGAAATGTAATTTAAAAATCGAAAATAAATTGAAAAAATTTTCGACTGCAGGACATGAACGGCATCGTCAGCTTTCCGTGCTGTTGCTCTACCAATTGAGCTACCGAGTCCTACACCTCATCGTCGAATTTTTTCAACTTATTGATACATGCACCTCTCGCGCAATGTAATTTCTACCTTAACACTTGCGTATTAAGGCTCAATGTCTTATGTTTGCAGTTAAGAAATATTGAAGATGAAATTACAAAGTTATAACGTTTGAAAACATTAATATTTTTCACATGTTATTGCACATGAAGGCACTATATAATTTAAAAATCGAAAATAAATTATATAGTGCTTCATGTGCAAAAAGTGAAAAAAATTAAAAGAGAAGTCTGCACCACTGAATTGAATTTATTTCACTAGGGCTCAACGTTTCAGATGCTTTCAGCTGCAGTCAGGGGGGGAATAAAGATGATGGTTGTCCCTAACGTCATTATCAAACCTGACAATACTTAAAACCTCAGTGACCAAGTCAATTAAAAGTATTTATTTGTGCAAACCATCAGAAATATTTATGCTTCAATAATGCCTTTAGAACCAGCTTCGTAGAATACTCTTGACAAGCCTCAAAACATATTAATTAATTATAGAAATGTCAGGATTTTAACCCAGGACTTACACTTCACACAAAACAAAAGATAGGAGGCATGCCTAAGCTCGGTATTATTAAGGTCACTTTATGCTTACCTTCATAATTGTGGCTCCATCATTTGATATAACAGCCTTTCCACCATGGTCAACGATAAGTTTGTCCATACCACGTGGTCCCAGGGTTGTGCGAACCTGTAATAGAGTTATTACATTATACTATGCACTTTTCTTGGGACTTTTGCCTTAGGAAAGTTACCCTCATTAGACATTGGAAGAATGCATTGGGTGGTCACAAAACAGGTGTGAAATCCCATTTCCTCCTCGTGGGGCATGGGGCAAACACATTTTTGTTTTCGTTTTTGTTTCCCTGGGATTCGAACCCAGGACCTCTCGCGCTTAATGTAATGCTAGGCAATATGTTTAACCATTTGGCTACAGAGGCAGTCACAAAACAGGGTGACATTCAAAATTATACTAATTGTTACTTAATCTTTAACATACAATGTTTTAGATTAAATAAGTACAGTGGATCAAGAGGTAACCATGGTGTTTATAGACATTTTCTCCTTACAAAAGAAAAGAAAAAAATCGCCCTTCTCAGTTTAAGTTTCAGTGGGATTTCAACCACTGCATCTATGTAAGGTCTTAATGTGGTTGATAAGGTAATAAATAATAAATATTTTAATCAGCCCATCTTACATAAACAGATCTATAATTTACTATACAGTCTCTATCTCGTGCTAAATAAAAGTATATAAAATTGCTTACAGCATCGACAACAAGCTGGCAGGCATTGATGTTGGAAACAAGCTGAGGTTTCCCTTGAGACTGGTCCGTCCCCTCCTTTAGTACCAAGATTTGGGGTTGCTGCAAACATAATTATGTGTTAGATCTCAAATTAATGAGTAATAACTAAAATTATTTTTACAAAAAATTGTTTCGAGAATTAGTAAATTTTCAAAATATGCAACTATCCATTCATCAAAGTGCAACTGTCACTATTTTAGTTAAACATTCAGAAAATAATACGATATCTGCTATGAAAGATATGAAATTAAACGGTTTTAAGCATAAATTATTAGTTTGACACATAATTAGTAAATAAAACGACTTATAAAAAGTATAATTGTTGAAAATACAACGTACTGGGCAACATAACCAAACATGGAACAAAATGCAATAACACCATTTAATGACGCTTAGTATTAATGATTTGTTTGTAGTTTCTGTGTTAAAAATGTATAGTTTAGATACGTAGATATTAAAATTATACAAAATCCTGTTTAATATTTTAGAAAATAAGGCCTTCATTTTATTAGTCACTTTTTTATATGAAAGTACACAATTTTAACGAAAAATACTACACAGCTTTCATTAATTATCACTTCAGTTAAACATTTCAGTAAAGAAAATATGATATTATTCAATGATTACGCTGAAATATAGAAATTAATTACCATCTTGAATTAAATCCTCCGATATTCAAAAATGCAAAATCCAAAACAATTGTACCATTTGACATATTACTTTACTTAGTTTTGACAGATTGTTAATGACATTTCAAAACGAAGAATGGTTTTTTTATTAATTTATTTCAGTTTGAGCCATGTATATTACTTATGATAAATTAATTCTTATTCTTCGGAGTTTTTCATATTCTCCTCGATTTAAGCTATAAAATAGAAAAAATTAACTAAAGCTATAGAAAACTTTAAGATTTTGCAATATTTGACTATTGACATTGAATGTAACAAATCAAAACACTCGGGATCACGATCAGCTGAATCAAATGACATTTCTTTTCTTCCAATGCAGTTGCAAATAATTTAAAACATTTTTTATTTAAACAATAATAAAATTATCTACATACTTTAATTAATTAACTTAAATTGGTTTCTAAAAATGTCAACAGAAATCGATGTGAAAGCGATAGTGTCTCACATATTACGGGGCGACGGTTTGGAAAAATGCCGTATATGTATGGGAAATACAAGTGCTGGTCTCGTCTTATTGACCGATTCAGTCATGACGGACGCAGGAAAACCCATAACATTATGCGAAATACTCGAAGCAATCACAGGGACACCGGTATGTTTATGTTTTTATGTATCATGCATTTTGTGGTTAACGGAACGTAATCATTTTGACGCCTGTCGGTTGGGTCAAAATGACGGTAACGATGGCTCTATACGATTGTGTTCTATTAGCTGAGCTGCTAAAATACAAAATATGAATATAATATTGAAATAAAATGCCTACGTCTTATTTTTATCCTATACTTAAGCAGTCTTGCAAGAAACTTGTGTATATTCCTTAAGTTATTAAGTATATATATTTCAATTTCAAATTATAGCTGTTTGTAAACATTGCTTATTGTAATGACTACATAAAAAAAACCGACATTAACAAAATTAGTACTAATGTAAAAGATATGAAAGTAACCTAATTTTTGCAATGCAATCAAATTTATGTAAAGATTCAATTTTGAAGTAGTAGGTAGGTACTTCATTTAGGAATTGTTGAGAAAGATAAATAAACACATTTGTTTTAAAATTTTAATGTGATTGTTTACTTATATAAAAGTCTCAAGCAATGTAAAAACAATGTACTTACTGCTGAAATAAACAATGTGTAACTCCGGTATGTCTTGAAGTAATAGTCTTTGTCTACCAATAGGCCTATTTCAAGTTGACAGATATACATCATTATTTACTTAATATGTTATAAGTGGATGTGTATTAAAAAACAAACAAGCTCTAAGACTTTGGTGATGGTAAAATTCAACTGACTGGTCACATGGTTACAGGTGGAAAAAGGCTCTTGCTTACCATATGGATTATGTTCTTCCTGTTCAAAAAAGGCAACTTCACATTGGAGCTTTAGACAAACATGTCTTGATTCCTTTAATAAATGGTCTAGGGCAAGCTCCCTCTTACATGACAGTCACAATGATAACAGTGGCTCATTGTTTATTCACTTTGATCAGAAAACTTATGTTAAATACCATAAAGAAGTACAAAATCCTTCATTAGCAGCAACAAGGCTTAATGCTATAATTGAAACCTGCAAAACTGGACATTTAAGTAAGGTGACATACAAACATCTAAGCTGCACCGATTGTGGCAAAAGCTTCTGCACAATTGCACAATGGAATCGGCATATGAGAAATACTGTGCAGCGAATTTGTGAGGTCTGCCACAAGATATTACCTAAACAGAAGCTGCCGAAGCACTTAAGAGCACATAATATAAAAGTGCATGCTTGTACCTTCTGCTATGCAGTATTTTACAATGACCAAGATCTCTTAGCCCATAAAGCTGAGTTCCACTGTATCAGAAATGTAACTTGCAAGGTCTGTGGCCTTGGCTACAAGAGCCAAAGATCACTAAGCGCGCATATGTACTCACACAAAACGTATACTTGCGCAAAATGCGAAACTACCCTCAACAATCTCCCCTGTTACAGATACCACAAAGATCAATGCGATAATAATAACAAATGTTTTTATGCGTGTGAGCATTGCGGTGTTATGTACAATAGGAAACAGTCTCTACGTTCTCACGTGAAGCAGAAGCATCTAAATGTCAAACCTTTTAAATGTAGTTACTGCGAAAAGCGGTGTTCGACGAAACGTCATCTCCAAGATCATGAAACTACCCACAATGCAATGAGAAGGGTGTACAAATGCTTCTGTGGTGCTAAGATGCGGACGGAGAAAGGGTTTACCCTGCATCAGAGAATACATACGGGGGAGAAGCCGTATAAGTGTACAGAATGTGGTGAAACGTTCTTATCTGCATCTAGAAGAAAAGACCACATCAATAGGAAACATATGGAGCTGATAGATATGCCGCACGGTTGTAGTCTATGTGCGGCTAGGTTTATACGACCCTCGGAGCTAAAGAAACATATTGTAACCACTCATTGAGTTGACCGATTAAGGGAATAAATTGATATTGTTTATTTTTCTATAAATACATAATATGAATTTAATGAGATATTTTATTTTTTCTGCTACAAAAAGTATTTTCAAAGGTTCGTTAACCTCACAAGGTTGTCTGGAAGAGATAGCTTCTAATAAATCTGTTTATCACATATTGTCCACTTGGAATATTTTTTATAAATATAATAAGGTATTTACATAAAGTTTGTATACCTAGAGGATTTTTGAATCCCGTTAGATATATTAACTTTATGTTCACGTGCAACAATAAAAGGTTTGCCTTGCATAAGGCATGAACACGGTAAAAAAATGTTCCATATTGTTTTACGTTCTTGTTATGTAGTAAGCTTAAGAGGTTTTACACACATTTGCGGAAATTAACATTCTCTTAAAAACATATGAATTAAGATGCTTAAAAACTTTTTTCAGTTCTGCAATGAGGAGCTACGACCCGACGGCGTATGCGCAGCGTGTACCAAGCTAGCGGTATCCGCGTTCGAATTTCGAACGCTAGTCAAGAACTCGCAAAACCTCTGGATCAACTGTTACAATTCGTTCGATCTTATAGAAACTGAAGCATATTCTAAGTCTTTATATGTCATTTTAAACGACAATTTATCGTTGCAAGACATACAGGCTTTTAATGGAGACATAAAGAGCTACATCGAGCACATCACCAATCCGTCTAAACTATTGATTGACAGGACAGATAAAAAACAGCGGATGTCCAGAAATGGCCCGAACTGCACCTGCACTGACTGTGGCAAAGAGTTCACTAGTCCATATTATTTGAATTTGCACTTGAAGAATAGTAGCCAGAAGGAAGCGTGCTGGCTCTGCGCAACTATATGCAATCGAGGTGACGATATGAAGAAACACTTCTCGGAAATACACAAAATCGAGATGCGCTCGTGCAAAAAATGCCCATTGCTCTTCAAGAGCAACCAGGAGTTGGAGAAGCACGTGGAGAAGTGCCACAGAGCCAACATCCACACTTGCACGGACTGCGGTAACTCTTTCAACAAGCACGCGTCACTAGAACTTCATTCACAGATGCACGTGGTGAGGACGTGTAGAGTCTGTGGGTCGCAGTTCGCAAACCGAGGCTGCTACCGCTACCATAGATCCCAGTGCGAACCAGACGCTAAGCCAGATTTGAAAACGCTGCCTCGAAACAAACGGTCCAACGTCCGCGACCCAGCGATGTACATCTGCGATTACTGTAAAAAAGTCTACCCGACAAGACCACAGCTGCAAAATCACATAATCTGGATTCACATGGACCACAGGCCGCATCAGTGTCAATGGTGCGGGAAGAGGTTCTACACCGCCGCACGCCTATCGGAACATAGTGTTGTACACACGCGGGAACGAAAGTTCAGTTGTGACATCTGTGGCGCGAAATTGGTTTCCAAGATGGCGGTGGTCTACCACAGACGGCGGCACACGGGGGAGAAGCCCTACGAATGCGAGGATTGTGGAGAGAAGTTTATCTCGTCTTCACGAAGGACGGAGCACGCTAAGCGGAAACACGGGAAGGGACTCAAGTTGAACTGTGAGTTTTGCAAGTTGAGTTTTGTGAGAACACGTGAACTGAAGAAACATATCGTTAGGGTGCACTGGTTGGATAAGAACGTGAAAAAGGAAAGTGAGATCACGATCGAGGAACATCATTTGTGTTAGGCATTGTGTGCTGTTTATTCGTGTAAAAGACGGTGTTGTCTTTGCGGTAGGTTATTCTTTAAGTGCGAACTGTAGTTTACGCAGGTAGAAGGTACACATTTAAACAAAACTCATGTAACGGTTTAAAACGCGAATTAACTCATTTATAAGAAATTTAACTATGGCCCGACGTTTGGTACGCTTAGCAATATTAAAATAAAACACTTTAACGGTTTCAAACGCGATATATTAGGGGTCGTGGGGGTGACCGTCAACGTCGGGCCGAAATTAAAATAAACTTATAACTAATTTTAGTTTTAAACAGTTAAAAGTTATTTTTATTATTATTTTTTGGTATGAGAGCCTTTAGCCACTATTATCTTTCGGTTGGTAGGGTTTTCCTCTATCCAAGCACAATAAAACTAGGATTTTTTTTTTTAAGTGCCATTATTTATAAACTACGTACTGTGTATGACTATCGACATCAAGTTACGTAGATTGAAGTAAGTTTGCATAGAAAAATTACATTTTATTCTGCTAGTTATTTTTTAAGTTGTGACATGGATGACAATTTTATAATAATTGTACTTAATTTATGTCTCTGTTTGTCGAATTTAAATTGAGAAAATGTATAATCACATTATTATGAAGATGGCGCCCATATAATATTCATGTAAAGAGGGTAGTTTTACGCAATTTTACCATTATTAAAATTTTTGTACTTTTAGTTCACAATATCTGAATTGTGTACGCCTCCTTAAAATATATTTTTATTAACATTTCGTTGACTTATTTATAATTGTATGTTTATATTTTTTTTTTCCTACCGTATAGGTTGCTTTAAAAAACTTATTTATGTCCCACTGCTGGCCATAGGCCTACTGTCGTATAGAGTGTATTCGTCGTATATTATATACCTCGGTGAGGATCGATGAGTATGACGTACGTATGCTTTATATGGAGTAAGAAAATGGGAGATCGCTTTAATAATAGGCAAAATTTTCTTATTAGATAAGGACATGTTTATTGTTTCAGATTCACAAAGACCTTAATTGTTTCCTTATATGCAACTGTCTGAAAGTATTACAAAAGTAAGGTTCTATGAGTGAAGTATCTTTAACTGAAATATTAAATTAATTGATCGAGGAAACATCAACTAAAAAAAAGTCCGCGACGATATACGTCAATCTTTTAAAATTAACTTGTTAGGACGACGGGAAGTGTGGGTAACAGCTTAAGTTTTAAAGATGAAGGGGTTTGCAAAAACTAATTGGGATACCCACAATAACTATTCTACGCGGACGAAGTTGCTGACACAGCTAGTACTAAATAAATTCTGCTAATATTTAGTATCTGTAGGAGAGTCCACAGAACCTTTACATACCACTTTGACATATGACAGACACCTTGAGTTGACACTTGACAGTTAATTTAGAAGTGTCAAAAAATAGTTGCAGCTGATATCGTCCGCCCATTGTGAACAGAATAAATATTACAAAAATGATGGCATTTAAAAGCGAATTAAGGCAACTGCTGAAACCCTATTACTGGATAAACATACTTCTGAGCGTTTCCTATGTTATCGCGAAACGCACGAATGTGACATGCGAGTTTTTGTTCCCAAACGCTGACTGCGAACTCGACAGCCGAGAAACGGAAATCCTCTTCTTCCTTATTATCGTCGTGATGTTGAGAACGAGGAAGGCTGGGAGTGTCACCATGGTGAATTATTTGTCGTCATCGTTCGTGTATACGAAGATCGCTAACTTAATTTTGTGGTTCTATGCTGATGTAAGGTTGGTTTGTTTAGTACTTTTAGCAATTACTTAACACCTATACATATGTACACAATTAATATCGTTAGATGGTCTGCAGAAGGAGTGAGGAAAGAAATACGCTGGCTTTTTATTACATCCTAGTTCAGACAAACATTCTTGTTCCATATTCCATTTCAACAAAAAGTTTATTACCATAAAGACATTTGTTGTAGGTTAATATTAAAAGATGGACATACATTGTCACAGATTGTTTTTAGCACATTAGAAAATACATTCAAAACAGTGGATTCCATATGGCGTATTAATTGGTAACAATGTATGGCTGATCATCATCATCATCATCAATTAACCTTGGATTCTTGCTTTCATGTTCCTTTATACATTTTTATTCTTTATTTATACTGAATATTATAATTGCAAAAGTAACTCTGTCTGTCTGTCCATCTTTAAAGCTGAAACTACTGAACCAATTTGAATTAAATTTGGTACATAGATATTCTAGAGCCTGAGAAAGGATATATGCTACTTTTTAATGCTCAAAAAGGGTATGAAAGTTCGTATGGATATTCGTGATTTTTGAAGGTAGAACAATGAAACTTTGTTTTTTGGCATTTTGGGAATAAGAGTGAGTTAGGAGCGGGAGTTAGAATAGGACTTACAACACAGATTACTTATGCCTTAAATAAACAGCCTAAAAAATTATTAACTGTCACTATTCCACACTGATGAAGTTGGTACTTTATACATTTTTATTAATATATTTAAATGATTTACTTATTTGTAAATTTGTTTGTGCTATAAAGAGTTTGATTATAATTTTTTCGGAAACTATGTTTGTCTTGTCTGTGAAACAGTCGGTAGATTTCTAAATCCTGTTTATACATTATGTGGCTGGGGCGTTTACCTATTATCATGTATATTCATAATTTTGTCAATGTGATGTATAAAATAGGATTAAAAATATTGCTGCATATTTTGTTTAAAATTTTTTAATCCTCATTCTAAGCATGTCACACAAACAATAAAAATTAGATGATGAACACTTTGCAGATATGGAATTCCATATGGAGCTATACTGATTCTTGCTGCTCTGCTGCTCCCTGAACCAACATACACGGGCCCAGAGCTGATCACCTACTTCCGAGGCCCAGAAATCTTTGAAGATGAGCTGAAACACCATAAAAATACAACATGGCTTATCTGCCTGTATGCTGCGTGGCATCCAGCTTGTGTTAACTTTGCTCCCGTTTTTTCTGAGCTATCTGCAAGCTATAGCTTGGACAATTTCAAGTTTGGAAAGATGGATATTGGAAGGTGAACTACTTAGTTGCTATATCAGTGAAACTCCTTTAAGAAATTATGTTGACCTGTTGTGGATAATTCTTATAGAACTTTAAAAAACTTGTGCTATAGTCTCTTCGTGACCACAGCTGCTGCAAAGCTTCCGAAAGATTGGGTGGTAGTTAAAATAATTTCAAAATAAGTTAAACTAATAAAAATAATAAATCGCGTTTTAAACTATTATATTTAAACTTATGCTATTGACACTTTATATATCAATATGCTCTAAAATCCCTTTTTCCCCTGTGGGGCATAAAGGACACAATTACGTTATTCTATCACTAATCTTAATTTACTTACAACTTTTTTATGTTTGTATTATCTAAACTTTAAACTATCATAAATTGTGTAAGGATTTCACGGCCGTTCGTTCGTTCAGCATATCATTGTCTTTCACATCGGCCGAACAGCCCGAAAGCAATGATATGTTAAACTATGATAATTCCAGATATCCAGAAGCAGCTGCAAAATACAGGATTCAAGATGGTCCTACTAGTCGGCAACTTCCTACATTGATACTCTTCAGCGAGGGTCAGGAGAAGATGAGGAAACCACATGCTGACCACACTGGCAAGTTGCAAAAGTGAGTATAACATAATGTTTATGCTTCCAGCTTGATACGAGCTCTCTGACTCCTGCCCGTTTTTATACAATTTTTTTTTTAAATTTACAATAAATACTTATAAGAAAATGACACAGACTTAAATAATATCCAATTTTGTTACTAACCTGTTAAAATCCTTCGTAAGTGCCTTATTAGTTTTGTTGTTCATGCTGAACTCAGATCCAGATAGCATGACCAGGATTTGACTCCTAAATTGGAATTGCTTGTGATATTTAGTCGATAGCTTGAGTGATTTTAGGAAATTTTCAATACTACCTGTAGTTTACGCGAGAAGTGTACACATTTAAACGAGTTTTAAACCGTAAAAACAATTTTACGGTTTAAAACGCGAAATATATTAGTTAAGCCTATTTAAAAATTATTAGTGTCCACGTCTACGTGTTCTCCCCATGACCACGTGCTGCAAAGCATCTGCGGTCTGCGACGGTAGAAAAACTGATTTTGAAATAATTTGAACTAATATATTTCGCGTTTTAAACCGTTAAACTGTTTTATTTAAATTTCCAATATCTGAATGTAGGTAATATCTGTGCCTCAAAGAGGATGTTCAGCATTATAACTAATTTACAGCTGGTATTTATTAAAAACTGGGTAACTGCACTGAAAGTATGGCTAAAGAATTCTTACTTGTATAAAAGAGAAGACAGCCCTCATAGGAAAAAAAGAGTTCTTTAGCCTATATGTGGAACAGTGACTGATGGAAACGATATAACATGTATTATGGTTGATTAACTTTATTATTTATTACACTTGCAGGTTCCTATTCTCCAAAGACAATGTAAAAACAGCGTTTGCCATCGATGGTATCTATCAAGACTGCAAAACTAAACTTGCAGCTAAGTCCAAAGCTATAAAGACAGATTAGAATAATTGAGTCAGTATTTAGTTAAAGCTCAAACGCTTTAGTATTCAGAATCTCACTAACTATAGGCATAAGTTAGTAAGTAAAAGGGCATAAATTTGTTTATTAAAAATGTATGGAATTTACTTGAAGTCATTGGACCGTTTACCCATTAATATGACAGGAGTATTTAATTTATGTTATGAGGGTAGTACACAATGATTGTGCAACTACCCTCTTTGTTATTTTTTATAGAATGTTGTATTAACAATTTAGATAATGAATTCTAGTGCATACAGAAATGCTTTGCATTTTAACAAAATGTGTTCAATTTATTTATTGCATTAGTAATTAAATACCAAAAGTACAGTTTTGTTTTATTCACTCTTTTCCTACAATTGCATGCAGGCAGGTCCGAATCCTTAGCAAATTAACATATAAAAAAAAATTGTTTTGTTCCAATTTGGAAGTGCCATCACTATAGTACCTTACAGAGCACGGTCTGCCCCGGATATGACTACTTAAATGGATATAGACGAAGTCCCCTAAACTTCTATGCGATATAACTGGGCCCATCAGTGGGACAGAAGGTTGAAACGAAATAAATTGAGACTTAACAGGAATTATAAATTTATTATTTACAACTATATACAATATTGATATTCTATGCATTAAAAGTAAAGACGGGACTAGATAAGAAATATTTTGTTATAACCTAAAATAAATTAATAAAAATTCACCACGTTTTCATCATAGTGTAAAAAAAAACATTATTTTTACCCAGGTCAATAATCTAGATTCAAGATCTTGGAGGAGACTTATAGACTCAAAAACACTTTAAGTGTAATAATTTTTTAGATTATATAGCATGGCATTAACTTCACTAACTAATAAAATAAATAATAAACATTTTAACAAGTTGCGTTGTCGACCTATTTCGGCTTTGGATATTGGAAAATCTACAACTGAACGAACCCCAATCAAAAAAAAAATACAAAATTTTACAGAGGAAGTCCAACATGTTTGAGAAACATTATATATTGATTAGAAACATTTTGGACGTGGTGGAAATGTCAATTTCTTAGAAACATGTTTCTGTATCTACTCAATTTATAATTTTTCTGCAACATGTTGGGGTTTTTCAGCAAATCTAGACATTGAATGGGTGGTAGAAATATCCAATTTCCACCCGGGTTCTTTTAAACTCTCCTAAAATGTGACAATGTATGGAAAATGTTGTACTATTCTTGTGTATATGAAAAAAGCTGATTTTTGCTTCTTCTACGACTCACCACAATCTATGTCTCAACAGATATGTGTACATACGTTACAAGACAAAAGTATCGAAAACCATATCCAAGAAGTTCAAGAGCTTCAGGTAGCGAGGTCTCTCTTCTACTTTCTCCTTTTTCACTCTCTCCCTCTGTTTTGGTTCTGAAACGACAATGAAGGAAAATACATTACAACTGCCTTCGTAACATTTCAGCACAATAATAAACGATATTATGCTACAATTTTCTTCACACAAGAGAAACATTAGAATGTTTCGGCACAGAACTCTGAAACGTGTTTGCTGTATGCGAGAAGGAGAGCTGCGGCATTCGCCAGGGTAGGTCGCGTGGGTAAGGCTCTGCTGGTACTGTGACTCGTCCTTAAGCGATAAGACGGCGCAGTCAGTTTTTAGTGCGGTAATCCTTCTGAACATAACATTGTTTAGAATTTTGCTTAAGTAAAAGCAATGCTTAGTAGTTTGCTAAGTACGCAACGTTTCAAGTGGCTGAGATAGATGTGAGGGATAGATAGCCTTTAATCAAGATTGTGAAGCGCTAACTAGAGATAGATAATATCTTACTAGCATAGCTATCTATCCATTACTCTAGATAGGTTAATGAAAACGGCGGTTAATATGTTATAGCAGATTACCTGTTGTGTCTATCTTTAGGTCTTCCTCGATAAGTGGAAACTCATTGGTATCAGAGCGGTCCAGAAATACATGAATGCTGTACGCCGAGACTGTGTGTGACCATGCACCAAATACTCCTATACCTATGGCAAATTTGGTTGTAATACATTACAATGTCTTTTATATGTAATTAAGTTAAATCTAGATTTGTAAAGAAACAGAGGTAATCCTAACATTTCCCCAACGGGCTATTTGACAATGCGAAGAACATATCAATTACTGTTATCAGTACTATTTTATTTTCTCTCGGGGACACCTGTGGTAGGACGGGTGATCAGTTCACACTATCAGCTGACCATTTCACCCAAAAGTTATCAGTACTAAGTACAAGTTTAGAAGTAGTTAAAGTTACATATTTTAAAAATAATGAATTTAATTAAAATCTGCAAATGAAAATGTACTGTTTTAAACATTTCTGAAGTGACACAAAACGCACCTGATTGGTCAGGTTTATGATGGACGTCACTTGCCTATTATCAGTGCTAAAACTGTTCTATTCTCTGCATTAATAAATAAACTATGATAGGTGAAATACTCTAACCATATAACATCTTACCCAGATATGTGGTGGATCTATTTCGGCTTTATTTATTTGTTATTTGTTGTTTGGTGGTTTAATATTTCTACCACCCATTTAATAACCAGATCAAAAAAAAAATAACAGAACAATGTTGGACCTGATAGAAATAAAACCTAAGACCTGTTTTTAGCTATACATTACATTAATGATTTTCTTATTACATACCGATAGGCCTCGGAAAATCTGCTGGTATACTGACGACATCAACACCACATGTTATGGAGCTGAAGTTGTGGCGGTCTACTTCGTAGCTGGGTCTTAAATAGAAAAAATATTATTAGATAGGGCTCATCTACCTTATAACTCCTGAATGAATCTTAAAAAATAGACATATAGCGTCGCTGACTTTTTTTTAGATCATTTAAAGAGGAATATTAATTCTTTCAAATAATAAGACAAAGTCGCTGACACAGTGTATAGTTGCTAGTTAACAGAGAATATTTTTAAATCAGCATTCATAATATGAAAAATGTTATGCCTTACTTTTTGCTTTAATAAAATTAGGTGTTCAGGCAAGTAGTCCATTAAATTCTGAACCCTACCCCAACGGAATTTCTGCAAAACCTTTCAAGAAAAGTGCTTGAAGCAATCCTTATGTAATGTGGTTGTAGAATATAGGATATGTTGCTTACCTTAAATTATCTGCCACATATAAGTCAGCATCTCCACTTAAAGAGGTCAGCTCGACGATAAGAGGCCCATTGTGCCCCAGTTGCCAATAAGAAAAGTTACCAGCTCCAACCGTACCAATAACAGTATCCAACAGCATTTTGTCCAAAAATACCATTTGAAAGACATTACTAAGCAACGACCACATTGTGGACACACTTATTATTGCTAATAGTAAAAATATGAATTCCCTAATCATTTTTTGTTTATTTATTTAATTAACGCAACATTAAAAACAACATTGCTTTGACAGATGGGCCTTTTCTATCCAAAATTTCCCACGCACTAAACCGCACTGACAGTGACAGCTGTCAAGTACTTGAACAGACTGTTAGTACATGAATGATTGCAAATATGATACTACAGATAATGAAGGTGAAGAGATTGTTTGTTTGAACGCGCTAATCTCAGGAAGTACTTCGAATTTAAAATTATTTGTTGTGTTGGTTAGAGCATTTATCGATAAGAACTTTTAAACTATAAAACAACACAATGCGACCAATAGTGGAAAATGATTAAGAGCGTGAAACCAAAAAGTACATATGAAGGAGTGATTCCTCCTTAAATGATCTAAAAAATGTCCGCCACTGTTTATGCCTATTTTTTCAGATTAACTCGCAGGAACCAGAATGCGGACGACGTCGTTGTAACTGCTATAATTTAATAAGCTTAGGAGGTTGTTCGCAAGAATACATTTCAATGCCCAAAATAAGTCTTCCACGCGGACGAAGCATAGCTAGTAAAAAATATTTCTCACGCTGTTTGGCTTTTCGAGCGTTTTGTCCGCCATGATTAAGAAATGGTACTCGACGTTACACCAATTTCTTAATCACGACGGCAGTTCAAGAACCCAAATGGCATTGCAAAATTGCATTTATTTAATGAGAACTGCAAATGAACGGATGTCTTAGATCATTTTGTGGATTTAATTTTTAAGTGAGACGGGCGGATAGGTTAGGTAAAATGTAATATACCTCTGTCCATTTTTTATGTAGAAACCTTTATGGGATAACACAATTTATATGCATGCAAGGTGATCTCAACCGGGTCCCGTCGTTCCCACGAGTCAATTTTAAAAGATGGACATATACCTACTGTCGACTTTTTTTCACATTAACGGCCGGGCCCAATATTCAACTTACCTATAACCAGAAGTTAAAATCTTAACTAACAGTTTAAATTCTTAAAGATAGATCATTCTTTTGAACATACTTTTTGATTTCTCGAACCGAATGAGCAGCACATGAAAGATTCGCTTCGCTCCTATGGATGACATTAGCTTCTTTTTCTTCTTTCCTTCTTCAATTAATGGCTTATAGTTCCTAAGATAAGTTCAAACAAAGACTTCAGCTTTATAATATTAGTGTAGTCCTCATCCAAAGTTTAAAACACGATAACAGGTTTAATAAAATTTTCGTATCCTCTACCGGGTAATATTCGTCGCTCTTCCGTTTAGAATTTCTTTCATTGAACGCCTTGACTTGTTAATAATTCAGGAAACCATCTCATGACGCGCCGACTTCCTTAAACCACTTATTATCAACGATACAGTCATTTGTGTTATCGAATTATCAGCAACGTCAGAGGAAAATTCTCGATTTCACGATGTGTTGCGACTTTTGAGACGGCGTGAGTATTCACTATTTGAAAAACAAAATAAACAAATAAAAAAAACTTTATTTCCTTTAAATGAATATTTACATCTTTTAACTTAATCTAGTTTGGAGAAGCTTGTATTATTTGAGTACAAATATTATTTAAGATGATTTAAAAAAAAAATTTTAAATCATCATATTTGGCCGTCATCTAAGCACGTCTCAACAAAAAACAAAATACCTGTTTTTAATGTGTATTTGGTACCACATTGACTTCCTAAAGGATTTTACTTGAAATATTACGTCTTGTCTGTAGGTTACGCGAGTAGTACACATTTAAATTATTATTTTTAACGGTTTATAACGTGAACTTTAGCATACAATTTACTTAAAATAAGTTTTTAATATTAGTTTAGCATTTCCTTTATTGATTAAGTGTTTTGGTATTGTATTGTTTGTCTTTGGTAAGTATTGAAGCATTGTATTACTGAAAAACCATGAAGTGTTTTATTTACAAGATTTTATGATAAAACTTCTAATCCCTACTAATATTATAAATGCGAAAGTAACTCTGTCTGTCTGTCTTTTACTCTTTCACGCCAAAACTACTGAACGGATTTGAATGAAATTTGGTACACGGATGGTTTAGACCCTGAGAAAGAATATAGGCTCATATACATATTTTTTTTTTATTGCGAAAAGGGTAAGGAGTTAAAACGGGGGGTGAAAGTTTGTATGGAATTTCGTGGTTTTTGAAGGTAGAACAATGAAGAATGTTCTTCTTTGGCTCTTTGGGAATAGGAGTGGGAATAGGCGTGGGAGTGGGCGTGGGAGTTAGAGGAGTGATGTGAGGTTAGAGTGTTGCGGTAAAGTAGCACTTAGAACATAGATTGTCTGCGATAAATGCGCAATTACATAAATTAATAAACAGCCTAAATAATTAAAAATGTTACCCCAAGCCACTATTCCACGCGAACGAAGCCGCAGGATCAGCTAGTCATAAATAAATCTTAACTATTTGCTACCAATGCCACAATCACGCAACCTCTGACGATACTGCAGTCATTACAAATTACAATATTGGGAAATAATATACAAGTTTCGGTTAGTTAGGGCACAAAAGTCTGATCAGCCGACTGTAAATAAAGCACAAGTAATGAAATTATCTGAGACACAAAACAGACAATCTTTTGTCCCACATTAAAGTATCAATCAGTACCACAAGAGATTCAAACCCAGGGCCTATTTATCGCAATGCCTGACAGCATTAAGAACAATATAGAAGTAATAAATACTGTTGTAATAAATAACATTTCGTATTTATTTAGCGTCAACAAATTACGACAAACAAAGGAAATTATGGTATTATCTTAGATAGCATATAAGGACGATAATTAAGTACTTGTTCAAATAAAATTAACGCGATATATTTTAGTTTAACTTGTTAGTAAATTATTTTTAACTGGCCGACGTTTCGGATGCTTCGCAGCAGCCGTGGTCACGGGGAGACGTGTTTCATTCCGTGACTACGGCCGTAATTAAATTATACCGCGTTTTAAACCGTTAAAGAGTTTTATTTAAAGGTTTATTACTCTGTTTTGTTCTTTTTTTGTGAATGTAATTGTCAGTGAATTTATAGACTTGTACAGAGTATATTTGTACATATTGGTGAGATTTTTTTCCGACATAAGTGTGGGGCTTACTAGATGTGGTAGGTGAATTAATACTCCAGCCATATATTCGATTTGGATATTTGGAAATTTCATAAATTTTTATAGCGACTGAAGAATTTAAAAAAATCATTTTTGGCGTTTGGGAGCCATCTAGTAATTTTAATTTGTTTTGTGATAGACAAGGAAACTTCGCCTTTTGGCTTTGAACTTTCAGAAATCCAAAACGTAACAGCCGTTCCACCTGTAGAGGGTGGTTCGTGACCCAGATGGAATGTCAATATTCCTACCACTCATTTAATATCCAGATTTCCAGGTGAACTTAAACATGTTTCGGAAAATAACATCGATTAGAAAAATTTTGGGCCCCGTGGGGATCGAATCCTCGATTATTAAATAAGTATACCTAGTTACCTACGTCAATAAATGATCTTTGACTTGAAAAAGCCGAGTTCTTAAAATAATCTCATGGATCATTCGTTCTGATTTAAACCACTCAGGGAATAAAGAACATCAGCTGTCTCAAAAGGGAACCTGTTTCGGGCACAAAAACATCTCCCGGCGAGCGTTCGACACAGCTGATATCTACCGTCTCTTTCTAACACGTGCAGCCGTACGCGCGAGACAAGGATGGGCGTATAGGGGATGTTCCATGCGTGGGCGCCGCATTCCTGGATTTTTTATCGAACTTTTCGTATGTTGGCGTTGTTCACATGATTTCATAAATTATTAACAGAGCAGCCTTTTTGCAACTGTTTCCGTTAATACAACACAAAAGTTTATAAGACGACTAGCGGCCGATGTATTATCTACTGTCAGTTACAGACAGGTATGGCGGATAGCCAAACCTATAACTATAGTAGGGTCGCAGTGATTTCTAAAATATACTTTATATTAATTGGTAGATGTTGAGAAACTCCAGAAAAGTAGCATTTATTATTCTGACAAAAATTTGCATCCAAAATTGAAATTGCGCGCCTAAACGCCAATAATTAGCTAAATTTAGGAAATATATTGGCCGACTCAGCTAGTAAAAGTATAACACAGTAATGAAATTTCTCTATCAAAAGATTTAAATACAAGCGATTGTTACATCAACCCTACGTATCTAGACGTACTTTTAGTTAGGGGTATATTGTAACTTAGCACAAAAGCTCTCAGAAAAAACGTATAAAAATTCTACTTTTATACGTTTTTTATTTTCTTTTATTTATTTTAGCCGGTCGTTTCGTTTTTAGCCCTCCTCCCATGAGCGAGCCCGCTGTCGTTGATGGAAAAAAGTTAATATATTTCGCAATTAAAAACGTTAAACGCGTATATTTAACTCGAATAATATAGCTAGCAATTAAAGAATTCAAGTTTGAAAACTTTATTATTTTTTTACATGCTATTGCACATGAAGGCACTATATAATTTAAAAATCCAAAATACATAAATTGAAAAAATGTTCGACTCGGGCAGGACTTGAACCGGCATCGTCAGCGTTCCGTGCTGTTGCTCAGCACGTGGTGGTAGAACATTTTTTTTTCAATTTATTTTCGATTTTTAAAAGATTTCCAGTATTAGTAAAAATTCTTAAAGTTTTTCCTTTATAGATTCACAGATAGATTTTTAACCATTGACTCTAATCCATTGTTGAGATGGTCACTTTAGAACCGTAATTATGGTAGTCAAATTTGACAGATAGTTTAATAAAAGTTTACCTACAGATTGCTTATTACTATTTATAAACAGAGAGACTCCAGTTTTGAAGTACGTGTAAACATGTAACGTCACTCTATAACGACAAACTCTCTTAAGGTCGAAATTAATTGGTTTGGTTGTTTAGTGTTTTTCATACAATTCTTCTCCATTTAACGACAACTCCTATAACGCCATAAAATGCAAGTCCCTTCAGTGTCCTATATAGAGTTTACATGTATTTAATCGGGAGCTCTCGTAGGTAAGTTGACTTCATAGGGGTCAAACCCTCTGCAATTGTCGATTTGATAGGGGCTACACAATACAAGCAGAAAAATAAAACTTTAAAAACATTACTCGCATAAAAAAAAAATATGCCTGCGCCGGCGCAGTTTTTTGCTACTAAATGAAAACATACGTGTTATTCCTCTGTCTTCAAAGTGTGTTCGTTCGTTTTAAACTATTCGATTTGAGAAGTTGCTCTTAATATTTAAGCCAGAACCCAAACTTTTGGGGGGGGAGGCTTATAAAACATTACGGTGCGACCTTTAGGAGCAAAAAAGCAGTGGAAAATATTAAAAAAAACAAGAGGATTATTCATCTTTGAGGACTTCCATTGCGTGTCCTGCGAAAGAGTTTTAAGAGACCTAAAAATAATTAGACAGAACAATTCCTCTTTAAATTATCTAAAGATGATGCTGCCATAGTACATGTCTATCTGAAACCAGCACCAAACATTTTCGATTCGCACCGGCAAGTCCTGAGATTAGCGCGTTCAAACAAACAAACCCGTTTGGTATAGATAAGAAAAACGTTGAACACGGTTAGGAACCCACGACCCGTTGATCCCCATACCATACATACATACTATGCAATAAAACAAAGACCCCCCCCCCAACTCCCCCCCTCCCCCCCTAGAAATGTGAAAAGGTGTCATAACCGAGTTTACGAGAAAAATTACGTTGTATTTTGTAAACACGTAGTTAGGTAATAGAAGCGTTAATCAGCTTAGCAAGTTACGTGACTTTAAACAATTCTTTGCTTGAATGTATGACGACAATGCCGACGTTTGTGTATATTGAAAAATCGTATTTATTTGTCACGTATTTAATTACGATACGAACATAGACCACTGTAGTCTAATGGTCAAACGTGTGGCTTAGCTTTAAACACAAGTTTTTGGGGTTATAATTTTAAGGAAACGATAGATTAAATACTGTCTATAGTTTACGCGAGTGGTGCACATTTAAATAAAACACTTTAACGGTTTAAAACGCGATATATTTGTTAAACTTATTTCACACGGGTCTCCCCGTGACCACGGCTGCTGCAAAGCATTCCAACGTCGGGTCGAAGTTAAAAATCATTTCCAAATAAGTTTAACGAATATATCGCGTTTTAAACCGTTAAAGTGTTTTATTTAAACGATAGATTGTTTCATAAAATAGTCAAACAGTCGAATATGGTAATTTTTTTTTTAATTTAATGAAAAATCCGCAAAATTAACTTTTTTATACATTAGTCACATGACAAAAACGGTTTTTAGTCGCGTTTATGACAATGTCAATTTCTATAAACCACCGCCCTTCCTAGTGTTGTAGCTGTTCTATTCTCTGCATCAATAAATAAATACATTTGTATCTCATTTTAATACTTCAACTATTAAAACGTAAATGTTCGGTACAAATGCGTGTAAATTGTACATCATATGATCGGCATGCACCAATGGCCAATATAGGGTCGTGACGTCACTAGCCTATTCCAGCGTTATTTCGCAAAATTGCCGTTTAGGCGGCTAAAGTTGGTTTTTTATTTGTTATTTTCGCAAAATTAGCGTATTCAGTAAGTAGGCCATTTGAAGCCATAGACATAGGCCAACTTTAACAAAATAACGCGCCTCCAGGTTCGTTTATTTTTAGCACCAACTCAAATGGCATGCGCGATCCTTCTATCAATAATTCAAAGGGACTTGGGGAGGTAAGTACCTTCTCCATAAAGGTCAGATATGTCCATAACGTAATGAATTATATACAATGCAAAACCAAAAAAAAAGGGGTTAAAAAAAAAAAGGGCCAAAAAAGGTCCTGCTCTCTATAAACTAAATTTTGAACGTATTACCTGGAAATTTTGATTGCTTCTGTTATTGTGACTTCGGTGTCTGTCGACAGTCTCAGTTTTTCATAAAAAAATACATAACTTTTTCTTATGTCTGTACGGTGTTATTTATACTTCAGATCAAATATTCTACACACAAGTAAAATGCAACACTTTTAACTTTTTATTTTCATGTTATTTTATTATTATTATATTTGAAACAATTTTAATTTAAATAACTAAAAATATGAAATGTCACTTGTACGGAACCCTATTGTGTGCCTCGACTCACACTTGGCCTAGGCTTACAATATTATCTGATTTTTCGCAAGCTCAGACACTACTGGTCCTAGTCTATTCTTAGGGGGGAAAAAAAACCAAAAAAAAAAAAAAAAAAAAAAAAAACCCCCCCCAGAGGGGGGGGAAAAAAAGGGGGAAAAAAGGGGAAAAAGGGGGAAAAAAATTTCCCTTGGGGGGGGTGGAAAAACAGGTTAAGGAATGGATGAAAAAATGATTCCTCTTTAGATGCTTTAAAACAGCGATATTAAACTATCTTTTAAGTTAACCTTACAACAATGGCGGGACGCGACCGACGTTGTGGTTTAGAAAGATGGTTTTACGAACAAAATTTGATGCCCAAAATAACTATTCTACGCGGACGAAGTCGCTGGCACAGCTAGTCTATTTATAATTTACGTTATAGGTACTTGTGTAACTAATTTATGTTAAACACCGATTTGTCCTTCTTCACCGTTGCATAGTGATAGTAGAAAGAAGGTCATTTTTTACCCATTAGAGAACAGATAATTTTTACCTCGCTATAAATAAAATCTTATGACGCTTATAACTGACTAGCTGTGTCAGTGACTTTGCCCGCGTGGAATAGTTATTTTAGGCATCCAAAATTGGTTTTGGAAACCTCGTCACCTTTATAAATTTAAGCTTGTTACCCACGACGTCGGTCGCCGCCCGTCGTTCTTGCAAGTTAATCTTAGAAGATAGGCTCAGATAGATCTTAGAAGATATAGTGTCGCGGACATTGTTTTACATCATCTCCTCAGCTTTAAGTATTAGTATAGATTTTATAAAAGAGATTGACTGAAAGGCTCCCAATACCCAATCAATATAGAAAGACACGCTGTCGACCCAATTTCGATTCCGAAAGCCACAGATTAAAAGTAAACTTTATACTGTACAATCTGTGGACGGTGACAAATTGAATTTTATACTCGAACTATTCTTACTAATTCTAACCTTTGTGAAACGTATTGGGTTTGGTGGAAATCGAACTTATGATCCATACATCGCCACCATTGAACCAAAGAGATCGTCAAAATACCTGAGTTTGTTATTGAAAATAGCAATTTACGTCAATAACAGCTGGAAAAGGTGTTTCTTTATCAATATCGCGAATATTTTCTAAAACCGCTCGGCTCTGCCTACGTGACAAGATTTCCTTTGTTCTCCAAACATCTGTGGTATAACACGACCGAATCGTGAACATTGTTTTCGTCCGCACATAACGCATTGCGAAACCCTACTCCCCAACTTGGTTGCGTAACGCGTTACGTAGATGTTTATGCAAATTCTTATTGGATATTTTTATCGTGAGAGATAACAAGTCACAATAACAAACGAATTATCTTATTTTTGTGTTAACATTTAAAAATAAAGTGTCGGACCATTTTAATTATTACCCGGACTATTTGAATTGCACGTGATCGGATAAGAAATATCCGTTGACTGGGTGTATTTATTTTAGTCGGGTTATATTCAACCTCCTTGTTTTCGTTGCTTCTTTTTTCACGCAACTCGACAATCTACGCAGTAATAGGCGTACCATGAAATAAAGCTCGCTGCTCTTTAATAAACAAACATTACAATTTCTTTATAAACAACTCGATACTTATGCAACCGTGCAGTGTATCTTATATTTAATTTTGAATACCTTTTACTTGCTATTGTTGTAGATTGTTCGCAATATTACTCACAACTTACAAATAAATATTTACTCTTAATGGATGTATGGTACGACTATGTTCTGATGAATAGGTTTAATTTTATGTTGTTCAATGTATATTAAAAGTAGTTTAATCGCATTAAGCTCTAAAACATTTGTATGAATATTCCATTTTTCTAACATCCGGACTGTAGTTACAGGAATTTCATGAGTAAAGACTAGCAAATTACAGCTAACGATAAGTATAATAACGTTAAGTAATAAACATCCGTTATCGAATTGCGTGCGTGGAACGCCTTATTTCCCCTCTGCGCGCATGCGCGTCGCCCCACCGCGGTGAGCTTATAAAAGCGAGGAGCGCCCCCTCTGTGACGTAGTCGAAATCGAGAGGTGAAGGTGCGAATAATGGAAAGGTGGCGTCCATATTTTGTTTTACTAATTGATTATCACCGGAGCTAGCAGTGCGAGTGCCGACGGAAAAAGTCGTGAAAGTAAGGCAGAGTGTTTCGACGTGTCATCCGCGAAGATCGACAGCGGTTCGAGGCCGAGAACGGCGGTGTTGGCCAGTCGACAGTGAACGGCAACCATCTTGTTTTTGTGTTACCTCGTGCGAGCGCTCGGCTCCGTGGACGCCCTACTACCGCTAAAAGTGATAAGTGAACGTTATATTGAAGTTAAGTGAAGTGTGGCGTGATGAACTGCCAGGCGCAACAACAACGGAGCCGCCGACGCGTGGTGAGGAGCGTTCTGCCCGCTGCGCTAGCCCGACGCGAACGCGAGCGGCGCGAGGAGCGCTACGCGGGCAGCAAGTGGGGCGCAGCACCCGCGGCGGCCGCTCTGCCCCCACCGCCGACCCACTGGCGTCGCGAGGGCCGCTGCCGACCCGAGCCCGACCGCGCGCTTCCACTCAAGCTGCTGCTCAACGTCAGCGTATCGGCGTAATTCCGTAAGGACTCTAGTTAAGTGCCCGGGGGCGCAGCCCCACGCTCGGGCGGCAGGACTGCGCCTCCGCCTCTCTTGTGCTAAGTTTTTTATTTGATGACGCGACACGCGCCGTCCGTACCTCTGCGACTAGACGGCGTCTAAATTCCGGCGTTAGGTATTATTTTTGTGAAAATTTTAGTAGATAAGCGTAAGCGCGATGCCGTCGGGCCGCTGCGGCGCTCCCGTTCCCTTTTAAAATGAGAAAAATGTAAAAAAAAAATATAGCGGGGACGGGCAGTGCGGCGCAGCTGCGCGGCGGCGACGCGTAGCCCGGCGCTTCGCCCCTCGTCACCTTCGCCTTGCAGCTCCAAGCGAGACCGCGGCGCTCCTGTGATGTTCGTGCGGCCGTCGCGCTGCCGCCCCGCTCCATCTCGTTATAGGTTTGAGTTTGTCTTGACTGAAGTCTACTTAAGTTGAATCTTCGGGCGGGGCGGACAGCCTGCGGCCGCGCCCGGCTCGCGTTGCCGTTGCAAGGGAGCGAACGTTGCATTTCTTTTATAAATGAGGCGTTATATTATATTTTTGATTGAAGGTCCGAGGCTCGAGGCGCCGGGCCTCGGGGTGTCCCGCTAGTCGTATCGTTTTATTTATCGAGACCAATGTATTTTAATTTGTAAACGCGCAGTCTTCGCCTCGGCGGCCGCTCACCTTTAAACCTTTAACCGACCACCTGCGCCCGCGCGCGCCACCCGCTGGAAGAGAGCTTTAAGAAATAATCCGCGTCGACTGTGCGTCCCTAATTCTAGTTGTAGTGTGGAACTAAACGATACGGTGAAGAAGCCGAATGTTATCAAATTGGAAGATTATATATGTTTGTACAGAGAGTATATTGATCTCAAGCTGCGGGCGTCTGCGGCTGTCGTAGAGCTTCTGTGATGTACAAAAAAAAGTATATTTGGAATTTTACAAGTTTTTTATAATATTAGTTTGTAATGTATACTTTTAAGTGAAGATTGTGACGTGGCGGCTTTGTCGCCCCGTCTCGGGTCGCTCGCAGCATCCTTGTTCCTCACCTCTCCCATCCTCTGATCCTGTCCAGTCCCAGGGCTCCTCGGAGCCCGCCAAATGGTTCAATGTTTCTCGATAATCGTCATCAACCACACTGGAAATCTTTCAGCTCAAGATCTCGAAGACAGAAGATTGCGCCATACCTACCATATCATCATTGATGGTAAGGTTTTAATAAAAATTTATGGTCTTTATTTATTTGTACCTTGCACACATAAATACACATTATTATAGATTACTAGCTGTGACCGCGACTTGGTCCGCGTGGAATGCTTGGTGAATTTAAATTATTTAGGCTGTTTATTAATTTATATAAAGGCCGGCATTTAAGGCAACTAATCTATGTTGTAAGTGCTACTTTGCCGCAGCACTCGACTCGCATCACTAACACTTCCAATCCCACTCCTATTCCCAAAAAGCCAAAGAAGAAAGTTTCATTGTTTTAGCTTCGAAAACCACGTATTTCCATACAAACTATCCACTATCAACCCATTTTTGGCATTAATAAGTATGTCCTTTCGCAAGCTCTAAAATATCTTTGTACCAGATTTCATTTTAATCCGTTCAGTAGTTTCGGAGGTAAAGATAGACAGAGTTCTTTTGCATTTATAATATTAGTATAGATAATCGATAATTACTATTGATAGTGACAATTAACATACGATATGTATACTTCAAAATTCATGCCTATAAATTTTATATTAATACAAATTTTAGCTAAAAATGTCAAATATCACATACTACCAATCTAATCGGAACAAAACAATTTACTAGCTAAATAACAATCTACTACACATAAACTTAATTTCGCGCATTGATTTCTTATAAGAAAAATCCCAATAAGTTAAAATATAACCTGTTTTAAACATCACCTAACAAGGGAATTGGGGGGACAGCTGTTAAAATGTATGTTCGTATGCTTAAAGCCACAAGAAATATACTTTAAAATGTTCATCGTTTTCTATCCATACCACGGGTATATAAAACTAAATACTGTATAGTTTGCGCGAGTAGTACACATTTAAATACAACACTAACGGTTTAAAACGCGATACATATATTAGTTAAACTTATTTGAAAATTATTTTTAACTTCAGCGCGACGTTTCAGATGCTTTGCAGCAGCAATGGTCACGGGGAGACAGTCTCAAATAAGTTGAACTAATATATCGCGTTTTAAACCGTTAGTGTTTTATTTAAACATATATGATACCCTAGAATATTTTTTTATTTTCATATGAAATTTCACAAAAATTGTTCACGCTGTATCGTTGAAAATGATTTGACATTAATAAGTGTTATTTCGGCACGAGTTAATGAGTATAACCAATTTTACATAATGGTTTTAAGTAGTTTTAAAAAATTGATTTTATAAATGTCCACTTAGGAAATTTCAACTATGACGCTTAAACCGCCATATTGGAAAAACGGCGTCTAAAAAGTGCAAAATATCTCTTTATTCTTCTTATTCTTCTTTCTCTTTTACGATAAATAGCTGTACGTATGAAAAACAAAACCAAAGAAAATTTCATATAATTTTTACACTAACCGTGGATGGAACACTACAATGGTGTTATTTGACCTTGAACCTATATTACGTTATATTTTCCTTGTCATTTATTAGTCATTAGAAGTTATGAAAAAATGTTTAATTTCCATAGCCTTATTACAGAGAGTTTAAAATAAACTGGGATTGATCTAGATGAAGTGTTATTCTGTGCGCAATTGAATCTTATTTTTTTGGGTCACGAAAACACACTTATGTAACGACAGATAACTTATCTGTTTGACATACAACTATTATATTTATCCTCGTTTTTATAGCTACACACAATTCTCTTAAAATACATTTTAGGGTATACTAGCTGTGCCCGCGACTTCGTTCGCGTGGAATAGTGACTTGGGGTAGAATTTTTAAGTATTTAGACTGTTTATTAATTTATGTAAGGGCGCATTTATCGCAGCCAATGTATGTTGTAAGTGCTACTTTGCCGCAATATACCTCACATCACTCCGACTCTAACTTCCACTCTCACTCCCACTCCCAACCCCACTCCTATTCTCAAATAGCCAAAGAAGAAAGTTTCAATGTTCTATCTTCAAAAACCACGAATAGTTACTTTCGCATTTATATTATTAGTAAGGAGTCTGTGACAGAGCTAGTATAGCTCTCCGACTCCGTCCGCCAAGAATAGTTATTTTGGGCATGTAATTTTTTTTTTGCAAAACTCATCTTTATAAATTGAATAAAATCAATGACGTCGTAAGATAGACATACAATCACTGACATTTTAGATCGTTTAAAGAGGAATGGTTCTTACACATGCTTTGGTTATCTTGAACAGTTTTCACAGTGCACGCAACGGAAACCCTTAAAGATTTAAATAAAACACTAACGGTTTTAAACGCGTCAAGTTTAACTTTGTTTAAAAAAAAAAAAGTCTCATCTGTAACCCTCTATCGGCCCCCCCGTGACCTCGGCTGCTGCAAAACGTCCGAAACGTCGGGCCGAAATTAAAAATCATTTTCAAATAAGTTTAACAAATATAATTATCACGTTGTAAATCGTTAAAGTGTTTTATTTAAATGTGTACTACTCGCGTAAACTATAGACAGCCCATAAAGATTGATAATTTTTCGCTCCTATTGGTCACATTATGGTGTTTTATAACCTAAAGCCTTTATCGATAGATGTTCTAACAATTAATTTTTCAATTCGAACCAGTAGTTCCCGAGATTAGCACGTTTAAACAAACTCTATAGCTCTATATATTAGTATAGATTTATAGTATTAAAACGAAACCCTTTTCCCATTATCATCGGTAGATATAGAAAAATTACAGCGTTGGTGTCTGTCTGTCTGTCTGCCACAGTCTGTATCAAGAACCGCGATACCTAGACAAAAAAATATTTATTTTCGCTATAATAACAATTACTATACATTTAAGGCGATTTTATGTATTCACCCTCAAATTTATAGCCATTTTGCTTGATAGAGATAAACGGTAACAAGTAGGCACTTAAAATAAATGAGACTACGTATATAAAATTTTGTTTACCTACGGGACCCTTGTTTGAATACGTATAACTCGCACTTTGCCTGTAGTAACTTTAACGTATAATTTAAATAAAACAACGGTTTCAAACGCGAAATATATTAGGCGTGGTCTCCGTGATTACGGCTGCGGCGAAGTATCCGAAATGTCGGGCTGTAGTAAAAAATATTGTTATTGAGTTTAAGGTACGTTTCGCGTTTTAAACCGTTTAGCGTTTGATTTAAAATTGTACTCGCTACTACGTACTCGCGTTAACGATGGACAGAGTAGGTACTTGATGTTAATATTTGCGTCCAATACCCGGGATCATTACATACGTTGAATTAAAAAAAAACGACGTTTGCTTAATTTAAAGAAAAGTTTAAATTTTGGATTTAAAAAAATTACAATCTAGTTTCTCGTTTTAGAAGTATTGAATAGTTTAGAATTAAAACTATGGGGTTTTAATTTAAATCCCTCGGAAAAGGGTTGGGGTAAAGAAAATCTATTTCATCTAAATAAAAAAGGGGGGGGGGGGGGGGGGAAAAAAACCCCCCGGGGGGGGGGGGGGGGGAAAAAATTTTGGGGGGGGGGGGGGGGGGGGGGGGGGGGGTTTTAACAATTTTTTTTATTTCTATATAAAACATACAAAAATACATACAATGCTCAATTTTCACCCTCCTACGATCAACCCTTATTTTTTAATAGCCATTTTAGTAATTTAATATTTATCCTCTCCCAAAACAACGTTTGCCAGGTCAGCTAGTACTAATATATAAAGCTGAAGAGTTTGTTTGTTTGAACGCGCTAATCTCAGGGTTTGAATTGAAGAATTCTGTTTGTGTTGGTTAGAGCATTTATCGAGGAAGGCTTTAGGGTAGGCTAGAGGAAAAATCGCCCTTTGACTAATAGAAGCGAAGATACAGCGGGAAATGTGAAAAAATTTTAAAAAATTATTCATCATTATGGGTTTCCGAGGCGTACGCTGCAAAAACGGCCTCTCTAAAGGGACGCGACCGACTGATCGTGGGTAACAGCTTAAGCTTATAAAGAAGGAGTTTGCAAAAAACGAATTTGGACGCCCAAAATGAATATTCTTAGCGGACGAAGTCGCTGGCACAGCTAGTATTATTACACAATTAAACCTAGTAATTAAAATATTTTATCAAACAATCTTTATATAGAGGTAGTTGATCTTACAGCCTTGACTCAATTCATTGTCAAATATAAAGATACGAGATATACGCTCTTGATGTGGTGAGACTGTTTTAATTTCATTTATAATTTATATTTTTAACTGAGCGTCACTGTGTTACTGACATTTCGTTTAAATATGGGTCTACTACAAATAGACAAAGACACGTTTAATTTATATAGCTGCTTAAACACAAATATACAACTAATAACACTCAAAGGTCGAACCCTTCGAGTTATCATTCCCACCGTGTCCAGCATTGTCCATTCAATTTATCATCTTTTCAAAACGTTTTGGACTTTGAAATCTGGATATTATGAAAATTCCGTAGTAACAGTCTACAAATGAAAAAGTCGTAAAGTTTAATCGCGTTTCAGTTACAGTCGATGGAAAATAAATAATGATGTAAATGTCGAAAAGACAATAGGTCAACAACACATCTCATTTAGATGTTTATGATTGGGGCATTTCTTACCCACCATGAATGCCTTGCCTGTCTGCCAAAGCTTGACGCACAAGAAGTTTCGCAAAATTACGACAAAAGCTCATCATCATCATCAATGGATGTTTCATACTGAACTTGTTAAAAAGTGCCTCCAGGGACAATTACGATTTTTAAAAAAGGGCTTCTGCTTTAGTTTTGCGCTTTTATGTAAGTATTTTTTCTTGTAATTATATCGACTAGTAGGGACTAGAGGGAACATACCTCCCCCCCAACTCTACCTATTCACCAAATCCTGCATTCGGTTTCTCAGAAAGCCGTTTGCCCGCCTCTAGTCGCTTCTACCATCGCGATCTATCCTATTCCTGTGTCCAGGTCCATAGCAACTCCATCCCACCTGAGGAGCCTCCCGGTCTCTTGCCTCCTGGGTTGTAAATTCAGCAAGGACCTTGGCGCTCTTTCATCCGCCATTATGTGTACGCAAAGCCCTATGCTATTTATTTACTGTTTTCAACTAGCGTAAATAACTACGTAATTCATTATACATTCTAAGACGCAACATTGGTAGTTCCACCTTTTGCTCGACTAGTGACCTCCTTGCATCGTAAATATATAGGTACTTACGACGCGGGCGGGAGTCGAATTGCCATCCACAGCGTATCGGTTAAAGCAGCACGGAACGCTGTGGATACCAATTCAAGTCCTGTCAGTGTCGTATTTTTTTTTATTACAAATAGATTTCAATTTATTTATATTTTTTTTATTTATTTATTTATTTACATATATCATCTAAACAGATACGCTGTCGGCCTATTTTGGGTTTGAATATTCGGAACACAGACAAACTATTACACTTGACGGCTTTTTTATCAGTGAACGGTGGTTCGTGACCCGGACGGAGTTTTCTAATGGATGACCGGGGAAGCCATTTTGTTTTGATCTAAAGAACTTTGATAAAAAACTGCCACAGTATACATATGACAGTAGACCATGGAAACAAACACCACGGTCAGACAACATGGGTCTCTGTTACACTCATGATTACCAGGTAAATGTTAAGTTCTGTGCCCTGCCCGATCGAGACTGTTGTGTCTTCAAGTACGGACGGAAGCACAAATATCACAATTGTGTAATTATGCTTTAATTAAATTCGGTAAATAAAGCATTTTTCATGTAATTTTTAACTATTTATTTACTATTTTTTCAAGACGTTAAACACAAGAGATATGTTAAAATGCAATAATTAAATTACAAATATATTCTACGTTTAAGTTTCTTAAGTAACTTTAATGAATAGAATTTATAACTTAAGGCAAATTAAATTATAGAAAGAGAACAAAATCATGTAATCAAATGTTAAAACTATATTTTTAAATATTTATTTAACTGTTTTTTGTTTTTTTGTTGTTGATTTGATAGCAATGTATATGAGGCTGCTAGAGGCAGAGTAGCCTAATAACAAAAAACAAGATTTTCAATAAGGAAAATAAACTTAGGCGAATATGAATTTGTTCTATTATTTGTGTAAGAGTTATGTTAACAATTTTGGGTCACTGTGCTCGTAGATTAACATTTTTAGACTATGAAAATATAAATATAAAAAAACTCAAGTCATAAAAATTTCAGTTAGGCTACTCTGCCTCTAGCGGCCTCATATATATTAGGGTTCCTTTCAGCTGTTTAAATTATAGTTGTTAGTTGTTACCCACGTCTTCGCCCGCGTCCCGTCGTTCTTGCGAGTAAATTTTAAAAACATACTGTCGCGGATTTTTAGATTATTTAAAGTGGTATCATTTTTTCACACACATTTTTGGTTTCTTGAACCGTTGTCGCAGCTCACGCAACGGAAACCTACAAAGTACAAATTCTGCCTGTTTCTTCCACATTTCCCACTGTGTCCTTTCTCCTATTAATCGCAGCGTGATGTTTTAAGCCTAAACTCCTTGCTCTTTACATTTTCTAACGAACAGAAAATGTAATTCGAACCAGTAATACCTGAGATTGGCGCATGTAAACAAACTCTTCAGCTTTACATATCAGTATACATACGCCTTAAGTCATATTCTCCTGTAACTCGATAAGACCTTGTATTACAAGGGGGTACCGACTCAAATATTTTAACCTAGCTGTAATAACCATTTTTACTATCTCCATTTGGAGTTGAGCGCTCGTATCCATTTTCAGACATTTTAATAAACTCGTTATGTACTGGCCAAAATCTTCGATTTGCTTCTCCTCCCTTCCACCGAGCCGTTTTTCCGGATGGGTGGATACGTTGGGCGCTTTTTCGGTCTTGCTTAAGTGAGGGCGTTTCTTCAACTCGAATGTGTGTTGGTCTGTAATTGGGTCTTCTGTGTTGCTCTCGTAGGTGTGTAGGTTCTGTTGAAACGGACACAACTATTTATATAATTATATTTAAATAATAAAGTTTTTAGAGTTAAAACGCGTAATATATAGGTTAACTTAACGGTAGTCACGGGGGGATTGCAAATGGTGGGTGTCCCCAATTTCAAAGTCAAATCTGCTAAGTTACCGCCACGGCTGCTGCAAAGTATCCGAAACGTGGGTGTCTAGTTATTTAAATTAAATAGTTAACTAATATATTTCACGTTTTAACCCGTCAAAAGTGTTTTATTTAAAGGTGCAAAATATAGACAGCACTTAAGGATTAATGATATTTTAACGGTTGAAAAGGCGAAATATGTCACTTTGGGCACTTCAGTGAGTGTTGGCCGTCGGCTCGTATTAAAAATATATTGAGAATAAGTTCGAATCGCGAAAAGTACCGAGTACAGACGACATTTAATTGACTGCTCTGTTCTGTTATTAAAAAAGAGGTCTAGCTAATTTGAGGCCGCTAGAGACAGAGTAGCCTAACTGCAATTTTATGACTTGACTTATTTTTAGTTTTATAGTCTAAAAATGTTAATCTAAAAAGCGTATTTTTAATTTCCTCCGTATTAAGAATCATGTTTTTATATTTAGGCCACTCTGCCTCTAGCAGCGTTATTTCACTGAATATTACAGTAATAGGAAATATGGTCTAAGGTTTTGGAAACTCAGTGACTTCTGGTTACACAGTGCTCGTGCGGGCAAAAAATGCAGTAGTACCACTTTCTAATATAGAAGCACAGATTGCGTTAACTCTTGGAATTACTGGCGTTTGTGAAACAAGGCCGATTTCCGGTTTAAGAATATATATTTTTTAAATCAAATACTGCCTGATTTGTACGCTCTATGTTCGACCCTTGGAACACAACTTTAAAAAGAAAACGGGTTCTTTGGTGTAGCAATAAATAGGTAGTGGCTTCGATCCCAAGCGGGTACAATTTTCTAATCAAATTATAAATATATATTATAACTAGCTGTGCCAGCGACTTAGTTCGCATAGAATTTAAACTGCCCTCGATATCGCGTACCGTCGCCCTGCTTTCGGAACCCGTCGTTCTTTTTAGTTAATGTTGAAAGATAGACACTATCGCGGACTTTTTTCAGATCATTTAAAAAGGAATCATGAATTCGTACATATTTTTTGGGTATCTTAAACCGTTTTCGCAGCGTACGCATCGGAAACCCACAGAGATGAAAAATTTACCCTTTTTGTCCACATTTCCCGCTGTTTCATCGCTTCTATTAGTCACAGCGCAATGTTTTATAGACTAGCTGTGGAATAGTGACTTGGGTAGAATTTTTAATTATTTAGGCTAATTTAATTATTTGCGCATTTATCACAGCCAATCTATGTTGTAAGTGCTACTTTGCCACAATACTCTCACCTCACATCACTCCTACTCTAACTCCCACTCCCAATGCCACTCCCACTCCTATTCTCAAAGAGCCATAGAAGAAAGTTTCAATGTTCTATCTTCAAAAACCACGAATTTCCATACAAACTTTCACCCCCCCTTTTAACCCCTTTCAATCCCCTTTTCGCAATAAAAGTGTTCTTTCTCAGGGTCTAGACCATATGTGTACCAAATTTCATTCAAATCCGTTCAGTAGTTTTGGCGTGAAAGAGTAACAGACAGACAGAGTTACTTTCGCATTTATAATATTAGTAAGGACAACCTTTCACGAAAAAAGCTCTAACACAAGGAATGTTTAAATTGAACCAGTAGCTCTTGAGATTAGCGCGTTCAAACAAACAAACAAACAAACTCTTCAGCTTCACATATTAGTATATTCTTTCCTCTTATTTATGTTTTCTGCATTATGTATTATAATATTAAGGCTACAATAATAACATTTTCTGAATTATTTTGGACTTCGTAATCTAGCTATTTAATGGCCGGTAGCTATAACGAACCGACCGGGTCAACCATCATCCACAGCCAAAAAACTGTGTTTAATCGCGTTTTGGTCTCCATCTGTGGATTTCTGAATATGCAAAGCCAAGATAGGCCGATAGCTAACCTAACCTAACATTAAGTGAACTCTAAGCTTGTCTGTTCTACTCTTTCTAACTACACTTACAGAAGGATCTTCTATTTCTTCGCATTTCTCATCTGACGCTTCTTCTAGGCTATCTTTCATGGACTTCGTCTTGGCTGCCATCACCATGTTGACTATTTCCAATTGGAGTCGCGAACTTACTTCCCGCGGTATATCTGTAACAACACTTGGTTTGTGTGTTACGACATAACCATAAAATTGGAGAAAAATCATCGGAGTTTTGGGAAAAATTATGGTTTAAAAATCCAATTGAGCTACCGAGCCTAGTTGTAGAGAAACAGCACGGAACGCTGGCGATGCCGGTTCAAGTCCTGCCCGAGTTAAAAATTTTTTAAATTTATTTTCGATTTATAATAACATAGTGCCTTCATGTGTCACATGGCAATGGGAACAGAAGTTTATAAAAAAAGACCCCTAAAACAGACAGAAATGTCTGCACTCTCTTAGACTTAGTAAGCGTTTAAACGAAAAGCAGTGCTTTTTATAATAAGCACATTCTTAAGCAATTATCGATATAAGCTTCATAAAAACACACTTGTGTAACTATAGTTAAAGCCTGAGCCTTTGAAGGACGAAAGAAAGTTTTTTACGATCGAGGAGGATAGATACGCATAGGGCCACTTGATAATAGGTGTATTACCCCGGCCATATAACATCTAAACACGATGCGCAGTCGACCTATTTAGGATTTGAATATTTAAAATTCCACAGTTCGAAACTCTAACGCGATTACACTACGTGGTTCGTGACCCGAAACGAATTTCTATATTCCAACCACTGTATTAAATATCTAGATTTTCAGACGAAGTCTTTGAACGTTTTGGACCCGGTGGGAAACAAACCCACGACCCGTTGGTTATTTATACATTGCTACCGTCAAAAACGTTAATTGAAAATATAAAATAAATATGATAGCAAATTATCGTAACATATCTTCAACAAAACACAAGCGAATAAGCAACTAATCATTTTTTTAAGCATTTAATTCGTTGTAAATTATAAGCTGTTAACATTGCTTGGCAGGAGTACATCCAGGGCACCCTCAAAGTAGCTAAGCGGGCTGGTGGTGATCGGCTATCGGTACCAAGGAGATTTTGGTGCGATTTATCCCACTCCCCACGTCACTATTGCTCGACGTGGGCGTGCATTAGACATTCACACCACAAGTTAAAAAAAGGCAGGAGTACCTTTCATCAAACTAGTGATGTATCTGCCAAAATCTTCAATACCCTGGTTATCTCTTACGTCAGCCATTTTCGGTTTTTCTCTTGCACTGGAACGTCTCTTGAGCTTTGATCTCGTCTCTGGTTGCCATGGCTGCGCTGTTGTCACTTCTTTGTCTTTCGTCTGAGTTTCTTCTATTTCCGGATGCTCTAAGTATATAACTTCTGTGTAGTTCTCATCTTTGTCTTTAAACTCCAGATTCTGCAAAAGTGGGTAGTCTGTAGATCGTTGGATTACAATTACGTACTGTCTGTAGGTAATTTACGCGAGTAATACATATTCAAATAAAAGACTTACGGTTTAAAATGCGATATATAAACTTATTTGAAACGAGACTGCGTGACCACGGCTGCTGAAAAGGATCCTGTCTGGCCGTAGTTAAAATAAATTTCAAATAAGTTTAACGAATATATATCGCGTTTTAAACCGTTAAAGTGGTTTATTTAAAGATATTACAATTTCCAATTTCTTAATCAAAGTCGTTCTGTTTTGGTAAAAATTGTATTAGCCCCTGTTTATCGGTGTGGTGTTTCTTTGGAGACGCACAAAAGATGTTCCTTCCTTTTGTCTTAAAAAAAATAGTTTAGTTATTTCTACAAGGACCGAGCTAGCAACAAGCGCAGTAAGTTTCGTTTTGAAATTAGAGCCCCCGTGACCATGGCTGCTGCAAAGCATCCCAACATCCGGTCATAGCATAAAAAATGTGTATCTAATATATTTCGTTTAAAACCATTTTAATCTATATTAAACTGTCTGTAGTTAACGCAAGTAGTACCTACACATATAAATAAAACACTTTACGGTTTAAAACGCAATAGTACCACGGATCTCCCCGTGATCATGACTGCTGTAAAGCGTCCGAATCTTCGGGCCGTAATTAAAATAATTTTCCAATAAGTTACTACTAATATAATACGCGTTTTAAATCGTTAAAGTTTTTTATTTAAATGTATTGGGCTGATAATTTCCCCTTGTTTATTCATGCCAATACAAACCTGAGATATCTTCGAATGAGCTTCCTTCAGGTGCTTGTACAGCGTCTCCGAGTTTCTCTTCATGGTGGCTTCGCAAATGGTGCACTTGGCCATGTTGTGACGTGCCTTATCGAAAAAACCCCACAGCTCGCTGTCAGGGTCCAGGGTAGATTCATCGGAGTCGGAATCGTTTGCTGTTGACAAAAACTGTTAGTCATCAATTTGAAGCTGTGGTAACCCTGTGATATGATTTTAAACAATTAGTACACTGGGACGGCATAGGGGGTGGCTGGGGAAGGTTGGGTAACGGCACCAGGGTGACAGAATTAGTGGGGGCTCCGTGGCCCCGTTTCTTTTACCCACAAACCGTTGCTACGTTCCGTAACTCTTGGAATAAGAGAGAGAGTAAATAGACATAAATGTATTTACTCCTTTACTACTTACTCCTTTACTATTCAGCCACAAACACATAAGACTTATTACTTAACATAACAATAAATCATAACTTCATCTTAATGTGTCGTTGTTGCTGCTAGTGGGTAGAATCTAACTCAACTTGACCTGATAATGTGACTATTCGGCTAAATAGGCTACTATGGGCTGAGCATGTTGTTGCACTGGAAGAGGGAGGAGTACCTCACAGACTCCTAGATGGCAGCCCTAATGGAGATGGAGATGTGGAAGCCCAAAATGAAATTGGTAGATGACTTTGAGCAAAACCTTGGGATTTTTATGGAACTGGACAGCTAGGCCAAGATACGGCGGAAGTCCACGCCGTTCCAGACCAACGAAAAAAGAATTATTTTATATGGAGCAAATCCCCTACCTCACTAAATATTAACTTTATAATATTTGCTGCTATAGCGGCAGCAGAAATACATCATGTCTTCCAGCTAACGCAGTTTGGGGGATACAACCAGGTGTCAGAAAGTGATTTAATTATTACGCTCCCGCTATCTCTTCGCTACGGAACCCAAAAAAAGGCTCCCCGTTTCTATATTCGTCAGTTATTTTCGTCATAATACACGTGACGTAAATACCGAGCGCCCGTAACAGGAAATCCCCGTATTTTTTCGCGAAGTTTACCAACTCGTTCGGCCATTTATAATTAACTACCTGTGTCAGCGACTTTGTCCGCGTATAATACGGATCTCGGCGTCGAAATGTGTTTTTGCATCTGTCATTTAAGCTGTTGTTCACGACATCGGTATCTTCCCGTTATTCTTGCAAGTTAATCTTAAAAGATAGACCTATACTGTCGCGGACATTGTTTGTAAAGAGGAATTATTCTTTCATATATATTTTCCGGGTATCTTGAACCGTTTTCGTAGCACGTGCAATGGGAAGTTTCAAAGAAGAATAAGTTATCCCCTTTTGTTACACATTTCACGCTGTTTTTTTCGGTCCTATAAGGCACATAGGAGCGTGTGTGAGGGCCTTTTTCGATTAATGCTCTAACCAACACAAAAATAATTTTTAAATTCGAACCAGGAGATTAGCGCGTTCAAACAAACAAACAAACTCTTCAGCTTTATATAATAGCCCCCCCCAACAAAAAAAATTCCCCCCCCCCCCCCCCCCCCCCCCCCCCCCCCGGAAAAAATTTTTTTCCCCCAATTTTTTTTAAAAAAATTTTAAGTTTTTGGGGGGAAAAAAAAAGAAAAAAAGTTTTTTCCTTTTTTATAATATTGTGATATGGATAGATAGATATGACGCATAAGATTGTTTTAATTTTAAAAATATACATGTGACGTTGTATCTAGACGACTCTGTATGACTCATAATGACGATATACATTTTTTCTCGAACAAGCTCGGAAATTCGAGCATTATCTTGACAATCTTCGAGATAAATCGAACTTGTTGTACCAGTCGAGCAGCGGCCGGCAATAGTTGTATGAAAAACCATACCTGTCGTGGCCAAATAAATCTATACTGAAATATAAAGCTGAAGAGTTCGTTTGTTTGAACGCGCTAATCTCAGGAACTACGGGTTCGATTTGAAGTATTCTTTTTGTGTTGGTTACAACATTTATCGAGGAAGGCTATAGTCTATATAACATCGCCCTGTGATTAATACAAGCGAAGCTACAGCGGGAAATGTGAAAAAAATTGGAAAAATTATTTATCGTTTTTGGGTTTCCGAGGCGTACGCTGAAGAAACGGTTCAAGATACTGAAAAAATATGTATGAGAGAATGATTTTCTATAAACCATCAAAATAAAAGTCCGCGATGCTATATGTCTATCTTTTAAGATAAACTTGCAAGAACGACGAGAAGGGACGCGACTGAAGTCGTGTCGTCGATGAAGGAGTTTGCAAAAATGAATTTGGATACCCAAAATCACGCATTTCGCGGACGAAGTCGCTGACACAGCTAGTTACTGTGTAAGATCAAATTAGCCGTGGAATTAAAAAATGTAACAATCTTCCGCAACATGGCGACCGAACTGGCTGGCTCATAGGCTGTTTAGCGAAAAAAAAAATAATTTAGCGCGTAAAAAACTTGTGTTATAAGTTTTTTGTCAACATCGTCATCGTTATCTTCCTAATTGTACTAATTAGTTTTAATTTTCCCGTATTACGACAGAGCAAGATAAGGATGGAAGTCACTCGATGGAAGGTGATGTCCGAATCTATATAGTATATTCTCACAAGATGTGCTGTCCTACTTTGCTTATGATATTCTTCTATATAAAGACTGAAAGTACTGCGGCTTTTTCATCTGTAGGTACAGGTGGGTCGTGACCCAGATGGTATTCCTATATTTCTACCATCCATTCTAATATCCAGATTTTCCAGGCGACGTCTTAATGGATTTTTTTTTATTTTCAGAATATTATAAAAAAAAATAAAATATCCAAAACACACAAGAATACATATTTATGAAAATCGTAAAAAGTTTAATATTTCATTGAAAAAAAAAAGGAAACAAGGCAACATACACATAGAGACAAAAGAGCCAATAACTAAAAATTATACTTTCGTTTGAATAACAAAAATAAATATAAAAAAGAGAATTGCATCGGCCGGGAATCGAACCCGGGCCGCCCGCGTGGCAGGCGAGCATTCTACCACTGAACCACCGATGCTCATACTATACTGTTAAAATTCTACATCGTTATTCGTAATTATTTCAACATTAACAATTTATTTTGTTTATATGAATACTAGAAGATCCGAAAAACGTTGTTTTTATGTTTGTAAGATTAATATCTTTATATTTTAGCAACTGTAACAAATAACTTAAATAATAAAGGCAAGTTTATTTTAAGAATATGTATTTTCTATCTTAGGATTGCTTTCAGAATTAACTTTTAAGAATATTCTGGCATATATGTTACTTAACTAATGTTTATTTTTAAAATAAACAACAATTTTAACGTAATGGTAGCAACTTAACATAAAAATCAACCAATTCATTTAAACTGTAATTAAGTCCAGTTCTAATATTGAAATAAAACACTTCACTGTTTAAAACTCGAAATGTATTAGTCAAAGTAATTTGCAATTATTTTAACTACGGCCCGACGTTTCGAATGCTTTCCAGCAGCTGTGGTTTTATTAGAGGTCGGGCAATAATTAAAATGAATTGTGTAAATAAGTTCAACTAATACATTTTGCGTTTTAAATCGTTAACAGTGTTTTATTTAATGTGTACTACTCGCGTAAACTACGATAGTACAACGGAAAATATTTATCGTTTTAGCTTCGATAGCGTGCTCGTTGGTGAAATGGAATCAAGCAATGATTCGATCCCCGCTGGGTCTAACTACTGACATTCACAGTTGAAAAAGCCTTGAATTTTGATCGTGTATCGGTTTTAGTCAGTGGATTTCTAAATATTCAAAGTCAAAACAGATCGACAGCGAATCATGTTTAGATGTTATGTCTTGTTTAGATTATATGTATCTAAAAACCCTTCAATCAAACACTTTTTGACGGGTTTAACTGGCATTTATTTAGTCCTTAGAATTAGGTATTGATATTGTCAACATCCAACAAGATGTAAATAAACACGTAAAGCCTAGCTCGGTTTGAGGTCGTCCAGGTCACGTCCGGAGATCACGTTTGCGCGCGACGTTGCCGCACCGCGCGCCGGTTGACGGCTGGTCAAGTGTCACGTAGCAACTCGTAAACAACCTCATTTCGAATCGTCGATGCGGAGAAATCTTTAAATTAGCACTTTTAACCGTTTTAAACACGTATATGTCTTATTTTTTACTACGGCAACTACCACGTCTTAGAATCACGACAGACATACAGACAAACATTTTTCATTTTGCTTTTTTTTTGACGAGTCTAAATATATATTTTTTTATTTAAAAGAGAATAAAATACCTATGTATTGTGTAATTCCTCAACTAGCACTTATAACTGTTTAAAACACGTAGGTATATTAGTGATTTTAACCACGGTCTGTGGTACATTAACTATCAGAAATCTTCTCGTATTTGGTGCGGAGAAATCTTTACACTTTTAACGCTTTTAAACACGAATATTAGTCATTTTTAACTGCTACACGTTGTGAGCATTAACTACACAAGTCTTCGCATACCTATTTACTTATTAAAATTATAATTAAAATCCTAATTTGAGGGGGTTGGTCGGTCTAATAATAGAAATCTATTGCTACTAGTAATCGTCGTGGCTTCGATCCTCACCTCTTTCTAATTAATTTTGATATTTTTTGAATAAAGTTTTACTTCGTCTTGAAATCTGGAGGAATATCTCCGTCTCGGTAACAAACCACCATCCACAGAAAGAGAAAAATTGCGTTTCGATTCAGTCTGCGGTATTTATTACACCTGCCATCGAGTCAACACCACGTCTGTCTTTCACGATCATAAAAAAATCCGTTTTCCCGTGGGCGGACACGTTAAGAGATTGTCTTCGTTTCACCAAACGATTATCTTTATAAGTTGATTAGACCTGCGCCGTGTCCGACCGTAACTATTTATTTTGCGAGGCATCAAAGCGAGGACATCCCATGCTTGACGAATTGGCATAATTTTAAAATATGCTTTATTCGTCTACCTTAATTATAAAGCTGATGAGCTTGTTAGAACTCGTCAAGATCAAGAACTACTGCTTCCAATTGGTTCTTTTTGCTGTTCGTTAGAGCATTTATATATTAAAGCTATAAATATTGCACTGCGAGTAAGCGAAGAAACGGTGGGAAATGTGGAAAAACGGGAAAAAATATTATTCATATTTTGGGGGTTTCCGTTGCGTGTGCTGCGATAACGTTTCAAGGTGCTCAAAAATTACAAATAAATACTTAAATGATCAAGAAATTCCGCGACAGTACATATTATAAGATTAAACGCAAGAACGTTGGGACGCAGACGACGTCTTGGGTAACAACTATAATAAATTAAAAAGGTTGTTAGGAAAGTTAGGTATAAGCCTAAAGTAACTATTACACGCGAAGTCGCGGTTACAACTAGTAAATAAAATAAGGATGTTCGAGAAATCGGTAGAATTCAGTAGATTGTTACTTACTCGGCATTTCAACGTATTCTTGGGCTGACACTTTGTTTTGTAGTTGCTTGTGTACATTGCTTGATGCATGCCTCCGTAGAGCGTCCTTCCCAGACGTTATATTTAGATTTTTGTTACAATATTTACATCTAGCCTGGTATTCGCTATGTTTTTCTAACCAACCGAAAAACTCCGGTTCCATCTCCCAGTTCTTTTTGTAGCGCTGTTTGTACTTTTTTTGACTTTTTAGTTAAAGTGTGAGAGGCCTCGTCGGAACTAAGCTCGTGGTTTGACATTTTTAATTATATTTATCACATAACACTTTAAAACTCCCGAATTCCAACCCAAATTAGCACAAAGCAATTACTTGACAGCGACCTGTCAAAATCTTATAAGAATTGACAGCTGTCAAACCCTATTAGCACGAGAGTTGTGAATTGAAACTAGGTTCTATTAAAATATAAATAAACTTTGTGCTACTTTCGCAATGTAATTTTCCCTCCCGATTTTTTATTGGTAGACTCGTCTAACCTACCGAATTTCATTAAGTCGCCCGAGAGACTACAGAATTAGTTATAGCTCAATCGATTGCTAGGGATGCGCAAACTAGTGCGCGTGATATTACAATGAAATGTCAATATTCAATAATAAGGACGTACAGACGAGCGTGGGCTTTCTTGATGAAAGGTAAATACCCCAACCATATATTAGGCTGCTAGAGGCATAGTGGCCTAATAACCATAAACATGATTTTCAATATAGAGGAAATCAAAAATGCGTAATTACCTTAGGTGAAAATGTACTATTATTTGTGTAAGAACTATGATACCTATTTTCGGTCAGCGTCCTCATATGTGTACATGATGCGCTGTTGATATTTAATTAAATTACCTGACAACGTATCTTCCATGACGTTCTTTATATTGATGGACGGATGGATCGTCTTCAAATGCCGGCCAAGGCTGCCGATGGAACTTTTGGAAATCGCTATTTCCCGGGAACAATAATTGCATTTCGCCTTCTTCGACGACGTCGCTTCAAAATGCGTCCAGAGCGGGCTGTACTTTCTTCGCGTCATGTTTGAACGACAAACCTTTTAACACAGTTATCACTTTGGGTAGATCGCAGTCTGTTGGCTATCATTGCGTCCTTCTCTTTCCGATAACTCCGTCCTTTTCTAATAGGCGATGCAACGTCGTAAGTGATGTTTTCCTCTTATTTCAACGAGTGATATTAGGGGTTGTCCATTAATCACGTGATCTTTTTTTTAGCATTTTTTAACCCCCCCTCCTCCATTGGTGATACGTAGTGAGGTTTAAGACCACCCCCTTCTCAACATCACGTGTATTTTTAGTACCTACATTTGTAATGCATTTGAAGAGATAAAAAAGGATTTATTTTGTTTTAAATCAACTCATATACATTGAAGAGCTTATATGAATTTGAAAGTTTATTTTATATTACATTATTTACATGTTTTCAACAGTGTCCAGGTTGAAATTCTAAACTTTTAATAACTCAATAGGAATGTTTTGTTTCAATTCGTAACAAAACATTCTTAGTCCTAATCGTTTCAGTCTGTGGATTTTCGATTATCCAAAGCCAAAATAGGTCGACGGCACATCTTGTGAGATGTTATATTTCACCGTCCATCAAGTAAACCCCATAAATATATGTGTGTCTGTTTTATAATTTTGTATTTTTACGTGTGTTTCAACATATTATGTGAGCGATTATGGTAAGATGTCAACAATCCTTTAAAAAATTCAGATTTCCATTTCAGACAATTTCTTCAGCTTCAGTAGATACGCATGACAATAGTCTTTTGTTTTCGCTCATATTTAGGTTTTATGTCAAAAACATTGCATTAAAAATTACAGTATAGGTTTGAAATTGTAGCGTATTACTATTAAGACTTTTAACTTATATACTTTGCCTTTTAAACCGTTAAGTATAACAGTAAACAATGTTAACAACTGCTTTTGTTGTAGTTCAGAGGTTTTAGGGTGAAATAAAACAACATTTCCACTATTAAATAGTAATTTTCCTACACCTAGGCCGCCGGCTCCCTATTCTGTAGTTCTATAGTCCCATTTATCGTCAGTATCGGTGAGTTCTTCTGTAAAAACTGTAGGCGAGCGGTCATAATCAAATTCACGATGTCCATTTGTAGCTTGGTCCCGATGTCTTTGTGCGTAATCGTTTTCAGTAGGCAAGTGACGTATTTCCCAAAGTTCTCCACCTCCCTCTCGTCCCTGTCGTTGACGTCACAAGTGTACTCTTCGCGGTAGCTGAATCTGCGCTTTGGTCGTTTTGGGGTCGGCTCCGATTTGCTCGCGTCCGTTTCGGCTTCGTCGTTACTGGCGATTGGCACTTCGAAGGACTCTTGGTTTTCTTGGTTCTGGAATGAGAATTGATATGCTTTTAGGTACGATACTGGCAAATAGATGCTAGGTTATGCTCAGTTAAGAGTTAGACGCGAGTTGGCGCTTGCGCTCCTAAATACTACAAAGGCTGTGTCTCATCGTCCCGAGGGGGTAATGTGCGACGAAGGAAAGCATTACTGCTAGCACTCCCGCATGCGCACACGAATCTGTTAAAGTATGCACCAGTGATAAGAGCTATTACTATATTGAATGAGGTGGCAATAAAAACGGATTTATTTTGTTGCACGTTGGCTGAGTTCGCAAGGTTAGCATTATCGATAATCTCATTTGAAAGTCGATAGGTAAATACTGTGATTGTAATCTACAGAGTTACTTTTAAATGTCTCATCTTAGTCTTTCATGTCACGTGTGTAATAAAGGCTACCTCCTTTATTACACACGTGACACCAAGGCGACCGTCTTGTGCTCATTTGTTATTAGATATCCCAGGTTTAAATACTTGGAAATGTGCGATTTACAGTTCAGAGAATTAAACGTAAATACATTATTTAATAAAAACATTAAACATTTCTTTTAAGCCCATCCAAGTTTGACCACCTCTGTAGCTAAGTATGGTTGAATGCAAGGGGAACCCCAGAACAATATAGTTTTGTTTGGACAGGGCACAGAAGTTCTATCACCTGAAACATATTGATCTGATGTCTGGCCCACAAGGCCTTTTAAAGTTTTAGACCTACCTCTTCTTGTTCCTTCTCTCCCGTTTGCTCCGGTATATTCCTATCATTTATATTAATATCTGGAGGTGTCGGTTCCATGTTCAGCTTCGTATTCATTATCATGGACACTATATCCATTTGCAACTTGCTGCAGGCCTTCTTTGGGATGCCCCGGAGCAACCCGGTGATGTACTGTCCAAAATTATCAATTTCACTATCTGGTTTATCTGGTTGTGGTGTTGTCGGCTTGATGGATTCCCTTGTGCTCTGTTTTCGCTTAAGGGGCTTTTTGGCTTGCAGCTGGACCTCAGATAGCACCCTGGGTTTCCTGTCTTCCTGTTCCTCGACTGGCTCTTCCAGGTAGATGACTTCGGTGTAGCTCTCATCGGCATCTTTGAATTCCAGGTTCTGAAATTTGATTTTACATAAGTACTATACTATATAGTTACTTTATGTTCCTATACCAATTGAGATACCGAGTCGAGTGAGAAGTTTAAATATTTTTCACATGATGGCTTTATAAATTAAAAATCGATATTTACGTGGGCAGGGTTGTCCTGTAAACATATTATCGATTTTTAATCGGTAACAGTACTGTATTATAAGGCAGTGTCTTGAATATACACACACAGTGTAAGCTGATCCTTTACATAACATATAAAACCTTATTACAAAAATGTGTTTGCCATGAAGGTAAATTATAAATTCCGTCCGGGTCACCAATCAACGTTCATAGATGAAAACGTCGTAAAATTAAATCGTGTTTCGGTTTGTCTTTGGTATCTTAACCAGTAAGTTACTGAGATAGTAGTTTAGAGAATAGTACCGCTATATATAAGGTACCTCAGAAATCTTCGAGTGTTTCTCTTTTAGATGTTTGTACAGTGTGTCTGAGTCTCGTTTCAGGATAACACCACACATGGAACACTTGGCTCTGTTCGTCGGCTCCTTGTCGAAGAAACCCCATAGTTCACTGTCGTTCTCTAGTATGTTCTGATCCTCCTCCTCACTATCTGTTTGATCTGGAAAAGACAAGGATATTGTTAATATAGA